CTACTCGAGAAACAGCCTCCATTGATACTTGCGGGCTTGTTAGAAGTTTTATTAGAAATTATGATGTGATTTATTTTTATTTATTTTATTGAACTGAAATTTAGTAGTTATTAATTTTATTTTTATCGACCTTGATTAATTATTTTTGGAAAACTATGAAATTTCACAAATTTTTGAAACTTTAAAACTTATTTAATTTCCAAAAAATTTCCGAAATTCCAAAAAATTTCCGAAATTCCAAAATTTTCGGGCCTTTAAAAATTGGAATGAATTTTTAGATTTCGAAAATTTTGGAATTGGAATTGGAATTGGAACTGATTTTGTACTTCCGATTTTTTGGAAATTTTCCGAAAAGGCTAATTACGATCCAATCGATCCGACTTTCACCCCTAATTTAAGAGTATCATAAAAAGGGCAAAATTAAAAAGAATAGTAATTAATGCGTTATTAGAATTGTAGAATAACAAATAATATAAAACAAGAAAAATACTCCAAAAAACATTAGTTAATTTAAAACATAGGGATCGAAGTATCTACATTTGCAAAGTAATATGTAGAGACTTTTGATGTATATTGAGCAGTTGCTTCTCATTCGGAAAGCAAAAGTACACTCAAAACTCGTGTTGACGCTTTTAGGTATAAGTTGAGATTGTACTAACCAAGCATCAAATTAGTTAACGAGCAACGCACACCACTTGAATACATACTTTGACAAACAAAACAAACAAGAGAATGTCTACTTACATTTTCTAACTTTCACAGTTTTTATAATATACCTACATCACATAGGAAGCCTGTCCAAAGGCTTTATATTCGCAACCCTGCAATAATCGAGCTTTGCGTATTTCTCGTGACTCACCTTTAACATTGTTGTTTTGGCAGCTCTGTGAAACTTCAGAACCATCTTCGCACAACTCCTGTACAAATCAAAATTATCGTCACTACATCTGTGGATCAGAAGTTCACGTATAAAGCGCGCGCACACACACACATATATGTATATATACAAAACCTGATATGAGATTCTTCGTATCGTGCATGTTTTGATAGTAGTGGGGTCCACGGTGGTTCCATTTGCAACGTGCATCGTGCAACGTAGATAGCAGAAGCACATAGCATTGAGGGTTTGTAGCTCAAAGCTTCGTACTCAACCAAGCACAGCTCAATGAGGTAGAAAGCAAGATGTTCAAACTGGAACACCGTGCAAAACAAACGAGAGCAAGTTAATAACATGTAGGGAACTTATGTTATTACATCTCCGGTTTCCACTCTCTATATCTAATAAGTTAAGAAGATAGGTCAAAATTTATCGTGATTTTCTGTTAGATAAGATACCTTCATGTGATTTGATTGAGCAGCCTTGAGAAACCTGAGCATGAAAACGTAAGGAGTTGGCTCGTTAAGACGGAACTTCAACTTTTTCAACATTGTCTTCTCCTGAAATAAAAAAATTTCCGCACCGTACATATTCTTTATCTTTCTACACATATATAATTATAATAAATAAAAAGAACATTTGAATCGACCGAACATAAAGACGGCACCTACCATTTGAAGCATCTGATCCCTAGTGTATGACTCTGCTGATATGCTTACTAAGTCAGTTACCTGTTTTTAATGCCAATAAATCAAATGAGAAAATATCTAGTCATACGGAGCTCGTTATTCACAGGGAAAAATGTGATTAATTACACCTGTTAACTAATTATCCTATAAGCTGCATGCATGAAAATGTTTACCCGAGGATGCCAAAAGTCTTCATATTTAGATGCCAATAACAGAGCAGTAAGGCCAACTAACTGCATTTCATTCTTCTTAATGCTCTCAAGGGAAAGGTATCGATCTAAGAGTGTAGCAGTGAGGAAAAGAGTTTCTTGCATCAAGTCAAACTTTAGATGAACCTGTAAACCGAAATCGGTTGTAAGAAAACGAGGAACTTGAAAAGTAATAAACAAGTAAAAAAGAGAAGGCAAAGATAGGCTAAGTGTGAAGTGACCTCAACAAGCCAATTGATCAATATACCACGCATTTGTGGTGTGATCTCTTTCTGGATCCCCATATAGTTCTTCAATAAAGGACTCTGTCCCTGCAATAGAACATTCGAGGGGGGGAAATTACCGAAAAGAAAAAAGAAGAAAAAAAAAAGTAATATTGTAACAAGGCAAGATGATGAAACGGAAGGAATGTAAACAAACCTCCATAACCCAATAATATTGATATATATCATCAACATAGTCACAAACTTCAAGATGATTGCGATCATCGTCAATATTGGGCAAAATTTCCTCCGATTTAACTTTACTACCCTCCTTTAGCAACTTTGATCTGGACATGATTGAACAAGTAAATGAATTTCTTCGATCAGATTTTCTCCTTGCAATAATTGTACCACCAGAAATATTCTCTTCTTCTGGAGCAGATTCCTCATTCGATACAACTGAGAGAATATTCTTTGACACAGAAGCCTTATTATCCTGCTGTTTTCTTTTGGATAAATCAGCAGGCCTGGGCTTCAATTTCTTCATAGTGAACAAGTGGTTCGATTTTGAATTTCTTTGAGTGTTCGGAGCTGTAATCATAGTTTTTACAGCGGGCTGGAAATCAAAAGAGAATTAGTTGACAAGCACAAAGTTCTAAAAATCTGCTCAATAGCATCTAAATTAACAACTTCCTTTCAACTGTACAGTAGGTTTTAGCATTCCAATATAATATAAATAAAACTTGTGTACAGTTAAATGTGAAAGAATTAATTACAAGACAGAAGAAAACAGAATGCAGGTGGGGAAGGGCAAAAACCAAATCATAAAATGCTTCACTTACTTTGATTGATTTTCTTGATAATACTCCACCATCTACCTTAGTTTGTGCTCTTGACCCCCTGCGACCATATTAATAAGCAAATGAAACACAATGTTAAATAAGGATTACAAATTTAACGAATGAAGTATTTTACTATTTTAAAGAAGCAAAATGACGAAATAAAAGTAGTATCACATCTTATATATAACTTACATTACTATAAATCCATCACTAACTCTATTGCCCCATGGACGGGTGCTCAAATTGCTTGGTTTTGGTACAATACTTCTCCTCGCAGTGACAATGGGAGGCTTCACTGAGAGAGAAAATTTATTAGGATTGATTATAATTTATAAACAGATCTGATATGTAAGTACAAGCTGAAAATTATTTCTTAATAGAGGAGCTAACCAGGGAAGCCATGTTTTCGCTTAGAGCTATCCGACTTATCAGAATGTTCCTGTAATAACATGCAAGTAGAAAGATGTCAAAATCACAATATATTAAACGAAAAGTTTCAAGATTATTAAATTAGATGTGATGTCATCAAGACCTTTGCCGTTGCACTTGCTTCTAACCCACTGGCCTGCCTTAGTACCGGTAAAGATTTCCTTCAAGTCACCATAAACAATATAAAAAGTCAAATGGCAACGGGAATCATTTACACTTAACAAATTAACTAGAAAAGTAAGATGCATATCCTAACCTTGTCAGATGAAGAGGATTTCTAATGAATGATTTCCTGGAAGAAAAGAAAAGGAAGAAGGTTTCTTCGATTAAAAAATATAAGAGGATAAAATAACTGAAAATCAACAAATTAGTGAAGCAATTTGAAATTTCTTGTTTAATAATACAGAAACTATGGGGCATACCTTCCAGTTGCAAATGCAATCGAAGAGCTACGCCCTTGTAATTTGGTCCTTGGCTCATTAGTGCTGGACTGAATAGTTTTCTTGATAGTTGCTGTCAAGAAAAGAGAATGACAATTTCAACGAAAGCTTTATATCAATATTTATTATTGCAATGACAAGAAAGGCCAAAAACCTACTCTTCTTTAATGTTTGATTGCTGTCTCTAGCTTGAATTGGGTGTGGCCTCAAACTTTCCTGTTTCATAGACAATCTCAGACATTGGTTTTTGTAAGAAAAAATAAAGACAAAGGAACTAGAGTATGGCGTAGACTGGTGTTGTCATTTCCAACCAATTCGTTTCATAAAGTTGCGAAAAGCACAGAGTAATTAAACTGAAAGTACTGAAGCTAACACAAAGTTATTCATATTTTGAGCATTCATTTGCATACCCTTGAAAGTTTGTCTGATGAACTCGCTTCAGTGTCAGCCAAATCTTCACCATCTCTGTAAAAACGAGACCATCAACAGATAAATGAGAACTCAAAAGGTACACTAGAAACTAGAGAAAATTACAGGAAACTGTTTGGCTAAAATCCAATAAAATTTTAAAAGCAGAAAAGAACCAAGTATATCACAATAAAAGACAGGCTATAGGTCATGCAAGTGTCTTAAGTACCATAGTTTCCGTCAAAGCTTACCTTTCTGAATTAATGTATGTCACCTCATTTTTTCCACTCCTGCAATAAGGTGGTGTATTAGAATTTAGAACAATAAAATCTTAAGTGGAAATTTCTTTTTAAATACGTCAGCATATACCTTTGCGGATACAGCGTCTTTTTGCCTTTGTCCTTCCTGCAGTAAGGTTATGTATCAGAAGAATAGAAACAGCGAAAAAATGATACAACCAATTATTTACAGAATCTTTTCGAGGCTGAAAAATTATCTATTACTTACACAGGCTTGGAGCTTTTTCCTAGTTCGGTTTTTGAAATGCTCAGCTTCACATTTCCAATATCAGCCAAAACTTTTCTCGCACGGTTTACATTAACTGCAATTGGCTCCAAGTGTTTAGAATAAGATCATCAAACATTATACGCAGATAGTTTCCCGGTAAGTTAATGGATCATTTGCACTTACCAGATATATCTGGCTTGCATTTGTTCTTCTCCAAATTCTTGATACCATTCTGTTACATGGAAACAAGTAAACGTGTTAAGTCAAACTAAACTAGTCCTCACAAGAAAAGTAGCAAGTCGATATTCTACAATTGAGCAAAACTAAAGATATGCTAACCTTCGAATCATTGCCACTGAGCAGATAACTACTACTGTTACGTGCAATAGCTTTTCCTCTGTAATTTATCAAAACAAAGACAGACAACGATAAGGCTCACTCGAAAAAGAAGGAAAAGAAAATTAGCAGCTCTTATTGAAAGATAGAAGATTAAAAAAAAACATCATATCTATGAACGAAAACAGCGTAATCAAAGGAAACTATTGGGTTACTCGGCATTTAAAAGCTATCCAAGAGAAAACGAGGTAAGGGGACGAACCACCGGTAAAAAGTAAACTGATCAACACTTACTTGGCACTATTTTCAAGAGTGTCACGGTCTTTTACTTTGTCAACTTCCACATAAATCTTCAAATTCTTCACCCGGCCTACTTTGAAACGAGGTACTTAAAATAAAAAATTGAGCCACTAAAACAACAAGTGAGGAAAAGAGCAGCTTAATTATGATGACATAAATTACCATTGTTGCTCGTTTTCTGGTCTTGGTTAACTCGATCTCGGAGCAGATTCAGCCTCCCCTTAATTGTCAAAAAAAAAAAAAATTCAAAACACCCGGAAATCAGATGTGGGTTCTCTGTGAAATACGATACTCAATAAGCTACAATAAAAAACGATGAAATAAAAAGAAGCCAAATGTAGCCCAAAACAGAATTAGGGTTTTCAATTGTTGTACCTTAACAGCCACCATATCTTTGCTGGTTCAAATTCCCCAAATTAGTAATGCGAACGAACTAAATCCTACGTCGTTTCAAGGGTTTTCAGTATGTAGTATGTACATCCATATGTTTTCCTTCGCAATCGAAAAAAAAAAGGATCGGAAGTAAAAATTCAGTACAGAAGTGTGTTAACAAGATAAGATTCAAGAAGCATATTCAAATAATTAAGAAGAAAATCTAAAGGGGGTTTCGGGCGACGGTGGGTTCTAAACGGAGAATTTTGAAAGAGAAGAAAATTGAATACTTGAATTTCAATTTGTACCGCCGATTCACCACGGTTTGAATATCGAATTGTTTATTACCAGAATACCCTCTGCTTTCCTTAATTAACTCTCAACGGTCGGTACCTTTTAGTTCATAACTAAAAACGCCGTTGTACTTGCACGCTTTAGTGATTTTATTTTATTTTTGAACGTGTAAATTGTAAATATATTACAAAATTGCCATAATAATCGTTTAAAATATTGATTATCCAGTTTTGCACACGCATGTTTATATATTATATCTGAAAATAAACTGGATATAATATATAAACATGTGAAACACACCTGATTAATGATCGTTGATCTGCAAATAATTACACACACTTTGTGTGTGTATGTTTTGTTGGTAACTATTTAACAATATCAATAGTTAAAAATCATATGATGTATTATGATCAGTGTAGCCAGTGGCGTAGTCATGGATATAGTTGGGGTGGCCCCGCCCCCAAATTTTTTTTTAACAACAAACTTTTTTGTAATTTTGTTACTTATGTAAGTATTCGATCCCAAATTTTCAATTTTATACACTTTAGCTCAAAAAAACAAAAACCAAATTATCTTTATTCACCCATATTTTGATTGGTTGACTATTCAATGGATCTGAATCCATCAAATTATTCTGGTTTCTGAAAATAATTTCTTGTAGAAAAAAATCAAGTTATATATACAAATATATGATGCAATTGTTATTCAACAAAAATCCTTTATAATTTAGATAAAAATCATGATTGTGGTGGTCATCAAAACAAGAGGGTGCCCCCGTCTTGATTTATTTATAAGATCTTACAAATATCTTTTTTAATGTATAAAAAATTAGATTATTTCGAAAAAAGGATTTGTTATACGATTAACCTTTTCTATTTTAAAAACAAAAAGTACATATTGAGTATTAACAAGTAAAAAACAAGGCCCGCACGTACGAGTACAACTCAATTGGTTCTGGGATTTGAAAGTTGGTACAAGATCCTAAAAATCGAATACTGACAGCTACAATGAGATAATTTCATCTCCAAAAAGAGCTGGTCCTCCACTCTAACAGCCGTTGAGTCAAAAAGATAAGGTTGCAAAAAGAAACATGTTCTTAGCTGAGCACATTAAATTAGGGAGAAGAAAGCAAAACCACAATTAATTAATTAAATAATTAATTAAATTAATAAAGAGAAAAGAAATGGCAAAAGCATGAACAGACTAAAAGTTGGTTTTTAGACAAAAAGGAAAGAAAAAAAAGATAGAAACAAATGAAGAGACAGAGTTACGACACTATTAGGCCAAGTATGGGTAACACAGTGTAGTTCGATGAAACCTAAGTTTGCAACGACTTACGTAATGCATTTGCATGACAACATTTTGTCACCACTAAAGCTATACTTAGGTAGGTAGTTAGGTACGTACAATCACAAATCACATGTTACTCAACTTTTGATTTCATGTCACAATTGCATTTTTCACATTTAACCAATTAAATAATTAAATGGTGAACTACGACCACCCTTTGATGTAACGTATAATTACGAGAAAAAAAAAAAAACCATCTTGTTTGTTTAATTACAACCACCCATGAACTATATATTGTCTTACACGTCCACCTTTAAGTTGTCAAAAAATTTACCTAGGGGTGTTCATTAAACGAAAATTCGTACATGCCGATTACCGAACCGTTTATTCGGTGTTGTATTCAGTTATATATATATATATATATATATATATATATATATATATATATATATATATATATATATATAGAGAGAGAGAGAGAGAGGAGAAAGAGAGAGAGAGAGAGAGAGAAATGAAAAATGCATGCATGTAGCTGTTGAGTAATACTTGGGAACAGTATAAACACACTTTTAAATTCTGACTCCACTACTGTTGACCACACATATATATATACACACATACATATATACTATAGTTAATAAGCACCGAAAAGATTATATTCTTTTTCAGCAAAGCATAAGCAGAGCAAACCCCTTCCATCCTTTTTTTTCTTCTCTACTACAAAAAGAAGACAACTTAGCTTACTACCTTCCCACCTCACTCTCTCACAAAAAAAAGAAACCCCCTTTTTTTTTAGCAATCTGCCCCTTCAGTTTTTTTCTTTTTTTTGTCTCCACCATGATAATCAAGCTGATAATCCTATCATCCGCAATCCTAGTTCTAATCCCACCCACAGTCTCCGGCGAATCATCATCATCATGCACCTGCCCAGAAGAAAACGAAGATCAAACGCAGAACTATAGCGAGGCCCTCAAGTTCAAACTAGCAGCCATCGCGTCCGTCCTCACCGCCGGCGGCATTGGAGTCAGCATCCCGCTTCTTGGCCGGAGATTCCAGTTTCTCCGGCCGGAGAACGACGCCTTCTTCATGATCAAGGCTTTTGCTGCCGGGGTTATATTAGCGACCGGGTTTGTCCATATCCTCCCCGACGCGTACCGGACACTGACATCTCCCTGCCTCAGCAAAAGCCCGTGGAGGGAATTTCCCTTCACGGGCTTTTTTGCCATGGTGGCCGCGATCGGGACGCTGGCCGTGGACACCGTCGCGACCGCCTTCTACAAGAACATGCACTTCAGCAAGTCGAAGCCGTTGAACTACGCGGTGGACGAAGAAGACCAACAACCACCTCACGATGGTCATGTGCACGTGCATACGCATGCCACACATGGCCATGCTCACGGAGCTGTCGTCCCGTCGCATGAAATCAACCTTTCAGACCTCGTCCGACAGCGCATAATATCACAAGTACGTATATATACACACACATACATATATATTATAAATAACCTCGTTCAAAACTTCTGTAAACCTACAAGGGTTTCATTCTTGACTGTCCTAACAAGAACTTTTTTTTTTTCGTGTTAGGTTTTGGAGCTGGGAATTGTGGTGCACTCGGTAATAATCGGAATATCTTTAGGAGCTTCTCAAAGCGTAGATACAGTAAAACCATTGATGGCTGCTCTGTCTTTCCATCAGTTCTTTGAAGGGATGGGACTCGGTGGCTGCATCTCCCAGGTATATATATACATACATACATACATATAGATACACATATACTACAGATATACAGTAAAATAGTTTTCGAATCAAGAACTTTAAAATATGCACACATAATGTCTTCATAAGAATGTTATTATCATGTCTTCATAACTATTCTCAGTGCTAGAAAGAATGTTATTCCCGAACCCATCTCAATATACATCTGTAGCTTCGAAATCTAGATAAAGTTTGAAATCTTTACAAGAATATTGATTAGATTTTATTTTATTTTATTTTAACTCTTATTATGTAATATGGTTGCGTGATTAGGCGAAATTCAAGTCTCTGACAACGACAGTTATGATGATATTTTTCTCGCTCACGACTCCGATCGGGATCGGAGTTGGCATCGGGATCTCGAGTGTTTACAAAGAGAATAGCCCTATAGCACTGATAGTTGAAGGGATATTGAATTCGGCTTCGTCCGGGATATTGATTTACATGTCACTCGTGGATTTACTAGCGGCAGATTTCACGAACCCTAGGATGCAGAGCAACGTTAGACTTCAGTTGGGTGCACATGTTTCACTACTTCTAGGTGCTGGCTGTATGTCTCTCATGGCCAAATGGGCATGATTAATTAGTTTACTTAATTAATTGATTAATTAATTAATTAATTAATCCCTACTACTATTTCTAAGTACTCCTTTCTCTATTTGTAGCTTCATTCATTCAAGAATGTGGGATCTAATTTACTAGTGTTGATTTTTGTTGTATTATGTTTTCTTTCGGTGGGAAAAAAAGACTTGAAAATGTGCGTCGATTATATAATCCTCAACTGGGTACGGAATTGTATTGGAAACGAAATATATTCTCGAACTTTAAGATGCTTACTATAAAATAGAGTATATAGATAGTCAATGGTGTGGAAACAAATAATTCTAAATGGAGGGAAGATAATCAAGAGGCCCTACAGAGATCATATGCTCTTTCTATATATATGCACACACACACACACCCACACCCACACCCACACACACACACTGCAGAGCAGAACAATTACGAAGGCTGAATTAGTGGTATTCGTGAAATAGAGATAAACGTAATATCGTTCAAGCAGATTATCAAGTCACGGTGTGATTATGAAAAACACCGAAACGAACAAAATTTTATATCTTCTCACAGAGAAATAAGGATTGTTCGTATTGTCCCGACCTATATCGGTCGTCGGTTAATGGTATTCTAAATTCTAAAGTACTGTATTGTTGAATTCAAATATTAATGATTTCGTTATTAGATATTAATATTAATAGTTAATTTATTAAGTATTAAGAAAAAAATCAAAAGTCGGTTGGTCTGGTATTTTCAGCAACCGACTTAAATGGGTCGGTTGGTGGTTGATTATCATCCAAATTTTACGGGTCGAAAATGGGTCGATAGTCGGGTAAAACCGACCCATGAACAGACGTAAAAAATGTGTCTGATGATATTATCTCACCAATCAAGCAACAGAAGTTGCAGAAAAGAGTAAGGTAATTATTATCAATACGAAAGTTTCAACAAAGAAAGACTTCACTTTCTTTAGTAGTAAGAATTTGTTTCAGGTAGTAATCAAACAGTTCAATATATGTACTGGACTATGAAGAGTAATCTATTATTATTGCAAGCTCTAGTCACCTTGTCTGAATATTTGGCATGAAAACGTAACCGCGTAACCGAACAAATGGCTCCCGTTGGGATACAATAGTGTGTGTGTAACTGAAACTACTTTATCACAAGCGACGTGAAACTGAAAAGATTCCTAGTAGTTTCATTAGGACAATATAGTATAGACATCTTACCTAACTAAAGTTAGTTCTACATATGTTTCCTAAAACAGCGGGAATTTCAGTTTTCCAAATTCAACGAGTACGGTAAGTGGAAAAAAAAAGAGGATATGCTCATATTAATTTTTACTTGATTTCCTACTCGCCCCATACTAATTTTATTTTGCAAATACAAAGTTTTCGTATTAGACAAACCGATCCCTCCCAAAAGAAAGGGAAAAAAATAAGGCAGTGTTGCTGTAAGCAACGATGCTCGACATGCAAAACAGATCAGTGTTACATATGTGGATTGAAATTTCAAACAAAGAAGGTAGTGACTACAAAACAATTTGGTCATCTATTATAATACAACAGTGTTGAATGCCAAAGAGTGTTTAACCAGCTGGTAATACATGAGATTAAAAAAAATCAAAATACTTCTGCAAAAGCATATATAAAAGAGATCAAGATTTGGATAAATAAATTCATTAAACCGCAATTACCTCGCGATCTTTTTCATAACTACATTCCCCTTCCAGGAAGCAATGGTTTAGGAGGTGACAAAGATCTAATTTCAGGCGCCGAACTAGGAAAAAGCGTATTCAGCTTATGCATCAGAATCTCCGATCTCGAAGGAATCTCGTTCAAAAGGAACTGTTGCACAATCGGTTTCTTAAACCACTCCAGCACGGAATCCCCCGGGGCTCGCAAAACCACCTTACTAACCTCAAACGGAGACTCCATCGAGCTCAGCGTTTGAGCTATCACAATCCTCAAGGTGGGACCCGTGACCAATTTGATCCTCCTCGGTACAACACCGTAATACAGCATCCGTTTTCTGAATCTATGCAGCGTGTGCACAACCGCTATGAGAGCAGCTCCGACAGACAAGTTCCTCACGTCGAGTGACCATGCTATGTGCTGGTCGAACACAATCGCCTTAGGGAATAGCTTGTTCTCGTACGCAACTTTCCAGACGCACCGAGCGCGGTTTATCTGTCCCATTAGGACAAGGTAGTTAAGGAGGACGTTGACAAAGTACTTAGCAGCACCTTCCTCCAATTCGTAGTCAATCCCTTGGAAGAACTCCCTCACGAAAGTCAAAACAGGCTGCTTCCTCTGCTCGGGCCCGGTGAAAAGCCCGCACAAGAAAGCGTGAGCTTTGTGGTTTGTGGAACTCAAGATCGACATCAAATGCCTCTCGTTGACTTCGTCCTGGCATCTCACTAGATGGGCTAGAATCGAAGTGTAGAGTATGAGGTCAACTCTTGCGGCAGCATTCACGTACGTTTCCAGAAGTGGCTTGGCTGACTCGTACAGGCCGTTCTTCATGGACGACTCGAACAGCTGTCTGATGATGAAGTTGTTTGTCCGAATTCCAGACGAGCCCATGAATCTCAGCCACCTCAAAGCGAGATCGATCGAGCCATCTTTTATGTAAACCATGAGCACATCACTAGCGTTCACTTCAACCGAATAACCCATCGATTTCATCTCGAGCAAGATTTTCGCAGCCACATCCACAAGCTTCTTTTTCGCGAGAAGAGTCAGAAGAGAGGTGTAAGTGCTCAAGCCAGGTCTTAGGCCAGCATTCGCCATGGAGTTGTACAGTTTCATAGCATTGTCCACCTGTCCAGAAGCAGCTTGCATTTCCAATAGAGACGAGTAAGTCGACGGAGTTGGTAAAAATCCAGCCTTTTCCATATCCGAAAAAATCGACATTGCAATATCTAGCTTCCCAGATTTTGCATGAGCCTCGACTATTATAGTGTACAGGCCGTAATTAGGTCTAAAACCAGCTTTCTTCATGTCATCCCATAGCCTGAGAGCCGTATCAAGTTTTCCAGCTTTAACAAACGATTCGATTAGAGAAGCAAACATGGCGCCAGATGGCCTCAAACCGAAACCTTGCATTTCCATGTATACTTTCATGGCCGTATCTAATCTCCCAGCCTTCCCCATCGTATCAACGAGAGAGACGAAAATCCCGGAACTCGGCCGATAATTCTTTTCCTTCATCTCCTGAAAGAGCTTAAAAGCAACATCCAGTCGACCGGATTTAGCGAGACTAGGTATCATCATATCGTAAGTCGAAGCGTCTAACGAGCACCCGTCTTTCACCATGTTCTCGTAAATCTCAAATGCTTTATAAGGCAGCCCTTTAGTCAGAAACAGAGTTATAAGCGAATTGTACGTTTTCGTATCGAGCTCGCAATCTAACTCCTGGATTTTCTTGAAACAACAGAAAGTCACCTCCAATTTTTCGGCCTTGGCCAAATACTGAAGCACCCTGTTATACGCGCCGAATGAGGACATTCCATTTACGCTCGAATCAGAAACCATTTCCTCGAAAACTGTCTGAATTCCATCGAATTCTCGACTTAGATTCAATTTATCAAACAACATCACATAACAATCATCATTGGGTAGGTACCAAGGCTGCCTCTTGGCCCACCGAAACAAACTCAACAAAGCATCGCTATCTTCGATTATCTTCAACGCCTGCACAATGTGAGTCATGTTCGGCGTGAACTGCAGTTTATCCAATTGAGTCTCCATATCCGGGCCCCACTTCCACCTCTTCACAACCTCAACTATCTTAGCCACAGCTGAAATGTTCAGAATCGGCTTTCGCAACCCGCCCACCATTACATGGTCGTCGATTCCCGGCTCGACCGATCTTATTCCCTTGCCGGAGTAAATCACGGAGCCGGATTCGTCCAAGTAGTCTATTTCTTCGGTCCATTCGCGAGGGTTTCCCTTACCGTGCTCGCCGGAGCAATATTCTCTGATGAAACCACGATCACCGGACGCGGAAAAGACGGCGGTTTTACCGAAAACACCCGATGAGAGCAGAGATTTCAACTCTACTACGCTGTTTGGACAGAATATTATTTTTGAATTTCTGAGATTTTTCGAGAGTAAAAGGGTGCGGATTATCATTTCCCAAACGTTGATTTAATAAATGGAGATGTATTAATTAGCATAACAAAGAATTTACAGAGAAGATGATTTTTCGTACCGTGTGAATAAAGATTACAATTTTTTTTCCAGTTTTTGGTGAGATTTACTTAAACCCTGAACCCTATTTCTGAAATTGATTTTAAGAAATTTGCTCCATTGTTTCTGTATCACGACGAACAACTGACCACATGGGCCGGCAATATATGGGCCAAGCTTCCACTTTGGGGCTTATATTTTTCAGTCTTTTATTGTTAGCCCAGTTATGTGGCCTTATATTAGGGAAATAAAATTAAGGTCTCTCGCGTAAGGTCAAATTACGAAAAAACCCTTCTTGGTTGAGTAATTACGATCACCCATCAACTATGAATCTTCTTACACGCCCACCCTTATGGCTTATGGTGTCAGATTCAACATAATTTTCTAGATTTCGTGGAATGTTCTCTAGTTTGTACTCGTTTTGTGCAAAAATGCAGTTTCTGATGCACCACAATCTGAAAAATATATCACATAATCTAGAATATTCCACAAAATTTGACACCGCAAGGTTGTACGTGTAAGAAGATTCATAGTCAAGAATGGTCGTTGCAATTATCCAAACATGAGGGATATTTTCGTAATTTGACCTTACCTCGTGACGTAATTTCGCCATATTTATAATTATTTCTATAATAATAAAGTAAAACCACCCCCTCCAAACATAAAAGAAGTTTGAGTAGAAAGGAAGCAAAAGAAAAGGGCCGAGAAAACTGGAAACTTAGTGGGAATATAGCAATGCCAAGGTAAGCATATATGCCCAGAAAGAAAAAAAAGAAAAAAAAACAATATACTTGATCTCTATACACTTCATTCCTCCTCCTCTAAAATATGCACTCACTCGCCTACTTTTCCACACTCTTTTTCATTTCTTCTGATACACATTTTCTGTTTGTGACACTGCAAAGTGCACTTCTGCTGCTAAAAGAATCATCTTTTTCACCATCCCTTCTTTCGTTTTCGGTTTTCCGTCGGTCATTTTCTATAAATATGTAGCCAATGATTTGATTCGGCTGAATGTATCTCAACTTCAAGAAATTGTATAGCTTTTCTTGATTCCTTCTTCCATGGATAGAAATTATGGAGTTCTTTTGATCAGTTTCTATGTTTGTTTTGCAGCCATTTTCCTACTCCAATGTGGTAATTAAGCTTTCTTCACTTGTCTTTCTAATTCCCTTTGATTTAGCAAACAATATATTATTAGAGTGTATACTAACTCTAATTCTTGATTTTGTATGTATTTATATATGATCAGATGCTGCTACAAGAACAACAGCATTTCACAAATACAGAAGTTCAAGCACTAGAAAAACCACTCCAAGAAAATTTCGCTCATTCAAGAAAATCGAAACGGATATCCAATTAGACTCGTCGAACACCGACGTGTTCGTAAGTCCACCATATGAGTCCCTCCCACCTTTTCCTTTGCCCGAAAATACCCCTCAATTTTGCGTGGATCCACCACCACTCACCCCACAGCCACCTTCCACTGTCGTCCCAAGCCCAATCGACGGCGGCTACATGCCATCGCCGCCACCTTCCACCGCCGTCCCCAGCCCAACCGACGGCGGCTACACGCCATCGCCGCCACCTTCCACCACCATCCCAAGCCCAACCGATGGCGGCTACACACCATCGCCGCCACCTTCCATCGCCCTCCCCAGCCCAACCGACGGCGGCTACACACAATCACCGCCACCTGCCACCGCAGCACCCGCACTGCCGGGCCCACCCGAAACAATGCCGTTTCCGAATCCACCTACACCAACCATAGTTCCAATTCCACCAACACCAACCGAACCAGCGTTAAGCCCACCGCCTTACTACTACGAGCCTAGCCCACCAAGCTCGGTGCCCAACCCACCTTTCAACCTACCGTCCCCTTCTTCTGGTGTAACTCCGAGCCCGAGATTTCTGCCGCCAATTGTGTTCCCGCCGCCGACGGTGCCGCCGCCGCCTCACCGAACCCCCGCGACCGCAATGTGGTGCGTCGCGAAGGCGTCGGTGCCGGACCCGATCATCCTAGAAGCGATGAACTATGCCTGCGGATCTGGAGCAGATTGCGACCAAATTCAGCCGAGTGGTTCATGCTTTTCGCCGAACACCTTGTTTGCACACGCATCGTACGCGTTCAACAGCTACTGGCAGAGAACCAAAGTCGCCGGAGGTACCTGCGATTTCGGAGGAACGGCAATCCTCGTCACCGTCGATCCAAGTAAGCTGATTTCACATCCACCGAAATATAACGGTGGCTCCAATTTCCGTTGATCAGCGTTAATTTTTTTATTTTTTTTCATCTTTGTTTACAGGTTATGATGGGTGCCATTTTATCTACTTTTGATTCTTGAAGAAGAAGAAGAAGCTAAAGAGTTTTACAATAAAGCTAGAGCGAGAGCGGTATATAATACATACATTATACATACATGCTTCCACCGTATAGTAGCAGCAGCTTTACGATTAGTGTTCTTCATTTTGGCCACGATTTTGTAATATATATATACATACAGACTGTGGGAGGATACTTACACATTGGTTTTCATTATTCGATTAAGAAGAATTACTTAACTATTATACTCGTTGAAAAAATTTACTCCCTAATCCTTGTTAATGTCTAAATTACTATCAAGAAAAGGAACTTAATCTTGATTCCACTGTGTGTAGCATTTTAGCACTTTGCATCGTCGAAACAAATTAATCGTATTTTGCACCGCCGAAAAATAATAAATCGTGCATAATACATGCTGAAGAATTTTTAAAGCTAATGAAGATAATTTAATATTTTTTTAGTATATTCTTTTTATGATGCGAAATGTTGAATTAAGTTTTTTATATTCTTAGATCATTTCACTACAAAGTACAAAAATAAAAAAAAAATATATTTTTTCAACATATTTAAAAATTATAATTTTTATCACAACAAAATATTTTACACAAAAACTTTCAGCTATTTTATTATTAAGTTATTTTAAAATTACATTTTCTTATATTCAATTTATACTAAATATCTTCATCGAAATAAAAGATTCTTTAATCAAATAATTTAGTAGCTAATTAAACCAAAATAATATCATTAATCCCACTACCAAAATCATTTATTTAATGGCTAATTCACTTTTTACTTTATAATATTTAATTTATAGAATATCCGAAAAGCACTTATTTAGAGTAAACTGCAAAAACTACCCCTGTGTAATCTCGAAATAGCAAAAACCCCCTGTGATAAATAAATTAGCAAAAACCCCCCTGTGAAATTATTTAAATAGCAAAAACCCCCCTATGGAACTATTTGAGGGTTGACTTGATATAAAAAGACACAAATACCCCTGAAGTCTTGCAATTAATAAATTCTTATATTTTATAAATATTTTAATTATTTTATTTAAAAAATAATCAATTTAGTTGTTTACTATTTTTTTTTAATTTCTAAACAAATAAATTAAAAAGAATAAATATACATATAATATGTATATATATAAATACATTTTGAGGGACAATTTTGTCATTTCAAGTCTAAAAAATCAGCTAGGGGGGATTCTGCCTTTGACTAAATTTCACAGGGGGGTTTTTGCTAGTTTATTTATCACAGGGGGGTTTTTGCTATTTCGAGATAACACAGGGGTAGTATTTGCAATTTACTCCACTTATTTAGTACAGCAGCTGGGGGTCCCCACCCCCTACAAAATCTGTTTGGATTCTTCCCTCCAAACGCTACTGTGTAGTGTGTCCGCCAACCCAATAAATAGGCGCAGCGTCTCTCAACATCTCAAAAACCCTAATATTGAACACTGTTCAGCCGACGGCGATGGACGGAGCTCCGATGATAGAAGACGGTTTCCCGGCTGTGAAGCTATTCAACCAGGGCTACTCCTACACGTACGATGACGTCATCTTCCTTCCCCACTACATCGACTTTGCCACCGACGCCGTCTCCCTGTCAACCAAGCTCACCCGCAACGTGGAGCTATCCACTCCCTGCGTCGCCTCTCCGATGGACACCGTGACGGAGTCCTCCATGGCGGCGGCCATGGCCGCCCTCGGCGGAATCGGCATAATCCACTCTAACATTCCCGCCTCTGACCAGGCAACCCTAGTTCGCCAAGCGAAATACCACAAGATACCGTTCACCCATGAAATCATCTTCAAATCCCCCCTCGATTCGATTTTATCGGCCGACGAGTTCTCTTCCTCGCCCTGCATTTTCGTGACCGAATCAGGGCGTGAAAATTCGAATCTCGTGGGCAGAGTGCACAAATCTGATTGGGAGAAATTAACTAACAAAGAAACGAGGATCAGCCAGTACATGAAAACGTCGCGGCTTTCGTATCCAGCGAGTTGCAGCTTCGAGGAGATTGCTGGTTATTTAGCCAAAGAAAGACTCGATTTTGTGCCCTTGGTGAGGTACAATGGTGAAAGTGGAGACGATGTTGCGAATTTGGTGACGAGCGATGACGTGGAGAGGATTAAGGGGTTCCCCAAGTTGGGCTTGCCTTCATTGGATTCTAATGGGGATTTACTGGTCGGCGCTTCGATAGGGACCCGTGAATCGGATAAGGAGAGGCTGGAGCATTTGGTCAAGGCTGGAGTGAATGTGGTGGTTCTCGACAGCTCACAAGGAAATTCGATTTATCAGATTGAAATGATTAAGTATGTGAAGAACAAGTATCCGAATTTGGACTTGATTGGTGGGAATGTAGTGACACAATACCAGGCACAGAACTTGATTCACGCTGGAGTCGATGGCCTGAGAGTTGGGATGGGATCAGGTTCCATTTGTACAACTCAAGAAGTGTGTGCTGTTGGGCGTGGGCAGGTACAAAAAATAATTTACTCGTAAAAATATAGCTGGATGTGTTACAGATCGTTGTATAAATTGATTAGCAACTCCTTTTAGTTGTTTTCTGTTGTTGTATAAGCTGATTTCATGTGTTAGATATATTGCATTTTAAAGTTTGTTTATGACTGGAGTGGAGTTGTAAAAACTTTTTTTTCAGGCAACAGCTGTCTATAAGGTTGCGTCGATTGCTGCACAGAGTGGTGTCCCTGTGATTGCTGATGGTGGAATATCGAACTCAGGCCACATTGTCAAAGCTTTGACCCTAGGAGCATCAACTGTAATGATGGGAAGCTTTTTAGCTGGAAGTAACGAAGCTCCTGGCACTTACGAATACCAGGTACAGCCGCATCCTTTTGTGCTTTCTCATTTTCTGCCCTTCATCTCACGTATTTCGAACTGCCCTTGTTTGAATTTGCATCCTGTTCATCTCGCAAACTTCTGAGTATATGGTTCCCGATAGTTGCATTGATAGAGTTTGTTTATGTGGGCTGGTATTTCGTTATGAAGTTCAGAGGTAGCCAGTTTTACATTTGTTTGTTTGTTAAGACTTGTTTGCGCTTGTTTCTTGCAATTTGCACCGACAGAATGGTCAGCGAGTCAAAAAATATAGAGGAATGGGATCTCTAGAAGCAATGACGAAAGGGAGTGATGCACGGTATTTGGGCGATAAAGAGAAGTTGAAAATTTCACAAGGAGTGTCGGGTGCAGTTAAAGATAAAGGCTCTATATTAAAACTCATACCCTACACCATGCAAGCTGTGAAGCAAGGCTTACAGGATCTTGGAGCTTCCTCCGTTCAATCCGCTCATGACCTTTTGAAATCCGGCGTGCTCAGACTAGAGGTAATCTTATTCGTAAATCGTAATAGTTGAATCTCCTTGTTTTCCAGACACAATATTTTGTCGACAAATCTAGAGCTTTGTGTGTGAATATGGATTGAGAAACAAATAAGTTAACTGCTGTTAGGTTTCAAATTTTATTGAAGGCAGAGCTTATTTATCGAGCTGAGATTATGTTTCATTTAACTCGTCCAGGTTAGAACTGGTGCAGCACAAGCTGAAGGAGGAGTTCATGGATTGTTCAATTATGAAAAGAAGTCGTTTGAAGGCGGACTGGTCACTACTTACGGAAAGAAGTAATCATCTTTGACATTTCATCTCTGTACTTTTGCATCAAAGGCTTGTCTTGTACCACCGTGTTTGTTTTCCCCTTTGGATGAGATTTACCTTGCTCTGTGTATCGAGAACTGAATTGACATCCCGCAATTTTCATAATAATTATCCTAATGCACAAGTCTTTCGTTTCCCATTCGCTTCGCTTCGCTTCGGTTTTTTTTTGGTTTAAATCGTAGTTAAGTTGTAAGTGAGAAGAAGTCCAAATAGATATTGGCATAAGAAATCTGTGAGGGTTTAAGATCAGATTAATATAAAGTTATTAAAACAGAGCAACAAATTCTGCACTGAATAGTACTAATTCCTGCTCTCTCCCAAAAAAAATTAAAGATTCATATTTTCCAATTCAAACACACTTTCAAGGAAAATCAAAGCAAGTTCATCGCTCTAAGGAAGTTCATTGAGAACAATAGGCTCGTTAATAATCGAATTAACAACTCCGAACAATTCATGTGAGGTGAAACCGTCGTCTTTACTGTAAAAGAGATGCGAAGCAGTGCTCATATGCCAAAACAAATCCTTGCAAGCTTTTGGAAGAACACTACTCTTCTCTCCCTCCAAAACTAATCTCCGTAGCTCTCTCGTTTTTCTCACGATCGATTCTTTCATCTCCGTAACAGCGTCCTCTTTCGTCATTTCACCGCCACTTTTCGTTATATACAACGTCACCGCATTTAGCTTGCCATCTTTCATTTCTCTCTGCACATGGATTTTTTTTTATAAAAACTATTCAAAAGAAAAAAAAAATGCCATTTTTCACGTAGTTGCATGCGTATATTTATAAATAGAATATTACCTCGTAACCTTGAAAATCATTTAGAAGACGCCCACAAGTACTCATCAATTTGAATAGATTGTGGTATTCGGAATCGTTGACCATCTTCTCCGAGAGCTTAGGCCCCACAAGATATAGTGCAGGCAGCACAATTGGGCCGAGACCAAACGATACATACGCGTTTTCCATATATTCATCCATTGTAGGAAGGGATTTTTCTCTATCCCATTCAGCTTCTTTCATCATGGAATACAGCAAATCTAGCCACTGACGGTAAAAACGAACGTCTTATCTATCCAATTAGAATAAAGATTGAAGACTATTTATTTAACCCGTTTTTATACAAATAGACGACGAAAAAAAGGTGGGGAGGAATCTTACAATCTTGATTATATGATTCATCACGCTTCGTTCTTGTTTTACGAACCCTTTGTCTCCAATCTCACATATTGTGGTCTTAAGGGCCGAAAATATTATCCGAACATTCTGTGAACAGCATTCCGTGCTGACATCAGCATCCCATCTGCAATAGTTTATGATATCGTAAGAAACTACTTTCGTTCGGGTGAGCAGAAAGAATAGGACTAGATACATACACTTCGACTAAACGAATTAAGTTCTTTAATTCTTCTATAGAACCTCCAACGTCAAAAAAGTCGTCCACCACTGTGGCGAGAACACCGTTTTTGGCCCACGACATACGAGCATCTGACAATTCGGGTTCGAAGAAAGTTGCTGCGGCGGAGAAATATCAATATGCAGACTTACTCCTTGCAAATTTCAGCTCGTCTAATTTGTTCTCGACCACCCATCTGCATGCAAATAAATTTGTAAAACTAGGAAAATAAAAATGATTGCAGTTTTCATTTGCTCTGTTATTTACTGAAACGTACGTCTCGAGATCTTTGAGTTCTTGGCAATGTATTGCTTGGCATTTGTTGAAGTCTTCTACCGACAGCAAAAGGAAATCCTTGTTGGCAAAATTTGCCGAACTAAATACCGGAGGAAAAAGAAAAGAGTGAGTTCGATCCATATATATATAGAGAGAGAGAGTATACATTTATTACAAACATTTAAGCAGATAATTTTACCAATACGAAGTTTTCCCGATTATTGTGTTGTCTAAATTGTAATGCTCTATATTTCGCCGTTTCGAAATCCGATCCAAAGTTGAATAAAAGGGATAGTGAAGAGCATGGTACACCTGAAGAAAAAAAAACTAATATAACCAATTTACTCATGTGAGGATTCAGCTACAAGTACATATATATATATACAAGGCATACATATATATATATACCTCTCGGTCAACATTTCTACCACTAGATATTTTCTGCTCGAGTAAATGTTTAAGCCTCGATTTTTGTCTTTCCAAATCTCCCGCGTCTGGTGAGATTATCAACTCTGATGCTCTATATAATTCAAGAGTTTCATGTACGTCTTTCGTGTTACTCGAAAGGCACTCCTCCAAAATACTTGTTACCCGATCTGCATGGAATAATTGCAAATAATTATACGTCCGTAAAAAAGAAACACACACACAAAAAAAAAAAAATCGGTGTTTCTAAAGTTAACCTGAAGTAACATTGTATCCGTTCATACGCAATAATCGGAATGCAAGAGCACAAGTTGAAGCATCCATGAATATCTCTTCGTCGCCCTGCACCCAAAATCTTTCACGGTCTAATGTCAAGAAATATAATAATACAACCGTATAACAATGTACAAATTATTGAATAAAAACATGCAAGAATCGAAATATACAAGTGTTTATAGTAAGAGAATACATACTTGTATGTTTCATCCAACATAGTTTCGATTTCATTCCTAAAATACCGACTAATCCCCAATCTTTCGAGATTATCAACTGTGGATAGCTGAATATATTTATCTAGAGGGTAAACTGCAGGAACTGAAACAAGAAGAATAATATAAAACATTGTCGATTTTTATTCGTTTATTATTAAAACTGGATTTTTTCTTTTTGCGATAAAAATACCTGAATTACCAAACTTCTTGAGGGCCGATCGAAGGTAATTAAGGCTATCGGGATTAGGAAGGGCCATGTAAGCAGCTGCTGTTGTGGATGGAGAGTTGAAAAGAGATCCATTTTTTCTTTGATATTTCATTATTGTTTTTTCCCAATCGTATAATTTTCCGATTCCTTCTGCAATATATGCCAAATAAGCTTCTTCCCCCTCCGACGAGTGACTTTGATTGCAAAGTGCAAACATATAGTACTTAGTAGGGAGATCATATAAACAGTTAAAAAAAAAACAATTTATTCCACAGAGTCTTGGTATTACATAATTATTCCTGTCTTAATCTTTTTATGGATACAAAAAATATTGGTAAGAAATCGAAACTGTTTCAGTTCTTGTCTTTCTATTTCAACTAAAGTCACTCAATAAAATTTACCTTTCAAGCTGAAGATCACTCTTGTGAATCAAGTCGTTCAACGTACTAGGCTCTAAACGGAGATTCAAAAACAATTCTTTGGCATAATCAAGCATAGTTGGGAATATAATATCGAATCCAATGGGAGAAATCTGAGAGTTGTCGTTAGCTGAAGAAAATTCCGACTCTATAAATCGCACCCCTGTGGAAATAAAATATCGTCTATCAAAATCTTTCGAAAACTTTGTACGGATGCTTTAACTGTTATTATGCTAAAGGAAACACTTAAGACGAACCTCGATTAATTTGTTCTTCGCCGACTCCCCATTTCTTGAGTGCAAGAACGGACGCTAACGTAGAAGAAAGAATGTCCTTTTGTAATAAGGAATGGTGATGTGGACGGGCCCACGAGCCATTACAGCACTGGTTTTCGAGCAGCCAATTCAGACAATTCGGGAAACATGGTTCTTGTGGAGAGTTTGGAGAAGGGACCATAGCAACCCATGCTGTATCGTATGTTGATATCGAAATTTCGGTTTTTTGAATCAGCTTCGATATTCTTTCTCTGGTCTCGTCGAAGCTCTGGTTTATGTTCATGACAAATATTAATCGGCTCCAAGGTTTGGATGTAAAATAGAGTTCGAAAATGAAATATTTCAAGAGAAGAAAGTGTTTACTGAGGTAACTTTGGCTGGTGTTAGTACTCTTCGAACTCTCGTTTCCAGACATGCTGCTTGCAATAAATTAAGCAAATTCAAACTGTAATAAATACAGATCAAGGTAACAGACTAACAGCGACAAACTATTTTTTATTATTTTTTTTATAAAAAACACGTACAAAAGTTGGAAAAAAATCTACAGGCACAACAACAAACCAGAAACAAGAATCGAGATCGAACAAATGCACACGAGCGCAAAAGAAGGTACCTGAAATATGAGAAAAACGGGGGTTCCTCAAACGTGATTCGTTACAGCCAAAGAAGAGAGAATTGGAAAGATGAAGATGCATGGCGGGCGTTGAAACGGGGCTTCTGCTAAACACCTTCGCCTGTGATATATTAACTTCACAGCATAAGAGAAAATGATTAATTCGATTGAAAAATAAATCAGCAGCAGCTAAATCAGTTAGTCTTATACAGTATGGTGCTTGGTCTCCGATGCTGACAAATTAAGATTCAGGTAGCACATGGGGAGGAATCAAAAACCACAGATTCCTTTTAAGGAAACAGACATAAATTTATATAATGTATATATTTCAAGAGGGAAATAAAATAATGCCTATTCATTTCATTATCCCCACCTGGTTTATTCAAGTGAATTTATCAGTTGCTTCTCTTTTTCTCGAATATATATATATATATATATATATATATATATATATATATATATATATATATATATATATATATACACATATATATATAAAGATATATATAAAGACATATAAATATATAGAAAAAAAAAAAAGAATTATAAATATAGATAAAGAAATACATAAAAAAAAACAAAGAAAAAAATAAGCTAAAAAAAAAAAAAGAAAAATAAATGGAAAAAGAAATGTGAATTTAAATAGAGATATAGATAAAAAAATATATGCATAAGCATACACATATGCGTGCATGTATGAGTAAGAGCATTAGTGAGATCTCTATCCATCACTACTCTCACTAGCTCTCTCCTTTCTTTTTTTATTTCTCTCTCTATATATGTATATGTGTGCGTATTTGTGTTTTCACTTATCTTTTTACATATAGATATCGACATAGACAATGACACGCCATCTATCATGTCTCTCTGCACATGTGTGTTTGTGTGTGATTGTAAAAAAGAAAAAAAATATCTTTTTTTATGTATATACATACGTGTATATATATATATATATATATATATATATATATATATATATATATATATATATATATATATATATATATATATATGTAATATTACCTCGTAACCTTGAAAATCATTTAGAAGACGCCCACAAGTACTCATCAATCTGAATAGATTGTGATATTCGGAATGGTTGACCATCTTCTCCGAGAGCTTAGGCCCCACAAGATACAGTGCAGGCAGCACAATTGGGCCGAGAGCAAACGATATATACGCGTTTTTCATATATTCGTCCATTGTAGGAAGGGATTTTTCTCTGTCCCATTCAGCTTCTTTCATCATGGAATACAGCAAATCTAGCCACTGACGGTAAAAACGAACATGTTATATATCCAATTGGAGTAAAGATTAAAAGACTATTTATTTAACCCGTTTTTATACAAATAGACGACGAAAAAAAGGTGAGGAGGAATCTCACAATCTTGATTATTTGATTCATCACGCTTCGTTCTTGTTTTACGAACCCTTTGTCTCCAATCTCACATATTGTGGTCTTAAGGGCCGAAAATATTATCCGAACATTCTGTGAACAGCATTCCGTGCTGACATCAGCATCCCATCTGCAATAGTTAATGAATCGTAAGAAACTACTTTCGTTCGGGTGAGCAGAAAGAATAGGACTAGATACATACACTTCGACTAAATGAATTAAGTTCTTTAATTCTTCTATAGAACCTCCAACGTCAAAAAAGTCGTCCACCACTGTGGTGAGAACACCGTTTTTGGCCCACGACATACGAGCATCTGACAATTCGGGTTCGAAGAAAGTTGCTGCGGCGGAGAAATAACAGTATGCAGACTTACTCCTTGCGAATTTCAGCTCGTCTAATTTGTTCTCTACTACCCATCTGCATGTGAATAAAATTGTAAAACTAGGAAAATAAAAATAATTGCAGTTTTCATTTGCTCTGTTATTTACTGAAACGTACGTCTCGAGATCTTTGAGTTCTTGGCGATGTATGGCTTGGCATTTGTTGTAGTCTTCTACTGACAGCAAAAGGAAATCCTTGTTGCCAAAATTTGGCGAACTAAATGCCGGAGGAAAAAAAAAAGAGTGAGTTCGATCGATCGATAGATAGAGAGTATACATTTAGTAGAAACATTCAAACAAGAATTTTACCTATACGAAGTTTTCGCAATTCTTGTATTGTCCAAGTTGTAATTCTCTATATTTCGCCGTTTCGAAATCCGATCCAAAGTTGAATAAAAGGGATACTGAAGAACGCGGTTCACCTGAAAAAAAAAAAAATCTAATATAACTAATTCACTTATTCGAGGATTCGACTACGAGCACGTAAGTGTACATACATACCTCTCGGTCAACATTTCTACCACTAGATATTTTCTGCTCGAGTAAACGTTTACGCCTCGATTTTTGTCTTTCCAAATCTCTCTCGTCTGGGGAGATTATCAACTCCGATGCTCTATATAATTCATGAGTTGCATGTACGTCTTTCGTATTACTCGAAAGGCACTCCTCCAAAATACTTGTTACCCGATCTGCATGGAATAATTGCAAATAATTATACGTACGGAAAAAAGAAACAGAAAAAAAAAAAAAGAAAAAAGAAAAATCGGTGCTTGTGTTTCTTAAGTTAACCTGAAGTAACATTGTATCCTTTCATACGCAATAATCGGAATGCAAGAGCACAAGTCGAAGCATCCATGAATATCTCTTCGTCGCCCTGCACCCAGCATCTTTTATGGTCTAATGTCAAGATAATATAGTATGCAAATTTCATCACATGCAAAACCAACTTTCGATTGAATAAAACATGCGATAATTGATATAGACATATACCTGTATGTTTCATCCAACATAGTTTCGATTTCATCCCTAAAATACCGACTAATCCCCAATCTTTCGAGATTATCAACTGTGGACAGCCGAGAATATATATCCAGAGGGTAAACTGCAGGAACTGAAAAAGAAGAATATAAAAACATTGTGGATTCTTATTCGTTTATTGAAATTGGAAAACAAGAAAAAATCATCGAAGAATACCTGAATTACCGAACTTCGTTAGGGCCGAGTGAAGGTAATTAAGACAACGAGAATTAGGAAGGACCATGTAAGCAGCTGCTGTTGTGGATGGAGAGTTGAAAAAAGATCCATTTTTTCTTTGATATTTCATTATTGTTTTTTCGCAATCGTATAATTTTCCGATTCCTTCGGCAATATATGCCAAATAAGCTTCCTCCCCCTTCAACGAGTGGCTGTACAGTAAGGGAGATCGTGAAAAAAAAAACGTAAGATAAACAATTTCTTCTTACCAGCGCTGAACATAATTTTACTCGATCATAACCTTTTACAGATATAAAAATATTGGTAGTTAAATTCACTTCAATGCTCAACTCTACTATAGTATATACCAATCGCTTCCGAATGTCATCTTCGACATCATAAGAGTAAAAAGTTACCTTTTAAGCTCGAAATCCCTCTTGTGAATCAAGTCGTTCAACGTATTAGCCTCTAAGCGGAGGTTCAAAAACAAGTCTTTGGTATAATCGAGCATGGTTGGAAATATGATGTCAAATCCAATGGGAGAAATCTGAGAGTTCTCGTTAGCTGAAGTGAAATTCGACTCTATAAATCGCACACCTGTGAGAAAAAAATAACGTCTATTAAAATCTGTTACGAATGTTAACTAGTATGCTAAAGAAACACTTTAACACACCTCGATTAATTTGTTCTTCGCCGACACCCCATTTTTTAAGTGCGAGAACACACGCTAACGTAGAAGAAAGAACGTCCTTTTTTAATAAAGAATGGTGGTGTGGACGGGCCCACGAGCCATTGCAGCACTGGTTTTCGAGCAGCCAATTCAGACAATTTGGGAAACATGGCTCGGTTGGAGAATTCGGAGAAGGGACCATAGCAACCCATGCCGTATCGTATGTTGAAATGGAAATTTCGGCCTTGCGAATCAGCTTCGATATTCTTTCTCTGGTCTCCTCAAAACTCTGGTAATATTTAATCGGCTTTAACATTTGTATGTAATTAATATAATTTGATAATTGAAAAGATTTAAGAGAATAAAAAGGGGTTTTACTGAAACTGATGATGCAGCTACTCTGGGTGATGCTAGTCTTTGCAGTCTAGTTTCCAGACATGCTGTTTGCATCAAACAACCAAATTTTGCAGTTATATATATGTTAATAGAACTAGGGTTTTACACACACACACACACACACACACAAATTTACAGGCACCACACCAAAACCCAGAATGAAGATAGCCACAAATTTTTTTTTCTTCTAGTATTGAATCTTTCTGCAAAAAGTTGTCGTGATCAAGAAAAAAACAAAAAGATTGCATCTTTTTAAACCCTTTAGCTAATTCTCATAAGTGAAGAACAATTTTTTTCTCAATAAAAAAAAATTAAAAAAAAAGCAAAAAGAATTACCTGAAATAGTGGGGAAAAAACAGGGGTTTCTCAAATGCGATTCATTACGGCCGAAGAAGAGAGAATTGGAGAGATGAAGAAGATGCATGACGACGTCGTCTTGCTAAAAACTTCACCTTTTTTTTTCTTCCTTGAATTCACTGAATAAGAGGAAAAAAGGATCAGCATGAAAATTAAATAAATAAATCAAAACACTGTCGACAAAAATTGGGAAAGGTCGCACGGCCAGGAATCAATAATCCCAGATACGAGGAATCAATAATCCCAGATACGTTTTAAACAATCAGACACACATATATATATATATATATATATATATATATATATATATATATATATATATATATATATATATATATATATAAAATAATAATTATTATTTATTTTTTATATTTAAAATTCCAATAAATGGCAGCATCTGCAGTCCACAAGGTCTCTTTCTTCTGCATTTACTTTTGTACATACTGTGTTCTGATTTTCCTACTTCATTTGGCTCCTATTTCTTTAATGGTTTCTTGCATTAAATTATTCTACAGATTTTATGTTCAGCCTTTCCTAATTTTAATCCAGAAAAAAAAATGATTGTATTTGTTTTTGGTAATTTCGCGGGTGTTTCAAATTGTTTTGCAAAATGGGATTGTTTTATTTTACTTTATCTATACAATATAAATATAAAAAACATTCAGCATTTGACGTAATGTACATTCGACATTTGGCATATCTACGTCACAATTCTACCCATTTTGTACACTCTATTAATCGTCCAACATTAATTTTAGAATATAGAATTAAAATTAGTATCAGTATTAGTTACAAGTTGGGACAAAGAAATATACTTACATTTTTTGTATACGAAATTTCAATCTTCAATATTTATTTATTTTTCCGCCTATTTTGGCTTAATTAATTACTTACGTCGACTTTTGGTCTTACTATTTCGATAAAAAAAATTCTAATAAAATATTTATTTTTATAATAAATATCTGCTTGCATATGGGCTTTAAATTGGGCTAAGATGAACTAAATTAACAGGCCCATAAATGAGAGCCCACACATCACTGCATTCTTCAATTCTGTAGATAAACCACATTTATGTTCAAACAAAACCTCAGTTTCACTGTAGAGAACTGTAGGGAACACACACATATATACGCAGATGAGCCACTGCAGCAGAAGCAAAGTTAATGGAGAATTACTTACAGAATACATACCTATGAGCACGATTACGTAGAAAATTATTCACTACTTCTTCAGCTGAAAAAGCAAAAAATGGTTATCGGAAGCCGCCTCCTCATGTCACGAACTCTCTCTCTCGCCGCCGCGCCGCTCACCGCCGCCGCCGCGACAACCACCACCCTTCAACAAATCGCTTCTAATCACCCCAAAGGTAGTATTAGTATTCGTGCATTAAATAATTGCTTTATTTTTATTGTTTGGTTCTTCAATTTGTGTGTTCAATTTAAGAAATTAGCAATACTTTGGTTCGAATTTGTGTGTTGGATTGGTTTCTATTGTTTGTTTTTACTGATTTTTTTCCCAGTTCCAAATTCAGTCTCTAGGGTTCCTTATTTTTTTATTTGGCAATTAATGGGGAAAAAACATAGACCTAGTGTTGCATGTGAATTGATTTACATGAAGAAATTGAATTTATAGGTCTTGCAAAGGTTGTGCTGAAAAAGGGGAAAACTCAGCTCTTCAAAGATGGCAGCCCGATGGTATACAGTGGTGCAGTTGATCGAATAATCGGTAGACCGCCTCCCAAAACAGGGGATGCTGTCTTAGTCACTGATGGCACTGAAACACCCATCGGTTGGGGCTTGTACAATTCCGTTTCTATGTTTTGCGTTCGCCTCATGCAACTCGAAGATGATGCATCACGGTATATATGTATACGCACACACATATAACGCACGTCGGAAAGATCCTCATTATTTGGTTATTTATATTTGTCGAAAATTTCAGAGATCCGTCATCTGTCCTGAATGTGGACGCACTTCTCGAGAATAGGATAAATGCTGCTATTGAATTAAGAGAGAGAATAGGACTTCCTTCAGCTAAGACAAATGCGTATCGTCTTGTCAACAGTGAAGGAGATCGGTATTTATTCGATACACTTTTTTTTAGCTCTAATTGTGGTAGCTGTGGATTATTATTTATTTACTGTGATCATATATCTTTCAAATAATATGGATTTGAATGCAGGTTATCAGGCCTTATTGTCGACATATTTGGAGACGAAGCGGTGATTGCTTCTTCTGCAGCTTGGGTTGAAAAGTACAAGCAACAAATAAAAGCTTGCATCGGCAAAATAGACAATGTCAGCCATATAACTTGGAGACCATCCATTGATATCTTGAAGGAAGAAGGGCTGGATTTATCCGACTCAGGAGAAATAGATTTGTCGAATTCTCCCAAAAAAGCTAAGGTAAAAGTCGGAAATCACTACCGTCATGCCTTGTTTGGCTGCTAAGATTAGTCATGATTAGTTAAATAATTTTATCTTGGATAATCTTATCTTAGGAACCAAAGGAAGCTTATATGATATCTTGCACAAAATTTTGTTCCACGTGATAATGTTATTACATAGAAAAAAAAAAAAAGAAAAAAAAAAAAAAAAAAAAAAAAGGGGGCCGCCCGGTCTTCTTTTGCGCTACTGAGCTGGCTACCACGGGATTCTATGCCGACAACGTGACAGCCGCCAATACATATCATCGATTTCGGAGGGTAAAAAGTACTCGATATTTGCTGTTACACTGGCGGTTTTGCCCTAAATGCAGCAGGCGGTGGTGCTATTAGTGTCACCGGTACCTCCACATCTCTTAACTTTTTAGTCTCACAACTCGATCTTGTATATTATATTTATTACTATTCTAATTTGTCAATACTATTTTGTTTCCCTTGTGGAAGGTGTCGATTCATCTTCTCCTGCTCTTGACATTGCCAAGGAGAACATTGTTCTCAATAACCTCGACTCGAGAATAATATCGTTTCTTAAAGAAGATGCTACGTCTTTCATGAAGGGTGCAGTCTCTAGAGGTGATTCTTGGGATATAGTTATTTTGGACCCACCAAAATTAGCTCCTAGTAGAAAGGTATTTCGCATATTTTCGTCTTTGCTATTGTTTAAAATAAATAAATAAAATTTCTCTACTTACGAATTTTTACTTGTTTTAGGTATTACAAAGTGCATCTGGTATGTATAGGAATTTAAACTCCTTGGCTATGCAAATAACAAGAAAAGGTGGGCTGTTAATGACATGTTCGTGTTCTGGAGCTATGACTCAAAGTGGGACGTTCCTACGCATTCTACAGGCAAGTTTCCGACTCCGTTTTATTCTCGGAAATACTTGGATTTAAATTTTCAGACATTATATTGTAAGAAATCTGCATTAATAATATTATTTTATTTTATTTTATTTTTCAGGGTGCTGCATCAATGGCCGGTCGAAAGATAACAGTTATACGTAGAGCAGGAGCAGGCGGTGATCATCCTATTGATCCTTCTTATCCAGAGGGAGAATATCTCTCCAATGTTTTACTTCGAGTACTGTAAAATTTTATTGCATTCTTGTATTTCAATTATAATAAATTACAAAATTTTGTCATGAAGAATACCAATTATTTGTAATTTATTAATTTAAATGGGATAATTTTAATCGAACTAACAGAAAATGGTTTACGAATTGATGAATTATAAATAAACAAATATACAACTTAAGTTCATTCAAGGCAAGGCAAGGCAAGACAAGACTCAAATTTCATGTCTAAAAGTATTACAAAAGCTTATATAATCAAAGGTTAATAATAGTAATAATACACACATCTTACAAAAGCTAAGAGGAGCAGAGCAAATTTTGTACCCATTGTAATTGAGCAAGTATCCGTAGAGGGCAGTATCCAAGTGGGAATGGAAATACACTCATAAGCTAGCATTAGTGACCCCCGGGATTCCGATTCCACGACAAATAAGACGGGTCTCCAAGTTGCCTGAGTCGTAAAACATACTATTAGTAACGATTTTGATAATAGTACAATGGATAAAAAAATAAATAGAGCATACCTTGGTTTAATTAGATAAATAAGCATGAAACCCATGGCCAAGCAAAAGCACAATCCACCCACTGTGAGATATGCGATGCCCATAAAGTCGTTCTTTCCTCCTAGCCAGCTGGTAGTAGAAAGAACCAGTTTCTTCTTACCGTTGAAATTGTAGGTGTTGTAATTGTTCTGTAACGTCACATTAATGACATCACCGGCTTGAAGATCGACTTCTATTTTCCCGTACAATTTCCTAAATGTTGGGAGGGCGGCAGTTCGCATCCAAACAATGAGGTCCTCTTGCTCACTCAGCTGTTAAATGACCATATATTCAAAACATGCATACGTAGTTAGAAAACGAACTCCGAAATCGAATGACGCTACAATGTACTGTATATCATCTGTCATTCCATGATTACGCACAACACCAAAACAATGTATTATTTTCGGCATCATGAGATCTATACAAGCTGTTGCCTGTTGGACCTTATTATTAAGAATTGTAAAAGGGAATAACTTCCAAACCGGAACAGCATAAATATCTGGATGTCGAAATTAGATGTTCTTTCTACCACAAAAGCAATTCTATGATAAATAATTCGATACAATTAAATGAAGTGAACCGTTTCCACGTGCACCTAGATCTTACTTAATTATATAAGCAGTAACACTGCAGCATTTATGGAAATGCAAGGCTATATAATGATGTATGATTTTCAATAAAAAAAAATACATACATATCATACTCACTGCGAAAAAAAATATGTTCTTTTTTTTAATAAATAGCAAGTAAAACTACATATATATTACTTTAGAGGGCTTACTGGTATTGATTCATTAAGCTTTGCACCACCTGGTGCTGTGCCATTCTGAAAATTTTTGGGGAAGACCCCTTTTCCAAATTTACGATCTCTATCACTCTGCCACGAGATGCCTCTCTTGTTTATGCCCAATTGTTGGTTATTGCGTGAGAGGCTGTAAGTATCATTGAACATACTCCACGCTATAAGACCACAAGGAACTATAGGCAGTCCTTCTGGTGTGGTGTCTTCAGGACTACAGGTAGATATGTCACGCTCATTTCCAGGGTTTCTCAGCTGCTGATCACTTCGACTCTTCACATATCTAATATTCACCAAGAAATTCATAAAAAAAAAAGGCATTATACAGACACAGTCACACAACTTAGAGGAGAGAACAGAGTAAGTACTTGATTGTGTTCAATCCATCTTGATTGAACGACATATATAAAACTAAAACCCAATATTTCAATCCAATGAAAGAACAGTTGCCAAAAGGAAATTAAAAAAGACTGGAAATTATTACCTGCGATGATTCTGATAGAAATTGTCGAGCTGGTAATACACATAGATTGGCTGCTTCATATGTTTTGTAACCTGACAACGATCAATATATTATTCAACTGAATTATTGAATATTTTATGTACATTAAATACAACTATCATGAGATGCAACAGCCAGGGAAGCAATCAGAAAATGCTGAATGGGGGGGGGGGGGGGGGGGGGCTCACTGTAATAATTCTGTTGCACGTTTTGTCTGCATTGCTCCACATAAACCCGGTCTTGTTGTTTCTTGAATCTAAAGGAATGCATTCAGTCTCATATCGATCGATAATTTCAACAACCTGGTGGGTAGAAACGAAATTTCAGTCACTAAAACCCTTGCAAAGGGAAGACATAGTTTAATTTAAAACAAAGAAAAAAAATGTATTGTGTCTTGACGCGTACATCTCGAGAAGCAAAAAGTGATACAACTCCGATGGGAATGAAGACAACACTAACTAGCAAGAATGCCGAGATCACCTGTACCGAAAAGAGTGTATAAGATGGAGCAACTACATTTTTGGAAAATAGTAGAGATTTGTGAAGGGGGAGCAAATGAATGTGAAAATACTTTAAATACTTACCCATTTAGGAGTCAGAATAGGTTTGCAGGCGGGAAGTTCCTGCTGAGTAAACCTTGAATCTGAGAACACAATTCAAAAGAAAAAATAAACTCAATTCACAGCCTCGGTCCAATCATATATCTGAATAGATTGATGCTAAATAATCCTGATAAGTAAGCCAATCAATGCATTTGAAAGACGACAAAAGAAATTGGTCAACATTATTAAACAAGAATCAAGCAGATTGCATAGTTCAAACTCACAATCTTAACATTGTTTTCCAATACTCTAATTTAAGAAGCTCCAATGGAAAATCGGGTTGTTTAAACAAAAGTGCTCCCCGTTCAAAAGTCAATTCTTAAACTTTAATTTGTTTGATTCACATACAATACATACAAATCATCGAAATGATTAAAAGAAGCGGTGCCCCAAAGTACAAAAGCATTTCTTCAATTAGTAAACTCCTCCACCCAAAAACAGATCATTTCCTTTAATTTTCCAATTGAAGACTAGTTAATTAAACAGACAACTAAACAATATTCATACTACTTAAAGCCACAAACATTCCATATCGGTATCTCACAAACAAAAACATAGACAATCAACCATATGCATACCATTTTAAGCAATAAACATTCCGTATCTGAATTCCAAAATTTGAAAAAAAAAAAAAAAAAAAGTCAACAAACGCAAACCTATTTAAAAATTGTTTAGGGTGGATTAAAGGAAAGGAATTTACACTTGGGTCGCTTCGAATTCCTTCTCGGAGCAGCGGATTCGGCCGATCCGGGTGCTCCAGCACTGGATGACGGAGTACCCGAGTTCATAACTAAACCTGATTTTTCTCTTTCCTTCTCAATTTCCCCCTTCTTCTACCTCCTCGATAAACGAGTATTTTAATCCCAAAAAAACGAATGCTAACAGAGATTTCAATCAAAGACGAAAGGCGGATCAAACAGAAACGCAGAATCAAACAAAAATAACGGCGAATCTCGGAATCGGAAAACTTCAATTTCGCCGAACAAAATATGGAATCGAAAATTACAAAAAAATGGGTTGGGTGGGAGAAAGACAATTGTGGGAGGGTTTGGTATAATAGAGGAGGGTGGGGGAAGCTCTTCTTCTATTTTTTCTCTCACACTCTTTCTCCTTTGACTTTGAAATTTCTTCTGCGTTGTTATTTTCACCACACCAACAAACAAAATTAACAACAGGGGAAAAATTCTGCGATGCGTTTAATTTTTTTAATTTTTTTTTTCTGTTGATGTAATTAAATTAGGCGCAGGCGGCAGGGGCGAATAGTCCACTCCGATTCCTCCCCCCTCTCTCTCTCTCTCCTCTTTCTCTCTCTATCTCTCTCTCTCTCTCTGGAATCTAGAAGAAAGCCTGAAAGAGAAGAAGGGGGGAATGGGGGAGAAGTTGGGGAAAGTTGATCGCAGGGGTAAAGATGGAAAAAGAAAATTGAAATGTTGGACTAGTCAAATTTATTATGCTCTGCAGTTTTGAACACGTTTTCTCCTGTGTTGTTTCCCCGACGCTACGGAATTACCTTATTTAGTCCTCCCTCCCAACTACAAATCTGTGCTTTGTCCCCTTCTAATTTTATAAATATATTTAATTATTTATATTTTATTTTCCTTTTCTGAGGCATAAATAGATAAATATTTCTTTTTTACATTTTAGGGCTTATTCGACTAATATTTCCTATTGAGGTCATCACTTTGTTAATTGCTAAAAAAATATCCGTGGTATTTATTAATTTGTAACTTACGGCCACCTCTGAGGTAAGATTAAATTACGAAAAAATCATTATTTTGGGTAATTACATCAACATCCCTCAATTATGATTTTTCTTACACAACCATCCTTATAATGTCAAATTCATCGTAATCTTTTAGATTCCGTGGAATATTCTTTAGTTTGCACTCATTTTGTGCAAAAATGCAGTTTCTGATGCACCACAATCTGATATTGACAAGTCAAGAGACACGTTTTATGACCATCTTATTTTAAAATGTGGAGCTCGAACGTGAAAAAACGGGTACAAACTGGAGAATATTTCACATAATCTAAATAATTTCACTAAATTTGACACTGCAATTGTGAACATATAAGAAGATCCATGACTGTAGATAGTTGTAATATAATTATCTAAACATGAGAGATTGTTTCGTAATTTGATATTACCTCAGGGGTAGGCGTAATTTACCATTTATAATGTTAACAAAAATCTTCATATGCTACATTTTTTTAGCATTACATAGATTAGAAAAAAAATTGATTTAAAAAAAAAACTTAAATTGGGCCGGGCCAGATGTTTTGCTACACGCAGAAAAAGCCCAAATAAAGAAAAGGGATTTTGGTAGAAAAGGAAAACAATAAAAGGCCCAAAACCTACATCCATTATTGTAGTCGACATCAATTATTTATTTATTTATTTATTTTTTATTTTTTTTGAGAGATATTTATTTATTTATTCTTCTAATTTTAAATAAACTCCAGCAATAATTTCGCTGCGAGAGTGACGAAAGTGTAGACATTTGCAGAGCAGATGGGTTGGACACGCATAGGAATGGCGTATCGCCGCTGCTACGTCAGCTCTCTCTCTCCTGGCATCTCCGCCTACACTCGACCGCGCTCCATTTCTGCTGCCACATTTTCTCGTCAGGTACTCTACTTTTGCTCTCACTCGCATCCGCTCCGCTTTGTTCTATATATCAGCCGCTGTAAGTATCTATCTAGTTTGAGTCGATCTTCTTTTTATTGCATCAAATTGTTGAAATTGAGAATGATCGCTATCGATTGTTTGGTAACTGAGAGCTAGAGTAATTAATTTTGAGAGGAGATAGTGTATCTTCACTTATTTTTGTATTTGTTTCCTTTTTTATTTGGGGAAGTTTATTATTATTTGATTTTGCAGCAGTGAATTTGATTATTCAGTGTAGATTTTTTTTCAAATTTTAGTCGATTTGTCGAGTCGAATTCTACATTTGATTGCTTGTATTTCACCATCACTTGTTTGTGGTATGAGTATATGATAATTAATCAGATGTTGATTTTGATCATGGCAGATGAGTTCGGAAACACAGAGTATTGCTGCTCGTCTAAATAGTTCGGGGTTTATCCGAAGTCAGGGTCTTATAGGAGGGAAATGGATTGATGCACATGACGGGAAGACTATTGAGGTTAGGCTGTCCAGGTTTTGATAACATCAAAAGGAAAATACATTTAAATTGTGGGGAAGTTTTTATGTAAGCAATAGTGGAGTAATATTACCATATTTTTTGACAGGTTCGCAATCCTGCTACAGGTGATCTTATAACAAACGTTGCGTGCATGGGTGGAAAGGAGACAAATGATGCAATTGCTTCTGCACATGAGGCATTTATTTGTGAGTTTGTTCAGACAACTTGACTATGTGTTGATATTTTGATAAGTGAATTGATTTAAAATAGTATTACGGCTTCTTTGGATTTTACCTATTTATTCTTCTTTATGGTGGAACGAAGTTGAGTTTCGGGTAGTCTAATTATTTTTATTTTTCTTTTTCTCTATGGTTGAACCAAAATTTGGGTTATATGATTAACCTTATCCATTAATATTAACTGAAGCTTGGAGCAAGGTAACTGCTGCTGAAAGGAGCAAGTGTTTAAGAAAATGGTATGATTTGTTGATGGCCCACAAAGAAGAGCTTGGACAACTTATGACCTTAGAGCAAGGAAAACCTCTAAAAGAGGCCATTGGGGAGGTACCTTGTTCTCTGTTTATCATTACTCTCTGTTTTTTTTTCTTAGAGCATTTATGAATATTCAGTTTACAGGTCAGTTATGGGGCGAGTTTTGTGGAGTTCTATGCCGAAGAGGCTAAAAGAGTTTATGGTGATATCATTCCAGCGACATCACCGGATCGTCGTTTGTTTGTCTTAAAACAGGTGAAGTTTGACCCGGCTTCTGATAGCCTTATTTCTTATTTTTAGTATTTCTTAACATTAAGCACCCCTCACATTTCTTACCATTATTTTTTGGATCCTTGAGTAATATTAATTAAGGAATGTTCTCTTGCAGCCAATTGGTGTTGTTGGTGCCATTACACCCTGGAATTTCCCTTTAGCCATGATTACGCGTAAGGTGTGTTGGAATTACCGTTCTATAGTTCAGTGATTTCTTGTGTTGGAGCTTCATTATATCATATAAATGGTGGCATCTTTGTTTTGATACCAGGTTGCCCCTGCGCTTGCTTGTGGATGCACTGTTGTTATAAAACCCGCGGAATTGACCCCGTTGACTGCATTAGCAGCAGCTGAGCTTTCAATTCAAGCTGGGATACCGCCTGTAATTCTTATTCTCTAGCATTAAAACTACATAAATACATATGGCGTGTTAGTGTTGTCATTCATAAACTGTGCCCATTCCTTTCTTCCAATCTTGTTTATCATTTTATAAGTGACTCAATTTAATTTCAATTAGAAACATTTAACATGCACAATTGTCTAGTGCATTGTTCTTTATGGTTTCCCTATATCCCTGTTACTTACATTGCTAAATGAGACATAATTTATGATCCTTATGTATTAAAGCTTGGTTTTGTTTGCATTTGTCTCATTTTCATCTTATGGTTTTCTGCACGACAGGGTGCAATCAATGTTGTAATGGGAAATGCATCTGATATTGGCGATGCTTTAATTGCAAGTCCCCAGGTTCTTAATGCTTAGCTTTCAAATGTGGTTCTGTGAAACTTTGAACACTAGAACATATAGACTGTAAATGTTTCTGAAATTTTTGTAGGTAAGAAAGATTACATTTACAGGCTCAACAGGTGTTGGAAAAAAATTGATGGCAGGTGCTGCCGCGACTGTTAAAAAGGTAGGTGGTGAAGATGCTTGCATTCTTGTAGTCACTACTGTTTTTACTAGTTTATTTGACAGTCGAATGTGTAGGTGTCCCTTGAACTTGGTGGAAATGCACCCTGCATTATTTTTGATGACGCAGATCTTGACGTGGCTTTGAAAGGAACTGTAAGATCAATCTCATTTTCTGAAAATTTTGTTTACCGTGGGAGAATTATGAAATGGGTTTTTTTGGGTCAGCCTCGAAGTTTAATACTGATTTGAATGTTTGAACAAACCAGTATGTCTTACAGTTACATTGTTTACAATTGCAGCTGGCAACTAAATTCCGTAACAGTGGACAAACATGTGTTTGTGCAAATAGGATACTTGTGCAGGAAGGTATTTTACAAATCTTGTAAATTGTAACTTATGTTCTTTAATCTGATTGGATTTGTACACAGGTGAGTAGGTTTAGCTGAGAGTTCTTAACATGACACATGTTTTATTCTTTTCTAAAATCTGGAGGAGTTAAGTTGCGTTAAAAGATAACTGATTCTCATACTTCAAACAATTGTTGAAGTATCTTTTTGAAATTTGTAATTTGAAAGGAAGCAAAATGCATGATAGATTGCAATTTTTAATATATCCATCTCTGTCTTCATTTCTTTCTTTCTTATCATCTCTCCAGTTTGAGTATGTTTTGACCTTCCGGTTATTCCCTTTCATCATCAAATTCTTTGTCGTTGTAGGGATATATGAAAAGTTTGCAAATGCCTTTTCAAATGCTGTTGGGAGTATGAAAGTTGGTAATGGCTTCGGTGAAGGTGTGGTACAGGTACTCATTAGCTCAAGTCACTCAAATTGTCACTAACTTGCTAACTGTTTGGCTTTGCATTGAGTTAGCTGTACTATTACATAACTGGCATTGATCGTGTATAGTTACCCTTCTTCATAACTGGGGTCAGTTACCAAAGGACATAATTTGATGTTTATTTTCATATTTCGTGCAGGGCCCTTTGATCAATGATAATGCAGTGCACAAGGTATCTTATCAATTTTACATCCAATTCATGTTTGCAAATCACTATTGCCTATTATAGTAGAAGTTAACTTCTTTAGGATTGCCTCACAGGTTGAATCATTTCTGCAAGATGCCATATCAAAGGTTTGTTCGTTGCTTATGTGGGATTATCGCTGCTATGATCAATTCTTCATGAGAGACCACTATTCTTATTGTCCAGGTTATTGAGAGGTTGGATGTGAATGCTCCCAAATCTAAGTAAATAGTTATATTTCAGTCACACGGGCTTCTGGACACGTGAAATTGTACTTGTTTGAAATTCATATAACTCTTAAAAAATTGCATATGTTTAAAAAATCTGGGGGAGTTCTCTTCATCTTTCCTGTGCTAGATGATGAATCCGGGATTCTTGAAGTATGAACTTTGTAAAAAGCTCCTTAGAAATAGAATGATAGAATCACTAGAGTCCAGGTATGACATATTGAGTAATCCAGAAAACGTTCAAGAGGGTATGCCATTGTATTGATTGATTGTACTGCCTTGCACTAACAAATACACCTTTCTGGTTCAAGGGAGCTAAAGTACTGACTGGGGGCAAGAGACATAGCCTTGGAATGACTTTTTTCGAACCTACGGTGATAAGTGGGGTAAAAAGTGACATGCTGATATCAAGGTAATTCTAAAAGCTTGATGATATCCAAAATCCAATTTTTACATTTATGCTCTTTTGAGTTGCAGTACATATAGTTTTAGGTGATTCCAAAAGTTCAATACTTAAAATAGTTAGAATTTAAGTGGCTATTGTATGTGATTGAATTGCTTAATTAGTGTTATTTGGCATGGAGTTTATGTATAAATTTATCCCCCGTCTTCTTGGTGTCATGAGGTGTACAAGCCTGGCCACCACATTATTGGTTCTATAGTTCTATTGCACGATCTTCTGATTCAAAGAAGTTGACTATTCTTTTTCATTACAGGGAGGAAGTATTTGGACCAGTTGCACCCCTTCTGAAATTTAAGACAGAGGAAGAAGCTATCCGCATTGCCAACGACACTAATGCAGGTATTCTCGATGAACCTTCTGTGGTCAAATTTGAACATAATGAACTTTTATTTGTTGGAGCACTTGCTCCAATAACACTACAATCGTGATCCTCCATTTTAAAATATGATACGTACAATTTATTCTAAATACCAATTTATTATTTGAAAATAAATAAAAAAATAGGACAGTAAAATTCAATATTTTTGTAATAATGCCTACAAAATAGATAATATGTACATATATCATATTGTATATATGGTGGTAATTGTACTACAAAAAGACGGTGTAAGCTTCCTGGAATTGCATTGTTGCAATAATTACATATCACTAATGTTTGTTTAATCAACAAGAAATAATTATCTTAATCTAAAACACCTTTGGAAGAGATAATGCAGCAGCAGCATCCATAAAAACAATTCTGCATCTTAGCTGTAATGTCTATCTCAGATGGACAGTTGAAACCTTGTAAAATTTTAATATAATTTAGACATTAAACCAGATGTTAATTGGATCTTATAAAGATTCTTAAGGCGTCAACTTAAGCAAATTAATCTGTATATTAATTTAAATGCCTGCAAAACCATGTCCTAATGTGAACCTGTCCAGTTGTTTCCGAGTGTTTTCAAGGCATCCAGCATGTCCTAGAGACGACATTCCAAATAATCCGGGAAAATAAATAATTACAAATGGTTACCAGTTAATATAGCTAATAATTGAACACCATACTCATTATTTGAAACAGCAGGCTTTGATTAAGGTAAATGCTGAATGGGACTAGAACCCTATTGTGTCTTTTGCATATTCTAAATACCGTATCTGTTTTGTAGGCCTCGCTGCATACATGTTTACGACAAATATCCAACGGTCTTGGCGTGTCTCTGAAGCTCTAGAATACGGACTAGTTGGAGTTAACGAAGGACTAATTTCAACCGAGGTGGATGTTATTTATAATCACTGTACTGGATTCAGAACACAAATAAATGTTTTATCTGTCACTAATCATCTTCCTTTTAATGCAGGTGGCTCCATTTGGAGGCATAAAACAATCAGGTCTTGGCCGTGAAGGATCAAAGTACGGGATGGATGACTATCTCGAAGTACGTAAATTCTCTTCTTTTTTTTCTTTCTGTGCATGCAACTAAATTTCGTGCGTGCATTTTTTTTGCAACTCCTTTGGGTTTTATTATTGAGTGGCAGTTTATGCTGAATCAGAAATTTTCGAAATTTTGGAAATCGTGCGCTATCTAATATATCTTTTTGATGCAATTTTCTTTTCAATTGCAGATAAAGTATATATGCATGGGAAATATGGGCTGAGCTGAATTAAAGGTTTGAAATCCTGCTCCCGCCCCTTTTTAATCGTCGGCTTCCTTCTCAGAATTTTTGAGATGTGTAAAGAAATAAAGAGAACACTTTAATAAAGAAGGTTGGTATGGTGTTGCATGGTCGATCCGCGGAGCAGAATTCAAGTTGGATTAGGCAGAGACAGTCTTGTATGATAGATGAGTATTGGAAAAGATACTTGCTCCATTAGTATCTAAATAAGTGCCTATTTGTACTATCCCAGGAGACAATTGCTTTATGTTTTTATAGCCTTGTTTTATCGCATGAATTTTGGAAAAGCCCCCACCCCTCCCCACCCCACCCCACCCCCACCCCTTTTGGATGACGTCACCGATTAAAATTATTCAATTTTCAATATCCCTCCGAAATTTAAATGAAAAAAATGGTGCAGGATGACGGCGATGGACAAATTAAACGACATCCTCAGTTGCCGATATCTATCGTTTCTGAATATTTCATGTCTATCCGAATTTATCCGGTTAGGGGGTGGTGTTAAACTGCTACAGAAGACTTGTTTAATGTGAGTATGTATCAATTTGGCTTTGGCTCTTTCAAAAAAAAAAAAAAGAAGGATCAAATTGAGATGGTCCTGGACGAATCTGATTCTTGCAAGAACCGAGTCACTGCGAGTTGACTCAGTTTTCATTTTGGACTCATTTTCCAGGTAAAAAAAGAAAAGTTTCAAGAGATGAAAGAAGGGATAAGGTCCCACCGATTCACCCCAAAGGAATATATTCATTTTTAGGAATAAATTCGTGGGAAAAAAAGAAGAGCATATTAAGATGCTTAAAATTTAAGCAAACAATGCCCAATATCCAATCCCACCCGCTTTTGCACTAATTTGTGGTTTTAAATATTGAAATCAGCAACTAAAAGTTAAACCTCAACTTTTAAGTGCATATGCTTTGTTATTTGGACAGCTACCTCTAACGTGATACTCTTAATTAACTTAATTAATTAATTATTATGTGCATGCTTTTTTCTAACTAAAGCTCTTTAATTAATCAATTTATATAAATTTAGAGTCGAAACTTCAACCGTACACTACCAAAGAAACCACTTTTAATATATATATATATATATATTCTTTTCATTTTTTTAATTTTGGAAGTATATTAAAGAAATTTTGAATTTTAAAAATAATAATAGATTGAGATTGCCCATTTTTTTAAAATTCTTGATTTGAAAGTGATCTCTCAAATCAAATCCTTTTCCTGGGAGCTCCACGTAGCATGAGTATGACATAAATTCCCATGCTAATTGTACCATGGAAATATAAAATTAGTACGGTTAAGTGTCTACTTAACGTAACTAGGTTAATTAGTGAATCATTAGAAAGTTTAAACATTTAGAGGGAAGAATCTTTACTTTAATTCTCGACGAAGGAAGAATTTATTCCTTCTAGAGAAAGAGGAACAATCTATGTATCCTTCTTTAAGTATTTGTATTGTATCTCTCCTCCTTACTTTTGTATAATAAATCATAAACGGCAAGTTGATGGAGTAAGAGAGAACGATTTTATTTGATCTGAGTTTGAATCCTTTGCCAATATTTTATAGGTCGAGATCGTCGCACATGATTACTCTAGTATAATTAAGTACATCTCTCATGCAGTTTGTAAGTTACACCTATATATGCCCCGATTTAATTGTGCATGTATATATAGTAGCTCGTTCCCCGGTTTTAATCATATTAATAAATATATACTTGGAAAAATATCTAGATTTCATTTGCATTTGCAGTCATAAACTAACATGGTATATGTGTATTTTTTTTAAATGTAAATTAAATTGACGTGGGTGAGAATAGAAAGAAGTAAATATGACAATCTTGTATTCCACAAAAGCACTAGAGATAGATAGATATAGATATATATATATATATATATATATATATATTCAGCCTCCAACAAAAAATTAAAGCTCTGCGATGCCTTTATACATTGATCTTCACGTCCCAGCTCTACACTTTTTTCTTCACCATAATAAATAAATTACGAAATTAATTCGTAAGAATTATTTCATTTTATTTTATTTATGTGTTTTAAATTCATGAGACAAGTATATTGCAATATTAAAAAAAAATTAAAAAGTTAAAAAATAAAAAAATCCGAAAAAAGGGGTCGTACCACGAAAGAGAAGAAAAGAAGAATGCTTTAATGAAAGAAAATGAACTGGTCCTGGCCTAGACTATACTACTACCAAGACAAGTTTTAAAGTGTTACACTTACATCCAATTCCCCATCATTACATGCCATGCAATCCCCCCACTTGCATATACAATATTATATATAAACATTTATAATAATATTAGGGTTCTTGAATGCATATATATGATGCACTTTTCTTTTTGAGATCACAAAATGTGTACAAATCCTACACACACACATATTGCTGTTTGTCAATTGTTTGTGTGTATACTGTGTATATGTAGGGGTGAGAATCGAACGAATCCGATTGAATCGAATTCACATTTTTTAAAAGAAAAAAATGTAATATTTTTTGAGTGAATGACTTACAATTATGTCCGAAAACAAATCCAAAAAACCAGGAAATGATCGATCAGCATTATTGTTTCGTGAAATTAGAATGAAAAACAAAATCGAAAATTTTGGATGTATAGGAAATGGTGGAATTCGTGGATTTTTTTTCTATTCACATTTAATATAAAATACGCAATAATATTGATATTATATATAAATATAAGTTTAAAAAAAAATTGGAATTTTTCAGAAATTAAAATTCGACTGACCGGAATGTCTATATAATTAATTCCGATCAAAATTGGCACATATGCGGGAAAAAAGGCGGTCTGATCAATTTGTTTTCGCGAAAATTGGAATTCTTCGGATCAAAATTAACATGGAAGATCTATTACAAACCCTAACCGTAAATATCAGTTACTCACCATCTGCGGAGAAAACATTTACAAATTACGTAGTTAAGAGATGTGAACATGATTATTAATTAAATGGTAATGATCATTACACCTAATGAAATGTGTGTGTGTGTGTGAATTCAAGAAATTAAAGAGCTTTTTGCAAAGCAAGGCCTATATATATCTATACAATTAGGAATATAATATATATAGTTTTGGCTTCTTGTTTTTTCCTTTTCCTTTTTTTTCTTTTTTTCTTTTCCGAAGGTTTAATCTTAGTATGCTACTTCTAATATGGTAAAATGGAGTTACTGTTAGAACACTGCTTTTTAATTACCACAAAATAAAAATTACAGTACTTTATGGGGTCAAAGAAATAAATGGATTCTAATTCTTGCCAAAAGATGGCAGCTTGTAGATAACATTAACATATTTATCGGAAAATTAGATGCTATATCTGGTTATTTACACTGTGTGAATTTGAACCGTATATCTACACATAATCACACACACCGATGTGTATGTGTGCATACTCAGTAGATAGTTATTTAATTAAATCTGCAATCAAATCCACCCGGTATAAATATCAGGTGTAGCATCTAACTCCCCGATTTTTCCTCTTCTTCGTGTATATATTATATTCCATTTAAGAGGTTAATTAACTTGCCGCTAAATTATATTCCTTTGGATTAATTGAGAAATTACCAAAAAACCCTTTTTCTCAATCTCCTCTAGTGAAAAAATGGGCACCCTATTCTCTCTCACTATATCCACAGCATTTGTTCTTTGATTCCATAAGCAGCAAAGAAAGACCAGAGGAGAGAGAAACTAAACTCTAGAGAGAGAGAGAGAGAGAGAATGTTCCAGACGACGAAGAAGGCAACAAGTATGAATAATCCGCACGAGCCGAGGGGCATGTGCGTCCAAGGTGACTCTGGCCTCGTCCTCACCACCGACCCTAAACCTCGTCTCCGATGGACCGTCGAACTCCACGAACGCTTCGTCGACGCTGTCACTCAGCTCGGCGGCCCCGACAGTACGTCATGCCTCCTTTTCTTATTCATCGTATATCTATTAATAACTATATATGTATAATTAACTGATCATATATATGAATAATTTGTTCGGAATATATTTGTAATTTAATTAGAGGCGACGCCGAAAACTATCATGAGAGTTATGGGGGTCAAGGGCCTCACGCTTTATCATCTCAAGAGCCACCTCCAGGTATTTCATTAATTCTAATCATTATTTGCAATTTTATTTTATTATATTTATAATTATTACTTCAGTATTATTTTTTATTTTTATTTTAATTTATTGGCTAGGGTTGTTGTTGTTGCTTTGATTAATTTTGATATATATGATTTTATTTCTATTTTCAGAAATTTAGGCTTGGAAAGCAGCCTCACAAGGATTTCCATGATCACTCAATGAAAGATGGTGAGAGAGGTCACATATTATATATATATATATATATATATATATATATATATATATATATATATATATATATATATATATATATATATATATATATGTTCTGCCCTAATTTTTACTATATATGTGTATATGTATTAGTGATTAAGTTTAATGAATTATGACAACAGATTCATCTTTAGAACTTCAAAGAAACAATGCGTCGTCGTCTGGAATGCTGGGGCGCAGCATGAATGAGTATGTTACGTTACTCTAATTACCAAAATTACCTTTTTACCCTTTCAATTAATTAATTATTTCAATTTCCATGTGTTAATTAATATATATTATTATATTTTCCAAAATATTTTTGAGGCTATGTATGTATGTATGTATGTATAATTTGATAAGTGGAAGTTATCTTTCAGGATGCAAATGGAGGTCAACAGAAGACTCCACGAACAGTTAGAGGTATTCACACACACACACACACACACACACACACACACACACATCTATATATAATATATGTGTATATATATTATATATTATAAATTACTTACAAAAAATTAATAATAAGTACTGCAGGTTCAAAGACACCTGCAACTTCGAATCGAAGCCCACGGAAAGTACATGCAGACGATTCTCGAAAAGGCATGCCAAACCCTCGCCGGAGAGAATAACATGGCGGCGGCTGCAGCCGCCGCCTCAGGAAGCTACAACAAGGCGGCGGTGGGGCCCGATATGTCCTGCGGCCTGAAAGATTTCGGGCCCGCCATGAACAACAGTTTCCCATCCCTTCAAGATCTCAACTTGTACGGACCCACCGACCAACAACTACTTGACCACCACCACCACAACCATATGGAAAGATCTTCCTCCATTGGTAATATCAACGACGTCTTCAACATCCAAACAAACAACGAAAACTTTCTCGCGAACAAGAAGAGGCCGAATCCGTACGGTAAGAGCCCGTTGATTTGGGCCGACGATTTAAGGTTGCAAGAACACCTTGGAAGTAATGATGATAATGATTGCCAGATTCATATGGGCCCGCCCTTTTCGCTCGATAGAGGAGGCAGCACTAGTGATCATAATATCGACGATTCGGTTTCGGATCATAATATCTACGAGACGAAGCCTATTCTATCGGGAGATCGCATTCATCGCTCCAATAACATTATCGGAGAAAAGAAATTCGATAAGTTGTCCGATAGGTCATCCCCACCACCCCATCATCGTCGGGCGGCGGAGAGGATGAACCACCACTCCGCCGCCATTAGTGCCGGCGGCATCATGCCACAAGCTGGCCGGAGCTCGCCATTCGGGTGATACTAATTAACAGATCATCATATACATTAATTAATATTTGAGTGTTCTTGATGTCTGTAGTATTTAGGGGTTTGGAGCAACGCTAAAAACGGCGTCGTCTTAATATATATCTATATGCTGTAGTTTTGCTTATAGTACTTAATGAATGTTTTGCGTCACCTTTCTTGAATAAGTGTTTGGCATGTTATATTCAAGGATGATGCATGCATGTGATTGATTATTAATTAGTGCATGCATGCAGCTATACCAGATTTCTTGTTTTATATTAGGGTTTTTTTATTTTTTATTTTTTGACGGTTTTAATATGTGATTATTTCGAATAGAAAACACTGAGAACAAAACATTCTTGTCTTGATAATATTATTAATATTTTGATTTTTCGAAATATATATATCGTTTTATTTATATAATTTATTTGAAAGAAAAAAAAGGAGGGGGTTTTGAATTAAAGCCATATTTTAAGTTTGCCGTTAATGAATCGCATCTAATATATATATATTCTTTGATGTACGCTAAGCTTTGAGGGGTCGTTTTCTTTATCTTTATAGAATTCTGCTAATTACACTAATGATTAACTCATGAGGAAATTAACCTTTTTCTCTTACCACTGCTTTTAATTAGTTAATTAGTAGCTCCCAAGTTAGTTAGTTAGTTAAACTTCTTCTAATTATTCATTAACAATACTATATATATGTAAATCTACAGAGGGAAATTAGTAGACTTGAGACAGATGAGTATGCATATAAATTCTCTGCAAAGCAGTAAATTATTCTTACCAGAACTAGATAAGACAGTGAAAAAATATCATTAATAAATGTTCCAAGAATATATATATATATATATATATATGTTGAGGAAAGGGCGCCGACAAAGAGTATCCAACTTTGTTGCCCTAGCTTTTTTCTTCTTTACCGTTATATAAATATATATTCGAATGAGATATATATGAACTACGTATTGCGGTGCATGCTACTGCTATACTACTACTAGTCATCATTACATGCAAACTCTTTACTTTGCATTTTGATTATGATGATTCATTCGTTGGCATTATTAATTAATTAATTAAATTCCCAATAAATAAATATATTAAATATGATTAATGAATTATGTCGTAATCTGTGGCACGCACACCCATGCAATGCAACACACGGATACATATGTACATTGGATTCTGTCTTCTTATTCCTTCTTCGATTCTCTAGCTAGCTATAAGCTACTTCTTTTAATTTACTCTCTCTCTCTCTAGCTTTCTTTTTTAGGATAATTTTCAACTGTGCACTAGAAGCTTCTTTTGTCCCCCTTCCCCAACTTTTTGCTGACGTCACACATTAATTCATTCCATGCATTTACATTAATACATAAATTCAAATTCATATGGGTATTTAATTTGTATATTAGTTACATACTTTTTGAATAGTGTACTTGATGTAGTCCAAATGATTCAATCACGTCGTGGGGATGAGTTGGTGGGTCCCCTGATACGTCTTTGGTTTGATCACATGTGGGAGTGATATGACTACTACGAGTTATGTTTGTCTGTTGAGAGCGAACTATATATCTTGCTAGCCGCCACCTGGGTCAGTTCAATGGAGAGATCTAGTCCGTTGGTATGATCGTTGTCGTTTCTGGTTATGCCATAATTAGGCATCTCCCTCCTATTGCAAACTTTCCGCCTTTGTTTAAGAATTAGGTAGAATGTATGTAGTTACATTTATCATCTATCTCTATCCCATGTGGGGCTAGTGACCGACAAGCTATCTATAGAGTGTTAGTGGGCAAGGTGAGATTAGGCCTGAGTTGTCTTTGGACTTTGTATGAGATTGTTGACATTTGGCTTCTAGAACAGTCGAGCCCGTATCACCGCTTATTTCAATACGATCTTTTATTTATTTTGGAACTATATTTAATTCCATGTTAAAAAAATTCAATTAAGCCGTCCACTAGCCAATTGAGTCCAAAAATTTAAAACTTCGCCAATTTAGGTCCAAAATTTTCCGATTTATGAATAGTATTTCCCATTCTAATTTCCAAAATTTTGATTCTAAGTTAATTAATAAAATTAAAATAAATTAAATCTTTGATAAACTTAAGCTGTTTAATTAGGTATGAGTTATGGCTAATCATAAAAATATATTTGTGAGTTAATTTCTCGTGCATCCAGTTGTAATAGCAGAATGTCTTATCCACCAGTCAAGCCCGGCCCATACATCAAATTCCAAATATAGTTTTTTGGGCCCAATTCAATTAGGGCCTACTCTCTTGGGCCGTCTTCTATTATCACCATCATTATAAATAAATATATTTAATGGAAAACATTTTACTATATCCAATCATCCATCCCCTCAACACATTGTTTTAAAGTCATGTTTAATTTATAAATGAATTCTTCTAAATAAAAATGATTCTTTTTTTTTTTGAACAATTTCATGATTATGTCAAAGTAATTTAGTTAAAAGGGAATCAAACCATTAATGATGAAAAATTTTGATGAATTAATTACACCAATTAAAAATATTTATTCCAAAAAAAATTCAGTAATTGTTCATTTTATACTAGTAGTTAATAAGTAGATACAGTCCCAGAAAGAAAACACCAAGTTAATTAAACCATTAGAGATAATAATATACACGTGGCATTTAAAATTACAGGAATAATCAACGTTTTGTCCGCATTAGCTGGAATTATATGAATCTCATTGAAAAAAAAAAGGAAAATTTACCAAGAAATTAAATCAAGGGGAAACCGCCTGAGCTGTATCTAATATATCAGCAGGAGGGATAAACGAGTCACCCGAAAGTCCCGGCACATTGAAAACGACGTCGTGTATCGTCCACATTTCTTCCATTTTGGTCCTCGTATGCTGCATTGATGTTTCGCCGAATCGGAAGACAGTGGCCACCGTTCTCCCCTGGTGGGCGATCATTACCCCGTCGACGTCCCTGTAATCTCCGATGCTGCTTCCGATCGTGGTCTCCCAGTAAACGGTGTCGTTTTCCTCGGAGTGAACCCTGGTGAGGTGGGAGTCCTCCATGTAGATGAGGAGCCCGCTCTTCTGGCTGAAGTAACCGTATAGCACGTGTCGGATCACCTCCGCGGGGCCTTCGTTCCTCTCCATCACCGCCGCGCGATCCGCCGCCACTTTCAGGACGAAGCAGTCGTCTTCTCCGATCCGCTTCTCCCCCAGGCACTGGGCTTTCGCGAACAGGCTCGCCGTGCTCTTCGGATCCAGCCCCTGCACAGCATTGTTTTGTCAATTTTCCTCCATATGTATAATGCAAACGACGCCTTATTCATTTACCATACAGTTATTGTAGACTGTAGTATGTCGAAATTTAACCCAATTTCCCATAAGCTTAATCGGATCACATAATAGCTCTCTTAATTAAACGAGCATGTTATTAACTATTGATCTGCACATAATCACACATACATAGTCACACATACCTATGTGTATGTGTATTTATTGGACGATTATTTAACTCAATCAACGATTAAACTCACCGAATGTATGTAACCAGTTGCAGAATCTCATCACACATTAGCTGTTAAGCCTAGTAGGAATCAAGGTGAAATTTGATGCTTTTTAAACTCTTGATATACTTTTGATACATCATCTTCAAAATTCAATCGGTTGTACATCAAAATAAGTAATTTCTTATCTTTAAATTTAAATAATTATTATACATTCACATAATATAATTGAATATTGTGATGCACATGCTATGAGGCCTGAGGTAGTGAGAGTAGAGTACCAAAGCTCAAATTTTGAAAATTCCCAGAAATGAAAGATTATTCAATGCAATTGGAATTGCAATTGCAAAGCTTTTTCCTTTATCGATCGGTTCAAACTTCAGAGGAGCATAAATAATTATTTCAAAGTAAAAAAAAGGAAAAAATAATGGAGAAAACAAAAGAAAGAGGGAGTTTCAACAAAGCAAAAGCTGAAAAAAGCACAGAGAAATTGCAGATGCTGAGCACTTTTACCAGGTGGTGGTGGGGTGGGGTGGGGGTGGGGTGGGGGTAGGGGGTGGCAATCCCAAGAAGATGGAGATAAGTGAAACAATGAGGGCAGTGAAAGCACGTGCTCTGGTTATCTGAAATTGAGTGTTTGGTAAAGCAGGGGACAACTCTCAGTTTCCATATCCATCACTAAATTTAATACCAGGCCCCATTTTAATTTCTTCATTTTCTTTTTTTTTTTTTTTTCAAATTTGAATCTTTTTTTTTGCAGCTGTAAAAATTTGTGTAGGGTGGTTACCTGAATGATGCGGCGGAGAGGGCGTTGTGGGCCTTTGGCTGCATGAGTGCCCAGCCACGGCGTGTGCCGCCACACGATCTTGCCGTCGCTGCCGGCGACCACCTTGTGGCCGCCGACGGAGAGCTCGAGAGACCACATTCCAGGCGACATCCGCCACAGAACGAAGCAGCCGTTCTCGGCGCTCCTCGACCCCATCGTCCTCACGCTTTTCCCCGTCGAGATCTCCGTTTCGCACCGCACCAATTTCACCGTCCCCGATGTGTACATGTTCTTCGCCAAGCTCTGCTGCTTTGAGCATCCGGCCGCCGCCAAGTACTGCTGAATTATATAATAAGCTGTAGACGTCTCCTGTCAAAAACAAAGAAAAAATCAAAAAACCAAACACAGGAAGAAGGTGTTTGTGAAAATGCCTGAACCAAAAACCAAACACAGGAAGCTGTTTGTGAAAATGCCTGAACCAAAAAATAAATAAAAAAATGACTCACGAGTGGTATGTCTTTGATGTGGAGATGGGAGATGGGTTTGTCGGAGATCGGAATAGGGCCGAGCGGGCAGCCCAAAACTCCGAGAAGAAGCCTCAAGTCTTGCATTTTGGCAGGGCTGCTGCTATTCGGGCCGTACAACGACGGCGGCATTGATGAAGAGAAGCTGTTATCTACAGGTACGGTTCTGTGTATCTTGAACCATTCTCGTATGACTTCCCAAGAAGTTTCCTTCTTATTGCAATCGTGATCCTCCATTCCAAAATCAGGGCCTTCCATTAGCGGTGTTAGCGGCTGAGGACACCACCTCTGTAATTGCCGGCGACTCCTCGAACCCATCACTGTAAATAAATTCCAATTAACTAAACAATTCAAGAAGAAGAAGATGAAGATGGGTTTTAGTGAAGAAAAATGCAGTGAGTGGGGAATGTGAGTTTTAGAGTGCAAGAAAATGGTAGCTTTGTGGGTAAGAAGAAGAAGGGACAAAAGGGACAGCCCATCTGCCTCAACGGTAGAGAGATGAGAGAGATGAGAGAGAGAGAGGAGAGAGAGAGAGGGCTAGTTATAGTAAAAAATGGGGTATGTTTTTTTGGGATGGGAGCCTATATTATTTCTTTGCTTTATTGTAATTATTTTCTTTTCTTTTTCAATCTTTTGGACTGCACTTGTCGTCTCATTAAACACATTTATTCTCTTGAGCCACTTCAAATGTAAGAGTAGGGCTTAACCCCTTTTCCCACATATGCCTACTTGCCCACAAATTTCACTTTGGATTTCTTTCTTCTTTTAACTTTTTTCTACCATGGATGGCACCTCCTCAATTTCAAGCAAGTTCTTTAATATGGTAGAGAGTTCGAGGTTTGTTAATCTCGTAAAGAGTTCCAGCTTATTTAATCTTGTAGTGAGTTCGAGGTCTCGTATAAGTGATCTTGAGATGAAATCTCTAAGAATTGTTACTCAGTTAGGGCTGAAATATATCTGGTAGATTATTGTAGTCGTTCACAAACAAAAACATACATTTTGGTAGATCAAATTTGTTTTTTGTATGCAGAAAAATGGTAAAAATCTAGTCCCGATGCATATTTTACCTGATGTAACATAGATTTGACCGTGGATATATTTGACTTATTAGGTTGCCCCCAAGTGAAGTGTAGTAGTGTACTCATTGTAGCTTAATCACAATAATATGGAAGATTGTGTTTTTGTGTGTGAATGAACGACAACGATTTGCTCGATGCATCATATATACATTAAACCCTAACATTTTCCATATATTCCATGAATTAAATGATTCATTGTTTTGCCTTATCAATCAGCTAACCTAACTGAAAAGGAAAAAAACTTGTAAATAATTATAATCTTCCACAATTAAAAGTGACTGTGAAATTAAATACTAGTCAAGTGCTTTCTTTTGATTATTCTCAGTTATGTATATAAGACAAAAAATTCAAGTTAAGTTTATCTAATCTCGTACTAAGTAGGTATCTTTCAGCAACCTTTTTATTTATTTAAACACATCTCTATCTTTTCCAGCATCATATTAATTTGGTCCTACATTCTTATAATAATAGTGGTAATAATAATTGTATATTTCCTGTTTTCTATATCATGATCTGTTTAATGTTTTCGTCTAGTTATGGAATTTTTAATATTTAGAAAAATGAAAAACAATAAAATACAGATATTGGTGGGGGCAAAAGAATAGGTTGAGAGTCTGCATCAAAGGCTGTGTGAGGTGGCTCCAAGTGGGATAGCTGAATAGATTGACGGCAACAGGTGGCTGCCCTTTCAAGCCAAGCTTCAAATTTTGAAAATGAAATTCAAATTCAAATTTTAATATAAGTTTAAAAAAAACTTGTCTTCTAATTGGGCCATCATGAATTTGTATAGATTACATTTATGGGCCAAGCCTAGGCTAACTTGCCCATTTCCATTTGTGTATGCACAAATATGGGCCACTGGAATATATAGCCTAATAAAATACATCAGCTAGTACAGAGCTGATTGAGAAAGAAAAATAAAAAAAGTAGCATAAATTCAATATCGAAATAACGTGTGTGTGTGGAATATATTTTATAGGCTTATAGGCTATACTATATTGTATTAAAAGACGAAATTTCGTGGCCCAGTACTCGAGCCGGACAAAGTTTGATGGAGGATATTAATCATGGTTACACAGTGATCTGTTAGAATAGTGGACCAGAGATTTATGCACAAAAGTAATCAATTCATATTGGAGTTGAAATTCTCAAAATGCAGTTGTCGGTACTCGATCCTAGAACCTCCGAACTATAGGTTGTAACTTGTAATAATATCTGATTGGGTGGAGCATTGAGTAAGGTTTCACTATATAGCTGCTAGTGCAAAAAGTTTTACTAATTTTATTACAAAATTGTTCATATTAATATTAAATAATTATTATTCTAACGTTTAGATGCATGGGTACTTGGATCTGATCAACGACAAAATGCAGCCATTAGGCTTAATAGGATCCAAGATGATTAAATTAATTTGTTAAGACAAGCTAGTGGGCTTTGAATTTTGTTCCACCACATGCATGCCTTGTTAAGAAGATAGGACTTTGGTGGGTGTGATTGTCAGCGAATCAGGGATTGCCAAACAGAGCGCTAATATTATAATTAATTAATTAATATATTATTTGATCATCCCAAGTTTTAGGTTAAGATCAATGTTTTGAAACATGGACAGAACCGGTTAAACCGCAAACAATTGCCTGGTTCGGTACCGGTTTTTTGACTGGTTGAACCGTAATATCGGAACTGGAGTGAAAATCGGGTCTTTTTTCTCCAAATTTGTAAAAAATAAAAAAGGAATCTAGAGTAAGTGAATCTAGAATCTAGAATAAGTGCATGTCCATACCCATGAGTTGTTCTTTGTGCATAATTGCTACATTCCAATTCTAACTTACCAAAATTGTTCAATCCTACGTGGATATTATGTGTTTCAACTTCCTAATTTATTTTCCTTATTAATCTTTTTATTACTATTATTATTATTATTATTATTATTATTATTACACCTAGCTCAATTGTTATCTTGTTGAGCATATATGCTTTAAAAAATCGAGTCGACCGCATATTTGTCCAAACTTGTCCGGGTTTTTTTATCTAGTTTTCAAAGTAATGTTACACCTGCCTGATTTCATAAAAACAATCAAATCGAGTTCGATTGAGCTAACTTAATCGAGCCGAACTGTGTTCGAGACCGTTTGATGAAAGCTTTATTTCAATTAAGTTTATATACATATATACATGAAGCTCATAGCACAATTTAATAAATAAATTTAAAAAAAAAAATATGATGCATGACAAATTGAAATTTCTATTGCACCATCTTGTATTACATCAACTAAGAAAAGCACACAAGCGTGCGTGCACCTTAGCAGACCGACTGCCTAGTGCACTTTTTCAATATGCATAATATAGAACCTCGATAAATTAATATTTAATAAATTAATAACATCACATGCACTCTTTCTATATATATGAAGGGCAGAATGCATGCCACCATTACCACACCAAGAACTGCACGCTAATTTCTAAACACACTCCGATGGCAGATTCGGATCAAAACCCGCTTCTCCCACCATTGTTAGACGTGGAATCAGAACACGAGTATTATTATCCGTCCCTCGACTCCACCATCGAACACTGCATCGGCGACTTTGGGTGGACCCACATATTCCAAGCCACCCTCGTCTCTTTCGCATGGTTCTTCGACGCACAGCAGACCTTCATCAGCGTCTTCACCGACGCCGAACCCAAATGGAGTTGCACCGATAACAACCCATCATGCAGCAACAACAACAATAACGTTAACACGTGTCAACTTTCCGGCGACGCGTGGTCCTGGGATTTTCCGGCGAGCACCTCCATCATCTCCGAGTGGTCCCTCCAGTGCGCCGGATCCATCATAACAGGCCTCCCGGCTTCTTCCTTCCTCTTCGGCTGCCTCGTCGGCGGCTTCGCGCTCGCCACGCTGGCGGACTCGTCTCTGGGCCGGAAAAACATGCTGGTGTTGTCCAGTCTGGTTATGGCGTTGACCGGCGTGCTGACGGCGGCTTCAACTAACATATGGATGTACGTTGCTCTGCGATTTATCAGCGGGTTTGGCAGAGCAACTGTTGGCACGTGTGCTCTGGTTTTGTCGACGGAGCTTGTGGGGAAGAAATGGAGGGAGAAGATGGGGATTATTGGGTTTGTTTGTTTCACTCTTGGCTTTCTCTCTCTACCGGCGATTGCTTTCTCTCTCAAGGGTTATTCGTGGAGGCTGATGTACATCTGGACATGTGTTCCGTCAGTTTTCTACTCACTTTCGGTTTTCTTCCTTATCCGAGAGTCGCCGAGGTGGCTTTATATCAAGGGAAGGAAGGAAGAATTTGCCGAAACCCTAAGGAGCATCGCCGCTCCGACGAACCGGAGCAGTTTGACTCAGAGCTTCTTCGGGAGGTGTACGGAGTGGGGGGATGATCAGAAACCAGAGGAAACCGATATTTTCTCCGCCGTGAAGATTTTGCTGAGTAGGAGGTGGTCGCGGCGGCGGTTGGTGGCGGTGACGGTGGTCGGATTCGGCATCGGAATGATTTACTACGGGATGCCTTTGGGGCTTGGAAACCTATCGTTTGATTTGTACCTCAGCGTCACTTTAAATGCGCTGTCGGAATTTCCGGCGTCGTTCCTCACGTTTGTGCTGATCGGAAAACTTGACCGGAAGGGTTCGATATTGGGGCTGTCGTTGCTGAGCGGGATGTGCAGCGTGGGGTGCGTGGTGGTGACGTGGCAGGTGACGCAGATCGCGCTGGAGCTGGTTTCGTTCTTCAGCGCGTGCACGGCGTTCGACGTCGTTCTGATATACACGCTGGAGCTGTTCCCGACGTGCGTGAGGAACTCGGCGGTGTCGATGGTGAGGCAGGCGCTGGTGTTCGGCGGCGCGCTCAGCCCGGTGCTGGTGGCCGCCGGGAGGAAGAATAGGTTCCTGTCGTACGGCGTGTTTGGGGTGGGGGTTTCGGTGTGCGCGCTGTTTGTGGGGCTGTTGCCGGAAACTCGGGGGAGGGTTTTGTGCGATACTCTCGAGGAAGAAGAGCGGAAAGACGATGCTGCGTCAGCGTTTGGTGGGGCCCACTGTGTTTGAATTTAAAGCTCTGTGATTGGTTATTAGTTGTACGAATTACGATTAATATTTGGATGTAAACATGTCGTTTACACCAAAATTTACTGTTAATTTACTGTACGACTGTGTAGTCTGTTTGTTTGTTTCTTCTTTTTTTGAATAAATAAATGCTTTAGAGAAATTGTATTCGTTTATTTTAATTTTATTTATTTTTTCCTTGATTTTATATCAACATTATATATTTATATATGTGATACAAAATTTAAGAAAGAGTTTACATTCTGAACGGATCCCCTGTTTTTTTTGGAGATAAGCGGATCCCATTCAGCCAATGACACGTGGATAATCTAATTAATTGTAAAATGTAATTTTACTATTAATCTTACCTCAATTAATGATTTAATTTTAAAGATTATTTAGAGAATAACAAACAATTGTCTTCTGGCGGTAAATTATTTTTGTTAATTGTTTTCTTTTCCTTTTTTAACTTATCTAGTGAACTGTTTGGGCAATAATTTAATACGCAAAAGCCATAGTGTTGAATCTTTACATTAGAAGAAAAAAATATTATTAAAATCTGAATTCAAGAATTTAACATTCATTTAAATTGTATGTTTATTCTTTATTATCATTATTTTGGGTGTATGAATTCTTTATTATAATTTATTATTCTCGTATATGATATTTTATTCGGGTTTATTAAAAAAAAAATCCAAAATAAACATGTTCCGAATGGATTTCTAGGAACATACTCCTGGTGAAGAACACCAGGTGCCTCTCCTATTAACATGTATGGGGTTTAGTAATTTAACCCTAGAGTTTAATAATTTAACTTAGGGTTTTTAGAAAAAAAATAGAATTCAAAAATTAATTAAAACTTAAATGCCACTAATTATGTGTTACGAGAAAAAGAAAAATTGTTATTTAGAAAAGAAAGAAAAAAAAAAAGAAAAAATAATGGAAAAAAGTTAATGCGCATATAAGGTAGTTGCATGCACTTGCAATTCTTAATTAAGGACTTTTTAATTTAAAATACTGAAACATAAACAATCACATTTCTTAATTAAATGTCCACGTGTCACTCAATGAATGGAATCCGTTTTTCTAATATAAATGGGGGATCCGTTCCAAATTTGCTCTCTTTAACAAAACATACTCACGTTGTCTCAAAAATCTCACTATCGTTGGGAAATAAATATACGTACTACTCTCCGAGGATCCTCTCCAGGGGTTGCAATTATAATGGAAAATAATTATCATGGTTTCAAATTCAGTAGTTATAACCTTTTTTTTTTCTCTTTAAAATAAAAATAATTTATAATTCGACCAAATCTTGCTTAGTGGTAGGCCAAGTTGCGCGTTTGACGGAAATAACTCTTTTCTTTCCCCCTTTCCATGGTTATTTTCTCTTCTCTTTCTCTTTTTCTTTTTTCTTACTCTTTATATGGAGAAAGAAAGAGATAGATATGGAAAATGGAAAGAACATGAAAATAAATTGGAACCATAAAATAGAGATATAATAAATAGTAAGCATATATTGATTTTATTTTAAAATCTTTGATTCTATCAACCCAAAAATAGAATTGTTTGACGATACAAGTGACCTCAAAAATAGAGACAAGTGAAGAACAAAATGGATTTCAAATAGGGGTAACGAGCCGAACTCGCCAGATTTTTTGAGCTTGAGTCAAATTTAGTGAGCTCTCGAGCTCAAGCCAAGCTCATCGAGCTTTCATTTAATGAGCTCAAACTCGATCTAGAGCTCAAGTCGAGTTGAGCCTGTCGAGCTCGAGCTCAGCTGATTATATATATATATATATATATATATATATATATATCTTTTTTTTCCTACTAATTTTTACATAATATTAATTTCATTTTTTATTATAAATTATTTAGATGAAAAATGAAAAAAGCTATAAAATAAACATATATCTATATTTTTCAAATGATTAATTAATTAATTATAATATATTAGTTATTTTTATATTAAAAAAATATAATATAAAAAGCTCTCGAGCTGGAGCCATTGAACAACTAAAGATGAACTCAAGTTCCAGCTTTTCGGAAAGCTCAAGCTCGAACTTTTGCGGAGCCAACTCATCGAGCTCATGAGCCAGCTCCGCTCATCTACACCTCGAATTTCAAATATAATTAATCTTTCATTAAGCATGGTAACAATTACATAAACTGCATTTTTCTCTAATGCATGAAATAAATAAATCACAATTAACAAACATGTATATATATATATATATATATATATACATATCTGACTTTAATTTTTTATATATATATATATATATATATATATATATATATATATATATATATATATATATATATATATATATATATATATATATATATATATATATATATATATCCCAAACAGATCCTTGAGAGAAGCCATTTTCAAAAAATCAGGACTCGCCCCAGCAAAACATCAGCACTATCAAATGTATAAAACTTGCGTTACGTTCTTCAATCTCGTTTTTAACAAGTATTAAAAAAAAAAACCCTATATATGCCAATGAAAAATCAGTTTGCGTGTGTGTATATATAAAATAATAAATATATATACTTAATATATAAGTATGTTTTGAAGCTAGTTAGTTACTTAGTTTGATCCTCCATAATTCTGGTAGTTGAGGTTAGAATAAATCTCTTCTAACGCCGTTATCTCATTCACACCGTTATCCCTCAACCTGTCGCAATTGGTCATGTATTCACTGCTGCTACATTTTGGCTCCGTTAAATCTACTTGTGGGAAGTCATCCATAGCTAACGGCGGATAATAAGGGTCGTAAAACATGCCCGTATAGTCCTGCGTAAACAAATAACATTTAGAATTTAATTAGCCCTTTTTTTAATAATAATATATAAATGTTGGGGGTAAAATTGTAAATATGAGAAGTATAGGGGAAAGACATTTTAGCAGTCAAAAGAATTCATGGGGAATGGTGAAGAAAGAGCAGTTGGATTGATCAGTTTGGAGGCTTATTATTATTTATTATATATTAAAAAAATTAATAATCCAGAGGTAGCTGCTTTTGAGAAAGATGTTGTAATTTCATCACTTTAAATCAAAAGAGACAACCTCAAAGTGATAATTCGTGGGACCATTTTGTCCCTACCTAGACATTCTAATTACACACTACTAATATTAATTCCATTTCAAATTGAAAGAAAAATATTAGGGTGGTGGTGTTAATTCACTGTTATATGAACGTACCTGAATGAAATTTGATATGTTTTCGGTGCCGTAAAAGTAGAACTGATGATCATCATCCATTGAACTATTGACTTCATCTGACGCGGCAATGTGAGCCGTCGGATCGTATTTCGACGAGCCGATCGCCGCCATTGGTGTCGTCGTCCCTTGTGTGAGTTCCGATGAAGACGCCTCCGAATTAGGGTTCTTGGAGCGAATTTCGCCCTTGGCATCTTCGTCGGCATATTCCCTCAGGGAGGTCTCCGGTGTGGGCCCACATTCGTCTTCGTCCCACGAAACTTGATCAACCATCATCCCACGTGGCACTTTAGTTCTACAAGTCTTGGTTATGACTATGTTCTTCTTGAAAACCCGACACAGTGCATAAGAATCCTGTAATATTCAAAATTAATTTTGACACAATTAATAATCCAAATTTTAATAAATTAAAGTTGCTATTTACTTTTTTCTTCAAACCCTAATGCCCTAATTAATTGAGAAATTACTATACGTACACATGTTTATATGTATATAATAATTACGATCGATACCTTGAGATTTGAGCCGGTGGTGCCGAGTGCAGAATCAAGGAGGCGATACTCGTGCATCACCCAATCGGTTCGAATCCCGTGAGGCGCTCGTCCTCTGTAATAAACCAATGTCTTCTTCATACCCACCGGCCGTTTCTGCGACTGCACGGACCGGTCTTTTCCGGTGGCCTTCCAGTAACCGGACCGAGTCGCCCGGTTCGTCCTCGACCCGTTCGGGTATTTCCTGTCTCTCGGACTGTAGAAATACCACTCCATATCTTTGCTCGGCAAGAACGATTTTTCTGTCAATAGATACACAGATTCAATATAATTACTCATTAATCTTAATTAGTTAATATTCTGAATTTTGTTAATTATTATTACCTGGTAAATCCCATGGTTCGGATTTGTAGAGATCGACTACGGGGATGACTTCGAGCTCGATAATTCCACCGTTGATCTTCCGATCGAGATAATAGGCGACGAGCTCCTCATCCGTTGGATGGAACCTGAATCCTGGAGGCAGTGTCATTGCTCCCATAATAATTAATTTAATGCAGTAGTTAATTAATTTTCCCTGATTAATTTTAATAACTGGGAAATGCTGAAATTTTTGTGTTCTTGGAAGTGGAATGGAGGGAGTCTCTTTCAAGTGGCTAACACGGTATATATATATGTGTATATATGTATATATGTATATATGTATAGCCCACTGTTATATATGGGGATGAAAAAGCCATTAAAGCGTGGTCCTCGTCATCCTGTGGCTTTTTTGCATCGACGATTAGTTATTTTAATTTATTTCCTTCTTTAGGGTTTTATTTGATTCACATTTGAAAATTTAATTATGTTCACACTTAAATAGTTCTTAATGGTATAATTAGTTATCTAATTAATTATTTTTGCTGGTATGAACCGAGACAATATTATTCTTGCGTTATACTATTATATTAAATAATTATTAATTAATTAATGATCCTTCATGCATATGCATGGATGTATTGGACATATTTAATAATGCATGTAAGGGAGTATGTATTTTACGGTACGTGATTAAATACACCTGGCTACATACTATGTATTCTGGTTTATTAAATTATTATTTGTTCAATTAAACATTTTCCCAATTAACTCATAATTAGATTGGACAATATAATACAGTAACAAAGGACAGCTAATTATAGTAGCTAAAGTGTTGATCAGATCATGATGTGCGATGAGAGAGAGAGAAAGAGGAGAGAGAGAGAGAGAGATTTGCTTTAATTACAAGATTCTTGGCAAGTATGATTGGGTGGATTAATGTGTGAAAGCAAGAGATGTAGAAGAAGAAGCTTTCAGTGCTTTTGTCTGCTCACATACTAACAAAAATAAGCGGGCCCCGCAGAAAGTCTGCTGGGCCCCACCCACCCCCACCCCCACAACACGCAATGCCCCCAATCCCCACCCCCCGCCCCCTTTTCCAACTCCTCATGACATCACATGTAATCATTACACATTCCTCAGTACTACGAATCTATATACTAAATATGGTCTATGTGTACTACTCTACACACTTTGTCAGTGTAGACCGTAATTTTTTTTACGTACAGCTACAGGGTATAGATACTATACTTGTAACTTCTACTCTCTCTCTCTCTCTCTTGTTGAATAATCTCTCTCTCTATATAATTCGTATATGTTAAATTTACGTAGTAGTAGTGTGTGAAACACGTGAGAGATGGTATATATATATATATATATTCAGAACGTCTTCATGCATAATTGATACATCCATCCAATATTGTATATATCAACCATATCATTTCTTATAAAAATAAAATAAACTATATATAAATTGCACCGTAACTACTATTAATAAAAAATAAAAAAAAAACATAAAATTATTCAGACTCGAGCTCGAGCTCGTCAAAATGGATTTCAGATCGAACTCCCCAAAACAACAGAGTTCGATTCGTTTACGCTCGTAAATATTAACACCATCAACGATTCCAATATAATTAACAGTGGCGCAAACGGGGTCCATATCAGTGGGGCAAATTATCTAAAACTTTACAAAATCGCCCAAAAAGAGAAAAAAAACACTTTGATCGTTCAATAGTTGAAGGAGCTGAACAGAACTGAACTATATATCTGGCACCACATCACCCTCATTGCTTTTTTGCCCTTTTGATTTCTTATCTTTATTTTTTGTTTTTTGTTTTTTATTTTCAGTCCCACCAATCTCTACTTTTCCTTTATCTGTTTTTACACTTGTTTTAGTTTTACTTTCCTTAAAATATGATTTTCGCCAAGGCTTAAAAGATATAGTAACGAACTGTATAATCATTACATCCATATAATATATAAACCCTATCTCTTTGACTGGTCCATCTTTCATCTCTTTCCTTTTTCAGTATTTTATTCTGCCCCAAAATCATCTACATTAACAGTATTACACTGTTTATATAGGTAATATTTGAGAATATTTAATTTGCTTCTGATTGGGACCACGTGTCTGGAGATTATTGGACGACAATTGTGGAATGCCGCACTGCGAAATTCTTGTTTGTTCCTCATTAATATAAATTTAGAAAAATATATATATATTGCCCGCATGGGTGTAGCTCAACTGGTTCCGGAGGTGGTAAGTTGGTGCAAGGTCCTAGGATCGAATCCTGGCAGCCGCAGTGTGGGAATTTCAACTCCAATGAGTTGGTTCCTTGTGGGCACCAGGTCCGGGTCCGCTACCTTAACGGGCCGTTGAGTTACCATGATTTACATTCCTCCATCAATCCTTGTCGGGCCAAGGGATGGGGGCCCTGGGGGCGAGGGATTTCGCCTTTTGGTGCAAGAAAAAAAAAAAAAAATATATATATATATATATATATATGAATGTATAAGAGTGCATTATTTGTAAAGAAATAGTTTACTTCAAAATACATCTACTAAATTGAGACTTGTATTGCCAATATTCAAACGAACAGTTCTTATCTCGATTTATTCGTGAATTGTGCATATATGTAGCACGGAAACTTAATCTTCTTAACGTATCTGCGTTTTCGAACATGTTTCTTGCAACACTCGAGAACACCTGCTGAACAAGTTATGAGCTGCAATTTCTTATTAGTTAGAAACACGTTTGAATAGCAAATTTTCAAATATTTTTATTGTTTCACTAATTATTTACATGATTTAATGATGAATCGTAAATTGATAGTTGATATATAGTAATATTTATTTTGAATATATTTGTCTAAAAAAAATTATATATGAAATAAAAGCTAATATATGTTTACATAATATATTTATAAATGCACCCCTATATTTTAATCATTTAAACGTTTCCCCAAATTATCGTACCCCAATTTTTAGGACTTGTCGTTTCCACGAATCGTTGTTTCCGTGTCCATTAAATTAATCCTTAAGATTGTGTATATTGTATTGATTAATGTCATGTACTCAATTTAGAAGCAAAGTAACAAAAAATAATAAGTGGACTGATTACATTATTGCAAAAAGATTATTCGGATAAATAGTGTTGTCAATACTCAAATTAAATTAGTGACGACGACTAATTAACAAGTATTTATTCCACTAATAGCTAATTAATATCTTTTTTTCTTTGCCGAAAGACCCTTTCTTTCATCTTTTATACCAACCGCTCTCTATCAACTTACAAAAAGCAACGACAGTTGCAACTTACCACTTATATCATTCAAAATTAAATTAAATCATAAACCATCCATAATATTTTATTTCAATCGTATCAAAAAAAAATTTAAATTAGTATGAAAACATTCAATAATTGTATGTAAAGCAATTTTACATCATTACATGTTGTGTGGAAAAGGGGGGTCAAGTTCTTCAGCGCTAAACGGTTTCACACGAGCTCACGTTAGCACGCAGCGTTGGTTAGCAGTGCACGATAGTCACGGTCCATTGGGCCGAGTTTTATTTTGTGATTTTCTGCAACGAATTTTATTGGGCTGGATTTTCTCGGTAAGCCCAAAATCAAACAGTCTAAACTTCCGATTTGATATTTGCTAGTCCGTCGCTAAATTCAGCAGAAGTAGCAGTAGCAGATCAACGCCGGTAACTCCGTTCTTTTTACGATCGGAGGAGAGAGGATATTAATTTGGAGAATGTCGTTGCTGTGGGAGAAGAGCCAGACGTGGAGGTGGCTGGTGACCAAGACGAGGGATTCGAAGCCCTTCTTCTTCGCCTTCGCCACCGTCTGCGGCGTCGTTCCGGGGATTATCGGCTACTGCGTTATGCAGGTTACCAATTCCAGCAACCCTGAACTCGAAGCCAAGCTCCGGCAGTCTGCCCGACCCGATTCACTGGTAAACCCTACCTGCTTCCTTCCGATTCCATTTCCAATTTCTATTTGTGCCGGTGACATTTTTTTTGTTCGCCGAATTTGGGGAAATATCTACTGCTTATGTGATTCGAATTAGGCGATAGTCAAATATTGATGCTTTCAGTATGTGTTCTTCTGCTCTGAGGTCAAACTCGATTAGCTTGCCTGATGAGATGGTTATTGCATTTGTTTTAGCTGTGGCAATTAGGTCAGAGGATTAGAAGTAGATACTGCTGCTGCATCAAGATTATCTCTAGCATTTTTGTAATTGATTTTTACTTTTATCCAGTCTTGTGATTTCCGAAATTGGTTGGGCGGTTAAGGAAACGAACATTCGACAAACAAAAAGAACTTAATCTATGTTTTCATTCAATGAGAGGTGATGCTTGATTTCGATTATGTGTTTTGAACTTTGTTTTAGGATATAGTTTATCGACGAAATAGTTGATAACCCAAATTGCCGTCATATGCAACTTCTCAGCATCCAATAGTAGCGAAGTGCTATGTATCGTAATTGATAAGATAAACTGATCACGCATACTGTATATGAATTGTACATTTCAAAATGAACCATACATATCAATCTAGAACAAAAGAAGAACACAATCAGGGTGGAGCAACTAGGTTTGAATATACTGTTGTAATTCCTCAAGCATGTTGCTTTAAATATTTGAGTGAAGTTTGCCTGCCTATAGGAGGAGATACGACCTCCTCGTTGATTTTCTCTCTTCAGCATCTTATAATTACTGGTAATTATTATTTCATTACATTTAATGGCAATGCCAAAATTGACGAGATTGTGATGATCAGAAAATGGGCAAAGTTAATCAAGAGCGGCTGGCAGAGTACCTCGGAGAATTGAAGAGGAAAGAGAATACGAATGACAGATATGTCGCTGCTTTAAGGGGAGAGACACTGACTAGAAACCCATATGTGAGAATTCAACCAGTCCCGAAGACGAGTGAAACTGAAGCTAAAAAGGAAGACAAGTAGATTCTAAAGAAAAATTGTGGTTCTCCTTACATGTTAGACAGGGGAATGAGTCATTTATAGACATTTTAGACTTGAATGTATTTACTGTGGGAAATTTGATTCGTGCTCGTGTGCTGACATTTGTCAAGAAATGATCGATGATTTTTTTTGAAATCAAAGTGTTTTGGTTTAATCATCTTACCGAAGATTGCCTTGATAAAGATTAAGATTTGGTGGTTTGCTCTGGTCTTTTACAATATATAATCTCGAGCAAAAGAAAGCATACCATATATACAGATAGGAGTAGGATAACTACACATGTACAATTGTATAAAAATACATGGTAAAATGGATAATCACTCAAGCAAGAAAAGATATGAACAAGAAGAATAAAACACTGTACATATGCTTCTGTAAGAACCAGCCACCTAAAAGGATGTACATTGACAGTAAGACTAAAGCAAAAACTAGGAGCATGAGCATATTATGTTTTCATGCTGGACCAGTGTGGGGGCGATATGGAATTACATCCACTTCCTTAAACTTGTATCGTCAAACCTCATGCTGACGTGGCGGTCGTCAAGTATATAGCCTGAGCCGACTTGTGATACGTTGTCGACAAATAGGACATTCTGACAATCTTGGGCTGCAGTCTCTACAAGTCTGGAATCAACAATCATTAATTTTGAAGTTATTACATATGCATTGATTTGGTTAAGGCAAAGTAAAACATTGTAAAGGCAAATCTCACCATGTGTCCACAACCGAAGGCTAAGTCTTTCCCATTGGTTAAGCAAACTGGGCAGACCTTCAATCAGATCAACCAATATAAGTTATTCATTTGGATTCTTATTAGAGAACTACTAAAATTTTCAGACTTCTGAATTGGGAAGTTTGTGATTATAATCTTTCAAAGATCAGATTACAGTTTAGTACTTAAAACAAAAGAATACCTGATTTTGGTCAGCTTGCACAGCAGCTGAAACAGTGACGGGATCTCGTGATGGAAGTCCAGCTTGGCGAGTGTATGGTGCTGGTGGAGGCCTAGGAACTATCTTCTTCGCTTTACCAGTCACTCGTCTTTGGTCCAATATGAAAATGTGGAAGAGAGATTTATAAACGTAGAAGTTAATACCTTTAGATGTGGTTCTGCTTAGCATATGACAGTTCTTAATTATCTTTGAAGCTTATAGTGGTCAAACTTGGTTCATCAATTGTTTAAAAAATGTGACAATTTATTTGTATTCAATAAAATGATAACCTAATTTAGGTAATGAGAGGGGGATATATTTTGTATTTCCATGAAAACCATCTAGTTATATGGAAGTGTCGTTGAAAATTTCATCAGTAATCGAAAGAGCACATACCCTAATAAACCAAATTCTCTAGCTGCTTTATATTGGTCAGGAATCTCCATGAGTGCTGCAAGAGCAAAGGCGGTCTCTTTTGCAGAGGACAACGTGTTCTTGGACATGATTGCCGTGAAATTAACAAACTGCAAGTACAGAAGAAATAAATAAATAGACAAGTGAACCATCAACATTAGAGTTCTTCGTTATTCTACGTTTAACTGATAGCTAGAGGAATTACCTGGAAATTGTCAAATTCACGAGTAGGGATTTTGTCATCGAATTTTTGCATATCTTCCCAGGGTCCATCGCCAACACCAACCAAAACAATTGAGAGAGGATGCAGACTATAATAACAGAAAAAATAAAACTTTAAAGTTTTCACTTATTCCTCGAGAGCAGAAATTAGATGTTGAATAGAGTTTAGGAGAAAATTATAGAATAATGATAATCTATAAAAGATCTCATGTAGGTGTATAATCGTTCCAAGTCTATTTATGATAAAATTCTGAACTGCACAAGAAAAAATAGCCCACGTAGAGCGACCAAATTCAACTTTAGTCTTTTAAGGCTTTCTTTCAGTCTGAGTTTACCTGCACAAGATATTCCATAAATCCCATATTCATCAGGTTTTAAGTTTCTGGAACATGCAGGTGGTATGTGTTCCTATGACCAGTTACTGATTGTGTATTTTGGAGATAGCTGATGGAGTAAAGCATCTAAAAGCTACACGGATATGGTTTTATCAAATCGATTTGAAGCACAATCAACAACATGTTGTGTGTGATTCTTTTGTACCTCGCATTGACTATAGAGTTTATTGTTTTCTCTTCTTGCGGGCTGAATTCTGCATCCTTCGTATTCACACTTCTTGTTACCTTCAAGAGATAAGGTAATTCACAGATAAAGTGAGTGAGAGCATACATGCATATAACTATCTCAGCATATTTGCCTGAATGAGCAGGACACACACACACGCGCACACACACACACACACACACACACACACACAGGTGTCACCTGGCCATCAGCTATGATTACCAATACATGGTATTGTCCGCCACTTTTCTCCACTATATCTACTGCAGCATCCACTACTGGTCCATACGATGTTGGTCCTAAGACACGCAAAAAAGAGAGATGTATTCAAATTTGACATGAATATGTTGTTGATGGTTCCCTAAGAAAAATAACTTCAGGTAATATGTACTAAGAAATCTATGGCCCACGGAAAACATAATCTTACCAGATAATCGTAAATTTGGAGCTATTCTTTTGTAGCAAGCCAAAACTTCTTCAAAGCCATGGCAAGGAGAGTGATCATTGTGAAAACTGAATACTTCATTATCATGTGTAGTTGCTACAAAAGGAAAAAAATGTCAACTTCTTAATTCATGAAGGATTAAAATGGAAATAAATGATCAAAAACTTTAGTTGTCAATTCATGTACTAACTACCCTATAAGAAATCAACAGTAGTAATAACATAACATATAATATGGCAAAATATAGAAACACTAACCATCGCCAAACCCAAAACAAGGTATCAGATTGTCTTCGTCAAATGGGGACAAAGTCTTCCCAATAATGGATATAGCTTTCTCGTATGGATTATGTGTATCACCAACAGCATGCAGGCTACGGTTATTGAATGAAACTTTGCCTTTAAATAGAAAATCAACGGATTAGCTACCATCATATAAAAATCAAAGTTGATCATCTAATAGGAAGACAATATTGCAAGTATGTGTGTGTATATATACGCACATATATACACACACTTACATATAGTTGTAAAAAAGAAGATTTTGCTTTGCATGGCATAAGAATATCTATTTTCTCCTTCCTATCAAATGTGACTACATGTTGAATTCGGGAGACTGATTCTCAACTATGAAATACAGCAGAAGATGACAGCCTTGGACAGTTTGACATCCATAACGAAAAATGCATAAATCAGTACAACAAAAATTAAAAAATGGTAAATAAGCAATGGATGGAAAAGTTAGCATTAGATTATTGAATTACTAAGTAGAAATGGTTAAAATATTTTTCTAACTCTCGGTGTAGTGTAGTGTAGTTATCGAGAAAGAATAAAAGTAAATCAATCTACTTAACCATGTTATAAATATCTATTTCACAGTCCATTTTCCAAAAAGAAAAAAGAAACAAAACTTGCAGCTCTTAGAAACAACGCTTGCTACTAACCTGTCCATTCATTACTTTTTGTAAAATCAATTCCTACAATTAGATTTGACGACTCGAGACCAGATTCTCTCAAGGCCAATGTGACCTGCAAACACCAACCGATTATTAGTAAACTATGATTTTGCTAGCAACACATGTGAAAGGCAACATGACGTTATCAAACATTCTAGAATTGTTTTTCAAGGTAAACAAAAAATACGAAAAGAAAAAAAAAGTACCACAGTGCCAATCTAAAAGCATGGCACCCGTCCACCATCATTTTTGAATAATGAAGCCAACGGTGTCAAGCAAGGGTGTTTTTTCGACTTAATTACTGTTCCTATTATTTTGCTAGTAACAATTGATTGTCGAGAATGTATGATATTGATGACTTTACTAAACACTGAAAAGGACAATTATTGTCCTTTGGCCTTACAAGTTGAACATGTAATGGTGCTCGATGTGATCAATATCACTTTATTGGACCATTCAATCATCTGCGAGACCAAAAGAATGGTGGAGCCAAAAGTCAACTATGATTGAGCCATATAGTGGATGACCTTTACTTGGAGCTCTAACCCTGTGATTACTGATCTAAGATGCCTATTACTACTTAATTTATTATTAGCTAGCACCACTTGTTTTGATAAAAGCACCTAAAACGCCTATACGAGCTCAATTGTTTTTTATATCTTGGGATAAAAATACATCAAATGAGTCCCTGATATGACAAAATAGCAGGTTTTATTGGCCAAACAATTAATATTTCTTTATTTTATCCATCCCTTTGCATTGGAATAATATAATGAAAATTTGATGTGATTCAACCTCGGACCCAATGACTAAATGCAGCAGGTGGTGGTGGGGTCGTCTTGTAAACTGAGTGTAGGATTGACTCCCACTCTTTCTTTCTTATCCAGTCTCTTATCGTGAAAAAAATGATACAGGCGCCGAGCAATCAGAAAGGCTGATCATACTCTAATTAATGACTTCAACCATAGGTTCCGTTCATAACTATGCTACTCTAACTAAAGAACTATGGATAAAAGATGACACTAAAACAAAAACAAGAAGCGCTCGTGAAAAAAAATCAAATCGATAACTAACATGAGAGAGAGAGAGAGAGAGAGAGAGAGAGAGAGAGAGAGAGAGAGAGAACCTGGTCGATGGACGTGAAGTTATCAGGGATGTAACCGTACTTCTTCTTTTTGTCATCCCGGCTGCTGCTGGTAGCCATGCCACCTGCACCACCTGCACTATACTTAGCTTCACTATTACTAGCAGCAGTACAAGCAGAAGAGTGATGATTCTGGTTTCTCTGCGGCAATACGTCGAGCAGGTGGTGAGTAGTTGAAGATGACACTGGTCTTGACGGCGGACCACCAGTCGTTGCAACATGGGAGCCACTACTTACAACCGCGCTGGAATCACGACCCCTACGGTTACGAGACCGAAACAACATATTCCCCATCTCATCTTCTTCACTCCCTCCCCTCCAAAAATTACACCTTTATTTACACACACACACACACAACAAACAAATAAACCAACCAAAAAATACATATATATTAAATACAGACTTACAGTAAAGTTTCGCTCTAAAAGAAACTGCAAGAACAAGGAAATTACCTCGAGATTCTCGGCTGGTTTCAGTGTGTGTGATCATGCAGAATCGGGTAAACGTGAAATACACGATTCGGAGGAACGGGGTTCTTGCCTTGTGAGTTTCATCTGAAGAATCATTTCCATAAACAGGCCCAGACTTTTTAAACACTAATCAATGCTTTCGGGAAGTCCTCTTCACCGTTCTGTACAATCTGTTTTATGAAAGTACTCCGAATCTTCTCAATTTTCATTTACGCCCCCGATATTTCCTTATATTACACTTTGATGCCCCATATGTGTGGGCTTTGTTTTATTTTACTGGGCCATTCTTGTTTTATTCCGCTGGGCCCACTTAGTTTGGGCTTCCCTTTTTTGGACTATCATCATTAATTATTATGACCGGATCATCAATATTTAAATATACATGTAGAAAGTTTTATTTTTAAAAAAAGTTTACATATTTGAATTAAAATAATAAATTATTTTCATGTAAAATAAATAAATAAAACAAAAAAGCAAATTTTGATTATCAGTAATTTCCCCAATGTTATGGATTTTCGATTGACGAAATAATAATTTTTAAGTGTATCTTTTATTCGTTCATGTGAAGTTAAACTTATAAAATATGAAATAATTTTAAAATTATTACAATATTGTTCATTGGATGCATAATGTAGAGATACAAGAATAATTAAATTTGCACAAATGCTCGAGTCAAACGTATACGGTGATATAGGATCACTGAAGATAGTAGATTAATAGTCAAGTTGAAGAGTTGATCGAAACTGCAATAGATTACTGCACACGAGCTTAATATTAACCAACCAAAAAAAGTTAACTAGCCTCGCTTGCAAATCACGTTTAATTGTATAAATGTTCAATAGAATCATTTAAAGAACTAATATAATTGGATGTCATTGCTTTTGAGAATTTTGAGAATAAATATAAATAAATAAATATATAAATGTTGAAAAGAATCATTTAAAGAAGAAAAATAAATGAAATGGAGAAAAAGAAAGTGAAGAAATAGTTTCCCTCACGTGCGGTTGCGACAGGGGGTGTAAGGTGGCTCCGCCCGTATGCACACATAACCAAGCAGCCTGTACGCGCCCAATTCGGAACGTGAAAACCCACGCACTCCCCAATACACCACCACTGCCTCAGCGCCAAACCCAATTCTCAGTTATTCCTTTTGCCGCTCTCTCTCTCTCTCTCTCTCTCCCACAGAAATTAACCACACCACACCAAACCCTTTTCTCCTCCCCTTTTCCCCTAATTTTTCAAAATCAAAATCAAAATCAAATTTTTTTCCCTTTTCATCCCGAAATTTTCACACTCCTCACTCAATCTCGTAAAATTGTTACCGAATCGGGGATTTCGTGTCGAAATGGGGCAGCCTTCGTTGCCGCCTCCACCGATTGCCCCTCTTCCGCCTCCACCGATTGCCCCTCTTCCGCCACCTGCTCAAGTTGGAGCCGTCGCCGGCGGCGGATGCCAGGTCCGCTGCGCCGGTTGCAAGATGGTGCTGACGGTGATGCCTGGGTTGACCGAGTTCGTGTGCCCGACGTGCCAGCTGCCTCAGATGCTACCGCCCGAACTCATGCCGTCTACGCAGGCCCAGGCCCACGCCCAGGCCCAACAAAGGAATGCCCCGGCCCATGGCATTGACCCGACTAAGATCCAGCTGCCATGCGCCAACTGCAAAGCCATACTCAACGTCCCCCATGGATTATCGCGCTTCAATTGCCCACAGTGCCACATTAATCTAGCCGTTGATCTCTCCAAGATTGCGCAAGTTTTGCCACCAATCCGCCCTCCCCCGCCCCCTGAAGATGTCAATGAGGTTTTTCTTCTGTTAAATTTATTTCTCATTTTGCTTTTTTTATTGACTCTAGTTGGAGTTGTTGGTAGTCACAGAACATATAGATTAATACTGTAATGTTAACTTTGCTGAATTTGCAAGGGTTTTATTTTATTTTAATTTCTTAGGAGTACAATTTGAATACTGGAGCTAGGAAATACAAGATCAATTATGGGGTTTAGTTTTGTCCCTTCAAAATGATGTTTGAACTTTTGAATGCTTAGCATGCATGAATGCCTGGGATACTTTTGGTCTTATTGCATGTGATTTTGGTGGATAAGTTATTTTATTTTTGGACGAAGAGCTTCAGTATAATTACTACAACCACAGACCGCACTGTCGATCATCTGTAAGTTGTCTAACCTGCATATTCTCATGGAAGAATGGGAATGCAGTTGAATGGAATTATTCATGTTCGTAAATAGTATATTATTTCAGTGACGTAATTATAGGGTGTATGTATTATGATGATTCAGATAGATTTCCTTACCTTAATACACGTGTTTTATTCACGAGGAATATTAGTTTTACTTTTGATTTATTTATTTTCCTTCTTTTTTCTATATTTGAAATTGCTAGACTGTTTTATGCTTTTTAGTTGTATGGTATTTAATGACAAAACTTAAGAATGTGATAGTGGCAATGGAATTAATTAGAGTGGCAGTATGCTAACTCTTTTGGTTAACTCCGATATTAATCATTTACTTTTCAATAAAAACTCAAGTTTGCTCCTTTGATATTCAAGTAAGAGGTTTGGATAATCATCTGGAAAATTGAGATGGTTTATCGGTTTTAGAAGAAACCTCCTAAAGTAACCAATACTACTGAATTGGAGTGTTAATTGTCTTTCCTAGTTGTCTAACACTTAATTCACAATTATGAAGATCTTTTAGATAGTAGCATCTGAAAGACTAGCCAATTAAGGGAATCAGAATTACGACAATCTCTTTAATGAATACTCCACCATTCCATTCCTACCATTTTGTTTTATCATTTTGACTATTTATCTAGTAGATAGAATCATAGAAATATAGACATTTTCTTTTGGTCCAAAATACTGATTTGCAGGCAGTCACTCTTCTGATATCATTTTTATTAGAAAATGGGGAATGTTAAGATCACAAGCAGATAGAAAGCAGTTAGATGATTTTTTGAGAAGCCAAATTTGGAATTATTACTTGATGATCTCTCTTAAGATAATCAAATAAACAGTTGGTAGTTTCTTTTTGTTTAAGGAGTCAAGGACATGCATAAATATATATCTAATTGGTTGAAGGATACCTAGGAGCCAAAAATTCGTTCAAAATCTTGTTCGTGAAAAAAAAAAAGAACTAAAAGATTTGAGGGTGGAAAATGGAAATTATTGGTTTTATCGAGTTTTGTATGGGTACCTATTAATTATCATATTACCTCTGATGAGTTCTGAATGAAATGCTAATATCTAAATTATTTTATTTAATGTTCACCATCAAGTTTCTCAAAATAGAATTTTCTCTTTTTTCAGTATCGTTTCACATGCATAACCTTCATTTTTGTGGGTGGGCATCGGGCCAGGTACCAAAAATTTAGGATAGCACAGTACACTACCTGACCCCTACCCGAAATTGTCGATTTGCCCAAAAATTCCGGTACAAAAACGGTCTGGTTGAGGCTCCCTATGTATTTACACTTTTTATAAACCAGCGTGTTTTAAATAAAACCAGTCCTAATCCTGTCAAGGTACATGTCTTGATTTTAATGAACCAATCTAGTGGGTTTTAAGCGGGTTAAGAATGTGCAGGTTCATTGTAGGATCTACCGTTAAAAAATTAAAAACTATTCTTTTCCTAATTTATACACCATCGAATCTAGAGCAACATAAAACAAGTCATACTAATTAATTCCCTGATCCATTTAGGATACCCGATTCCGCATTCATGTTTAGGCTTCTTGTATTTGGTACGCAAATTATAATTCGTATGTATCATATATTATTAACTTCAAATGTTACTTTGAGTTTGTATTGTACATTATAAAATTTATTAAACTATATACTGCAAGTAAAAAATATGTCTTTTTATGTAGTGGAGGCGAGACAAGTTTTATGGGTTCTAGGGTTCATAAACCTTTGAATCTTCCTCATACCTAGATATGTTGCTATCGACAAATCTGTTTGTCCGGTACCGAACTGGGTTTGACGGGTTCAGGGTCCAAACTGCTCACCCCTACCATATTTACATTGATTCTCGTATGGGTTAAAAATCAGGAGGATGAAGCCAGAACATTTTTCTCTTTCCTCTTTTGTCATTTTCCTTCTTTCCTCTGTTGATCCTCTTCATCTCTTTCTCTCCTACAACTCTTCTTTCGGATCCTCCTTTTTTTTTTTTTTTTTTTTTTTTTTTTTCCTTCTTCGTTCCTCTTTCTCCTTCTTTGTTCTTTTGTCTGCAGCATATTTCTCATTTTCATTATTTAATTTTGCCTTATTTATTTCTTTATCTTTTCCTTTCATTCTCTCTTACCATTCTGTCCTTTACTTCTCCTTCTGTTCTTAATTCTCCTTCTTCAGGACTAGTAGCTATGATTTTTCTTCTTCTTTCTTCCTTTTCCTCTACTTCCCCCACCCTTTCTTCCTTCATTCTCTTCCAATATGTTTCTTCCTTTGTCTGACTTCCCCGACAGATATGAACCATCTGAATTTGTTACTGGCTTCAGTAATTTTGGAATTTGGCGACTGACTTCAAAATTGAAAAGTTTGTATCGCACTGCTGCTGGCTTCATGTATTTCAGGCTGATGTTTAATTTTAGATTTTTGATACCTGATCGGATTGGGTTGGAAAATTTATTCAAACTAAAATTATAAACCTGGATATAGGATTATCCCAAACACGGTGTATTTTAAATAAATAACGGACTTAATTGGGCTTTTCTCGATCACACCAGATTGAGTTCTGATACCCAAACACGTCCAAATATATTTGCCTACCATTTTCTCACTCTTAAACATGGAATCTTGTCAGGAAATGTGAAGAATTTATTAATCTGTAGATGTCTACAACCTAACTCCCTCCCCCCCCCCCCTCCCAAACCTCCCTGTCTACTCCATTATTGATGTTTTCCTTTCTCATATCAGGCGGCAATTGAAGTCCAGCGGGAAGAAGATGAAGGTGGCTTGGCTGGGGAAACATTTATGGATTATGTATTACTCCTCGTGTCATTCTCTTGAACTTATGGACCTCACAAATATCTGGACTAATTTTTCTCATCGAAGTTTTACTTTGTTTTGTGCAGCGACCTCCTAAACTCTCCATTGGTCCCCCCCATCCAGATCCCATTGTGGAGACATCATCCTTATCTGCTGTACAGCCTCCTGAACCTACTTATAATCTCGTGATTAAGGATGACTTAGAAAGTTCGAAGGCATTGTCATGCTTGCAGATTGAAACGCTGGTCTATGCTTGTCAGGTTGCTTTAAAAGTTTGACATGTAATATTTTTCAGCGGTTTTCCAACATCATCAATTGCAAAATTTTTTTTGCATGACAGAGGCATCTTCAGCACCTTCCTAGTGGTGCCAGAGCTGGATTTTTTCTTGGAGATGGTGCTGGTGTGGGTAAAGGAAGGACAATTGCGGGGTTAATATGGGAGAATTGGCACAATGGGAGAAGGAAAGCCGTGTAAGTATTGACTGTTAAGTGATATGCGCTCCTTGTGCATTTTACATTGGCCAAAGATATATCCAATTAATTAACCTTGGTGATTGTATTAGTTCTGAGTCATTGATGGACTGAGTATTATCTATATTTCTGTAATGGTCTTATGCAGGTGGATTTCTGTTGGTTCAGACTTGAAATTTGATGCTAGAAGAGACTTAGATGATGTTGGTGCTTCATGTATAGAAGGTAGGTTCAACTATTAATAATGAGTTTATCCATATTGTGTTGGATTTGAGGTCTTTACTCTACTTGGTCTTGGGATACATGATAGAGATAACCTTAAGGGTTGATCTTTTTACAAAAATTATCAGTTAAATTTGGTCAAGGGTCTTTAGGGAATTAGTTGTTTTGGACTATTTTTTTTGGTCAATTAACTGCCTATTCCATTTACAGGTCGAATATATATTTGGTCAAATTGTAACTAAGATATATAACTTTGAACTGACCATTTGATAGAATTTAGAAATAGCATAAATGTAGGAATACAGAATTATAGAACAAGGTGAATAACTATTGATTGAATAATAGAAAGGAGAAAATATTAATTGAAAAAACGACTGTAACTACGACTAATAGTTTTATTGTGAGACAATTGATATTATGATGACAAATTTGAAGTAAAGGATATTTACAGATCTTGAAAATGGATTAAAAATAAAAATCAAAAAAATATTTATTGGAGTAGAATTGTGCAACAATGGTCGGTGGTCGTTTATTTTTTTCCGTTGATCTGTAACGTTCACAGATTTGAATTGTCGACTTTCCAAAGTAGCTATTGTCGGGTAATCTCAGAGTCGACTGGCGGTTCATGTGTATTAGTTTTTATGACCATGAAGCGGTTCTTTACTCACGATCCGACTATGGTTTTGGGTCAAATATATCTTTGACCCGATTAACCAGACCAGTCATCATGGACTGGTTAACGGCTCTGTGTTTACAAAACCTACTGTCATCTGTTTATATTTTTTCAATTGCACCCTGAGTGAGTTGTTGTGTGGGGTAGGGACTGTGGAGGATGTGAATTGTAAAATATAGACAAAAACTAAATGAGGTACTTTTGAAACCTGGAGGAGTTTATACTTCCAAAAGTTAAGTTTTTAAGGGTATGCTTTTAATTTACCCTTTATCTTACTTTTATTCTTTGTAGTTGTATTTGGTGGAGAGAAAAGGCATTATTAAGATGCTGGATTGCACATTGATTTTGAATTTCAGATATGTTATTAAAACCAAATCTGGTTCTTTTGTAGATATCAATCTCTATACATTTTGGTGGGAGATTAGTCCTTTTAATGCCTTTTCTTATGTTGTTAGCAAGTCTGCTTATCACGTGCTAACAGCTGGCAAGGGATTTTTGAGCTTAGTTGGCTTGTTGAGTTGATGAATTGTTTCACAGTTGAGCTTGACACATATAATAGAACAAGTTAGCTTTTTAAATGATAGGTAATGGGCTCTAGTATATGGATGCACTGTACACATACTAACTGTGAGTGCATCGAGGGTGCATTTGGATGGAGGGATTTGGGGGAGGGATTTCAAATCCATAATAACAAATCCCTTGGACTTGTTTGGATTGATGGATTTGGAGATGGATTTCAAATCCACACCCCACCTTTTTAGTTGATTTTGGAGTAATAGTGGTGGATTTCAAATGACTCCAAATTGGAGTCATTTCAAATCCCTTCCCCAAATCAAATCCCCCCTCCAAATCCCTCCATCCAAATGGACCCCAAAGGAATTTATATACTACTACCTTTTAGCGACATTCTTATTTTGGATGACCAAGTAAGTGCTTCAATGTAGTGCAGTTAGCCAGACTCTATCAACGTATTATATTTGATGGTTGTTTTATGCTAATGGTGCTTTATACTCTAATCGGACCGTTTAGTTAGATGCTCTCATAATTTCCCTTTGCAGTGCACGCCTTGAACAAACTTCCTTACTCCAAGCTTGATTCAAAATCTGTTGGCATCAAGGAGGGAGTTGTGTTCTTGACTTATAGTAGTCTCATTGCATCTTCTGAGAGAGGCCGCTCTCGTTTGCAGCAGCTTGTGCAATGGTGTGGACAGTCTGATAGCCTAATTGTATTTGATGAGGTAGTTATTTTGCAGAATAGAAATTTCTTTTACTTTGATTAGCTGGACTAAATATGATTCAGATGATTGGCACACTGTTCATACAAGGAATAATTACTATAGCTTATTTAATTTATAACTGTTAGTGCCACAAAGCAAAAAATCTGGTTCCTGAGGCAGGAGGTCAGCCAACAAAGACAGGCGAAGCTGTTCTGGATATTCAGGTCACACTTCTGTACTTCTTTAGCTATATAATTCTTAGGTGCACATGTGCTTTATGTGATATTTTAGTTTCTTGTCTTATGAAGAATATCGCAACTACACCTGGATCCTCTCTCCCTCTTTTTTGCCTTCTCCTAAAACATCCATCTTTTTTTGTATCCCTGCTATTTCACTATGTATAGCCTCAACAGTGTGACAGTGTGGCCTTTGGGAATCTCGATACTGGCAATAATGATCGGTATATCTGCCCCTTTTTGCTTCATTTTGCTTCTATCGACTACTAGACTTGTAATGTATGTCATTGGAATTTATCTAGGAGAATGAATGAATAGATGAATTAAGTCGGTGAAAATATGCTTTTAGCATTTAGAACAATATTTTTTATTAACCGTTTCTGCTAATAGTCTCAATGAGAGTGCAAAGCAACCATATACTATATATATACCATAACCTATAGTTGCCAAATGAAGCTTGCCCAGGAGTTGTAAGGTCAAGTCCGAAGGATCACATGTGATCGATCATTGTACTGAGTCTAGATGATCCTGATTTCTACAGGAAGATCTTAAAAGTTCTAGCAAGTCACATGATGCTTGCTCAACGCCGGTGGTTACTGCCATAGCCTATATGTACCTATTGACTTTGATATACTCTCATGACAAACTTTTATCCTCACCATTTATAGTTGCTATAGTTTGTTCGCTGTACTTGTACATCCTATGATATTATATCTATAATACATGTACATCATGTAGTATTGTAGGCGTACTTGTATAACATATTTTGCTTACAACATGACTTAAAAAGGGATATTTTCCATGCTTCTGAATTTCTCTAATGCAGGCCAGGCTTCCTGAAGCTCGCATCATTTACTGCTCAGCAACTGGTGCTTCTGAACCACGCAATCTGGGTTACATGGTTCGCCTTGGTCTTTGGGGAGCCGGAACATCTTTTTCTAGCTTCCGTGAATTTTTAGGTGCAATTTTCATTTGATTTTGCGCCTTATTTGCTTGATGCCTTCTGATGTTTTTGTTCTGGTGGAACCGTGGAATTTAATATGTACTCTTTCATCATTATCATGCGGTTTTCCATGGAACACATGAAGATTCACTTGCTTGAAAATATAATCTAGCTGCTCCGTAGAATCTTTGTTGTTAATTCGTCCCCCACTACCGTTGTCCGAATGTTTTATTCAAATTCAAAAGTCCCACTCTCTTCCTATACTCTGTCAGTGCACATCCAATCCAATATTGCGAGCAAAGAAACGTAGCTATTTTAATACGTGGAAGAATATTATACTATATTGAGATAGATCTTTAATGATGGATATAATTAATTCCAAAAGGAACACGATATTTGGGTGATCGCCCAACGACAATCTATAACACGTTTGGTTTCTTAAATTAACATGGACATGAAGTACTTCATGTGCGCTTCTTATTTATGGTAACCTCGTCATTTTCCAACTTAGGATAATGGTATAAATAAGTAACCAACAATCTTGTGTTGGTCTTTGCAGTTGCGCTGGAGAAAGGGGGTGTTGGGGCTCTGGAACTTGTTGCAATGGATATGAAAGCCAGGTTATGACTTAGATGATTTCTGGGAAATAGAATTGTGAATTATCACAATATAAATTGAAATGACACTCTTGACTTTTAGGGGGATGTATGTCTGTCGCACTCTTAGCTACAAAGGTGCAGAGTTTGAAGTTGTTGAAGTTCCTCTGGAAGCCAAAATGACGGTATGGTGCGTTTTCTGTTTCTTTTTGATTTTTCTGCTTGGAAAATGAATATTTCATAAATCCCTTGTTTTCTTTCACAAGATATACAGTGTCTCTTTATCATTGCTGCTACATTGATATCAGTATCAAATCATTGAACACTGGGAGTGTTGACACGAAGTTCATATTACATGATCTTTAATATCTATTATATCTTCTAATCAGTTTTTATTTATAGCCTGGTAGTTCTATTCTCATCTATTGAGGTTCTTATTTTGGTATCTCTTTTTTAAAGTACTTCTGTTTTTCTCAGGATATGTATGCGAAAGCAGCGGAATTTTGGGCTGAGTTAAGAGTGGAATTAATATCAGCTAGTACATTTCTAGCCGATGAGAAGCCTACTTCAAGTCAAGTGTGGAGACTGTACTGGGCAAGCCATCAGGTTTAGTAGTTAAAAGTTGTATCATGGAACCTTTTAACATTTTCTCCGCTTTCTGACATTTTACTGTGTTTGATCCTTTCATGTGTTATTTAGCGATTCTTTAGACACATCTGCATGTCCGCTAAAGTTCCTGCAGTGGTTAGACTTTCTAAACAAGCATTGGGGGATAACAAGTGTGTGGTCGTAGGCCTACAGAGTACTGGAGAGGCACGAACTGAGGAAGCTGTGACAAAATATGTAAGTCTGTTTTTCCATTTTTTTTTCCTTCAAGTGTTTATGTACATTAAATTCCTTCCACTCTTTCTTGTTGCATCATTTGGTGTAAAGATCGTAGAAGTTTCATTTCATCATGTATACTATACCATATTGCTTCTAGAATTTTTCTTCATACATATTGCTGATGATTTTTCTTGAGATGGTATTCTTTGAATCACATTTTGAACTTCATTTTGTTGATTTTATTGAGATAGGGTGTGGAGCTTGATGATTTTATCTCTGGGCCGCGTGAGTTATTGCTGAAATTTGTTGAGGAAAATTATCCCCTCCCAGATAAGCCTGAACCACTCCCTGGTATTTAATCATTTATATGGTGTAATTGTTTATACGTTCTTTTTGTGTACCTGATGTATTAATATTGACTTTTTGTGCTTAGAGGAGAGTGTAAAAGAGCTTCAGAGAAAGAGGCACTCAGCTACACCTGACGTTTCATTTGCGGGGAGAGTAAGGAAAGTTGCTAAGCGAGGTGCTGAAAGCGAAGAAGAAAGCGAAGAAGAAACCGAATGGCAATCTGAAAGTAATTTAAGGAATTTCTTGCAATAAGTCTTTTGGATAAATATCACCTAGCATTAAAGTTGCTTTGTTTCCTTTTTACACAATTTTGACAAATAGCAAGTCGAATTAATGCAATCTCGCGTCCATATGCTTAAAATACCTCTTTTGCGCTAATGATTCATTTTTTACTTATAATTTACACAGATTTGTTTTAAGGTCGAGTTACCAAAACTACCCTTGTGGTTTGCTCTGCTTACTAAAGAAACTCAGCTATGTCTGTAATTCCCTCTCGACTTTTGTTTCTATACAAATTGCACCTGCTGATGGGTTTGTTGTAAAACAAATACAAACCTCAAGGGGGTGTTTTTGTTTCGAGAGACAGCTAGATGTTTACTTGTAATCAGGCCAAACCTTAAGGTAGTTTTTGTAGTTCACCCTTATTATATGTGTAACCTGCCGAAGCTTATTGAGACAATAAGTCCATGTACATTATATTCAACAAATTCATGATTCATGGCTTACTAAGGAATACTTATTAAGCAACATTATCCCTGTAAATTTGAAAAGTCTCATTTGAATGTCATTTTTGTTTATTGTTATTATCATTTGGTATCACTTGGTTGCTTTTCATGCTCAAGTCTTTCTGTAAATGCAGCTGATACCGAACCTGAAACTGAATCTGATGATGAGTTTCAGATCTGCAACACTTGCAATTTAGAAGCGGTATTTTCCCATCCATTTATTTTTTCTTTGATATGACAGGTTTACATGGTTCTTTAATCGTTTTTGTGTTTCTTCCTTGAAAGGTGTTTTAGTTTTACGACATGTCTGTGAATGTAGGAAAGAAAGAAGTTACTTCAGTGTTCCTGCTGCAGCCAGCTTGTTCATCCCGCATGTGTGGTCCCACCAGTTGTAGAAGTAATAATTGGGGATTGGTCTTGTCACTCGTGCAACGAAAAGACAGAGGAATATCTCCGGGCTAGAAAAACCTATTATGAGGAATTGCTGAAGAGGTAAAATTTGTTCAAAGAAATTATTTACGCTGGCGTCTGTAATATATTTAATTTGACTATTTTTTTCTTATCTTGTGTGCTTTCTGATGGTATTCCTATTTAGCTAATTAGTTGACTTTGAAACCTAATTAGATACGAAAGTGCCTTGGAACGTAAGTTGAAAATTCTGGAAATAATACGTGCATTGGATCTTCCAAACAATCCATTGGATGATATTATTGATCAGGTAATATCACAATTAATATTCCCAAGCCACAATTTTTGTAATTATATTGCAGGACCTTCATCTATTGACTTTATGATGTTGGCACAGCTTGGTGGTCCTGATAATGTAGCAGAAATAACAGGGAGGAAAGGCATGCTTGTCCGGGCTCCTGGAGGAAAAGGTGTTACTTATCAGGCACGGAACACGTGAGTTTGTTCTTTAATCTAGGATCCTTATTATTAATTGTCTTTGTGGTTGCTAATGCATGTCACTTCAGGAAGGAGGTGACCATGGAAATGGTAAATATGCACGAAAAACAGCTTTTCATGGATGGTAAAAAGCTAGTAGCTATCATTTCTGAGGCTGGGTCCGCTGGTGTTTCTCTGCAAGCAGATAGAAGAGCAGTCAATCAGGTGGATCATAATTGTATTTTAATTTATTTTCTCAAGGTGATCCTGTATCATGTTTGCATTTAATATGGTCTTTGTTTATTTCTCAACAGAAAAGAAGAGTTCATTTAACTCTAGAACTACCTTGGAGCGCAGACAGAGCAATTCAACAGTTTGGAAGAACTCACCGTTCAAATCAAGCTTCAGCACCAGAGTACAGGTGATTATGAGTTACTGCAATGTCAATTGCTACAAGCAACCTGTTAACATACTTACAAATGCGTCACTTTCTATATTAAATATTTATTTTGTACATAAAGCTAGTTTGGTTTGGCTAGGTAATCTTTGAAATTTGGGAATATAGTACAAGAATTTAAAAGTATGCACTATAAGATTTTATACTAAAGTTTGGGTGAAAACTATCATTAAATTTCATCATGACTAAGAAGTAAAAGTTTTGTAATGAATGTTGCTTTTCTAGAATAGACAAGTTCAAAGCTCTAGAAACAAAAGTTTATATTACTCTGTTTCTCAAATGGGTTTGGAGGTGAGAAGCGACATATCAAATTATTTGGCATGCAGCAGGCCATATTGTTAACTATATTACAGCCCACAATTAGTGATGTGAACTTGATCATATTCTGATAATGTGGTAAGTTGTTTCAATATATCTCGCAGGTTGCTTTTCACAAATCTTGGTGGTGAACGCCGGTTTGCATCTATTGTTGCCAAGAGACTTGAATCTCTTGGAGCATTAACACAAGGAGACCGAAGGTAATTTTCAATCTTGTAAGAGCGTTATATATAAATTCTTTCTGAGCAGTTTCGTCATCTTATTCAACTATCTTAGGCTCAGATCATTGTGTATTGCAGGGCTGGGCCATCTCTTAGTGCTTATAATTATGATAGTGCATATGGGAAGAAGGCCTTGATGATGTTGTATAGGGGAATCATGGAACAGGTGCTTTTGTATTAGATGTCTCATTGTATAATGAAGCTTCAAATTCATATACTTCTGGAAATACTTACTTTGATCATGTTTTGAATTATTAGGAACCTTTGCCCATTGTTCCACCAGGATGTTCACCGGAAAAACCGGAAACAGTACAAGAATTCATTCTGAAGGGAAAAGCTGCGCTTGTGTCTGTAGGGATAATTAGAGATTCGGTTTACGGTAATACCATAACTACTTGTCTCATATACTAATGAACCCTTTTTTCTTATGGGTTTGCTTTTTATCCTTGTAGACATGCACTGGTTATAAGGTAGTTGCATAGAATGTATAGCTTTCATCTATAAGTTGTCATCATTATTGAATGATGTTGATTGCCAAAGTTAAAGCTCTCTTTGCGTTTAAATGGAGTGCTCTGTATGTACTGTGACCTTAAAAGTTTTGAGTTAGCTTTAATGATATATCATGTGTTTACTCTTTAAAGGTAACGGGAAAGAATCCGGAAAGATTTCTGGGCGTATAGTTGATTCAGACATGCATGACGTTGGGCGTTTCCTCAACCGACTTTTAGGGCTCCCTCCTGATATTCAAAATAGGTGTGTGAGAATTGGAGAAGTGTTGATTCTTTTTATCGTTTGTTATTCATCAATAACAGTAGATGCTGATGGTGTTGCAGGCTGTTTGAGTTATTTACTGGTATCCTTGATCTTATTCTCCAAAATGCGCGCGTTGAAGGGCATTTAGATTCTGGTATTGTTGACATAAAAGCTAACACCATTGAGCTGCAAGGGTCACCAAAGGTTACAATACTCTCTAGCGCTTTTGCTGGTTTAACATAATAGAATCATAGTAATTAACATCTACGTTTGGCAGACTGTTCATGTTGACAGTATGTCTGGAGCATCTACTGTGTTGTTTACTTTCACGTTGGATCGAGGAATGAAATGGGAGGTATCTTTTAATACTGACATCAGTCTATTGATATTCCTTTGATTATAGTGACTAATATAATACATTTCATTTTTTGTAGTCTGCTTCTACATTGCTTGAGGAGAAGCAAAAGGACGAGTCTGGGTCAAACAATGGTTTCTATGAATCAAGGAGAGAATGGATGGGAAAGCGACACTTTATATTAGCATTTGAGAGGTATGGATATTACTTAACATAACATGTTTAACCATTATTATGACTGCAAAACATGTTGCAAGTATTTGCTGTTGTTTTGTTGCGAGTGATTATTCTTAGTTTCAAGTACGCGACATTCACCATAAAGCAAATATTTGGGTCCTCTCATTTATCTTGGTCCTCTCATTTTGCCTTTCTTGATGCATCTTATTGGTTCTGGCAGTTTAGTAATTGACAGTATTTATACATTTAATTAGTAAATTTGCTAGTCATACTACACTTGCATATGGATGATGCTTATTACGCCAGCAGTAGCTTTAAGTGTTTTATACTTAAGTAAATTAGTTTCAGGCTTTCAGCTGACTAGATCATATGTTCTGTTTCTTCTTTTCTTTTCTTTTTTATTATTATTGTTTTTATTTTTTGAAGTTTAAGTTTTCATACTATGGGACTGAAAAAAATGGAATGAGATTTAAGATTTAACAAAAAAAAAAAAGAACATACGATCTAGAGTTAGCTGAAACTACTTTTTTATTTACCGTGGTGACTGGCTTGTGTGTGTGTGTGTGTGTGTGTGTGTGTGTGTGTGTGTGTGTGTGTGTGTGTGTGTGTGTGTGCGCGCGCAAATAGACATAAGTGCGGATGTATCTTACATTTGATAATGCTTATCTATTTATGACTTTTCTGATTTCAGTACTGTTTCTGGAATGTACAAAATATACCGTCCGACCTTAGGGGAGTCTATCAGGTGCCTAAAAATTACTGTCAAGATTTCATATCATTGCTCTTTATAAGTTTCTATGCTAGGATTTTTGATGTGAGTTCCATTGTTACCCAGGGAGATGACTCTAGCAGAATTAAAAGACAAATACAGAAAACTTTCATCGATGGAGAGGGCTCGTGATGGCTGGGAAGATGAATATGATGTTTCGTCCAAGCAGGTAAACATGTGCATTTATTGAATAAGTTATTAGTCTAAGTATGCATGTTTCTTTCATTTGTCTAAATTATGTCACAAGCCCGTATGATCTCTATGCAAAATGTCCATTAATTGACTGAAGAATAATCGGTGGAAATTTTGAGTATAAAGTATGTTTGCTTGCCTATAGAAGGCATATGGTTCTTTTTTCCGGTTAACGAGTGTTTAATTACAATAATAGATATTAAAACTTGAGTTTCCAATGCTAGTTTTAATGCGTGCACAAATGTTAAGTGGCACAAATTTTAACGCGTCCTACTTCTATATTACGCGGACAATGTCATTGTATTGCTTATTTGAGCTTTCACATGCAGTGCATGCATGGTCCGAAGTGTAAACTGGGAAACTTCTGCACTACCGGGAGAAGGCTACAGGAAGTGAATGTATTGGGTGGTCTCATTCTTCCTGTCTGGGGAACTATTGAAAAAGCACTTTCCAAGCAGGTATGTCAAGTATTTTTGCTTTATTTGGTTGTTGATTCTCATTATATATTCATAGCTGAATTTTGAGTAGCAGCAATTGGTGAAATAATTGAAATAATTGAGGATCAGCCACAAGTTGAGTATGCACAGAAATCAAGTGTAATCAAATGCATATATCATGCTGTCACTTTGTGTTGGATCTCTTGTAAGTAAACCCACCAATCCTTGTGATAATTCTTGTATGCCCCGACGCTCTCGAGTAATTAAAGGTCAAAGATGCCAGCTAAACCTAGTTTATTCTTGAAACTGGATAGACGTAGTAATTGTCTTACGGATCGAAACCTTGAGGGATTCCCATATTACCAGCATTGTAATTGCAGATTTCAGTTTATTTTTTGTTTTCATGTGGACCTTTTAGCAACTTTTCCTTGATTGGTGTCTTTTGCAGGTACGCCAGAGCCATAAAAGGACTCGGGTTGTGCGTATAGAAACAACCTCAGACAGTCAACGAATTGTTGGTTTACTCATCCCAAATGCAGCAGTGGAATCTGTGCTTCAAGGTTTGTTACTTTACTAATCTTACTCGATTATCTACTTCCGATTAATCATAGGACTATTTGCCTTTTGGACGTTTTTCAAAAGTTTGCATAACATGGCCTTTTCTTTTTCATTATTTTTTTGCTGGGGTTCGTGAGGGTTGTTGCGGGGTGGGATGGACATGTGTTTTATCCTCACATTCCTTCTAAGTTTAGTGTCTGCTGTAATACGAGATCCAAGACATTTCTATATCTAATTCAGAGCTGCTAAAAACTAATAATGCTCGTTAAATTTAAAACTATTGAATTGTTTATGCTATATAAATAGGTTTTGGTAATGTTAGCAACGGCAATATGTCGACACAGGATTACAATTACTATTTTTCCTGGCCGCTATATCATTTACTCGTAGTATTTTCATTATCATGAAATGGCTGAAAGCATGGCGCTCTAAAGCTCTCCAGCAAGTTTTAAAACCAGACAACGTATTCATATATTTTTACCTCGCTTACTATCGCATTTCATGACGAAGATCTGCATGTAATGTTGTGGAGGCTTTATATCTATCTGATTTCCTTCTATCATATTGTTCAATTTTATGCATTAAATATAAAATTACTATAAGAATGGTGTTTTTTTTTTTTTTTGCAGATCTGGCCTGGGTTCAGGATATTGAAGACGAGTGATAGAAAAAACAAAAACTGAAGGTTTTTTTGCTATTTATATTAGTATTGGTCTCCAGCAGCTTTTTCATTTATGCCGCCAAGGAATTTCTGACTTGCATCGGCGGCAGCAGCGAAGTGATTGCTTGCAGTGAAAGATATACATAATAGGGTCATTTTTTGAGATTTTTATGATCCAACTGTTTCAACAAGATAGCAGCAGCTATGTTTATATTATTATATTTATTATTTTTGCCTACCATTCCTAGGCGAATGCAGATTTGTGTTTCTTTTTTTGTATATCATATGCATTATTGTAATAGGTACAAACATATTTGAAAAACGAAACACACATCGGACAACCCTTTTGCCGAATTCCACTCAAAAAAATCGATATGTTAATTAATATTCCAGTTCGGTCCGAAAATATAAATATTTATTGTACACATTCATTCAATAAACTGAATGTAGAAAAAAAAAAAAAAAAAAAAGCAAGCAAAAACCACAAAATCACACGAAAACATCAAACACAAACCATATAATCAATCAAATTCATTCATCAGCAAATAAAAGGAGCATCTACGTGATGATCACTGCAGTAAAGCCCGGGGCGCTGAGTGTAGCCCTGTTTCTTCAACAGCTCCCTCGCCTTAAGCACAAGCTCCTGGTTACTAACCGGCTCGTCCGACGCAGCAATTATAGTCTGGATCGCATTGCTCAAAGCACCATAAGCTTGACTCGCATCACCCGATGGACTAGCATCGGCCGAAGTCTGGTCCGTTTGGCACCCACTGATGAGAATCCCGCTATCTGGTAGCGATCTGTTAGCAGAACCAGCATAAGCTTCCTCTTTTTTCTCGACATGTGTTTCGAGTGCAGGCTTCGCGTAGCCCTCGTCGTTTTCTTCGAGCTTCTGCTTCAGAAACTGCTGTGCCAAACCGCCCACCATTCCTAGAAACCCACCGCTGCCACCATCGCCGCCTTCTTCGTTGTTGCCTTGCAATTTGCTGAAGATAACGTTCATGAATTTCTTTACTTTAGGGCTGGAGTCATCTCCGAATACGTCGAAGAGCGTTGGCCTCAATTTTCCAACGTCGATATCGTCTTTGCCGGTTTTTTGCTTGAGTAGTTCGATTAGGGTTGATAGGGGTAAGGATTTGCTCTTCATGTAGCCTTCACCTTCGTTTGTTTCTTCTTCCTCTTCGTCTTGGTTGTGGCGCCCGCCGAATCCACGAGATTCAATTGCGTCTCCGACGGTTTTGCGGAGGAAGTTTCTGAATCCGAATCGAGATCCGCCTTCTTCTCCTGCTTCCTCTTCTTCCTCGCCCTGTTTGGCGGTGCTTTCTCCGATCTGCTCCTTGGCCTCGTCGATCAGGCCGCCGCTGTGGCATGAATCGGAGACGATGGTGATCTGGCATCCCTCCGGTACTTTATCCACCAATTCTCTGAAATCATCGTCTGATTTAACGCAAAAGGGGAAAATAAAAAGTCAATTCAACAACAAATCAAATGAAAAATCATAAATCCAGAAAATTGGGGGAGGAATCTGACCGGTGATGAGGTTCATGTCGGAGGGGACAATGCACTCATCGTAGCCGGTGTCGTCATCCTCGCCGGTCTCGGCCGGGAGGCGGGTGCCGTGGCCGCTGTAATGCACGAACAGGAAATCACCGGGCTGGGCGGAGTTGACCAGATCGGCGAGGGCGGCGCGTACGTTCCGGCCGGTAGGCTGGGTGTACGAATCATCGGTGTCGATGAGGACGGTGATATCATCCTCGGAGAAGCCGTATCGCTCCACCAGACAGGTGTACATCCGCTTGACATCGTTGATGCATCCTTTCAGCTCCGCCTTGGTTCCCGGATAATTGCAGCCGATCATAACCGCCTTTTTCGCCATAGTTGAAAAATGAAAGAGTATTTGGATACTGATATTTTTGAGCTGTATGTATTGTACACCAAAAAAAAGTTGTGGAGAATTAATAGAGGGGGCGAGGCAAGGTTGTGAAACGCTTATCCGCATTTATTTATTCTGTTTTTTTTTTTTTTGTTTAATAAAGATATTAATTAGTATTATTATTTTTAATTGCAAGATTATGAAAAGCGTTTACCAAATTTCTTATCTAAAACTAAAACCAATTTAATGACTGTAAAGAGAGAGTAGTTGCATATGAATATCATATCATACCACTGTCGGCATACGAGTGGGGTGCGTGTTGGGGGGTATATTTTCTATTTTTATTTTTTATTTTTTATTTTTTATTTTCTTGGTTTAGGGATCAATCATGATTGATGATGGCCGATGGGGACGTGATGGAATGAAGATGGGGTTTTTATTATGTCAACGAATTTTTCTTTAGTACATTCGAAATTTGAGATATTTGTTTGATTTGATTTTAATTTATTTAAAGTTGAGTTGATTTTAGTAATTAAAATAAATCTAAATACAGTGTTTAAACTTTAAAGTTCAATGCTTTTATAAGTAAAACTATTTTTAATTAGCCACGATATTTTTTTTCGGAACAGATTTAAATTAGCCACGATTGATTTTGTATCGTGCTCATTTTTATATGTATTAGATTTTGAAGTTTTAATTGGGCAAAAGAAAAATGAATGGATGTAGTAAGCTAGGTGGCTACGTGCAATTAACTAAGGGTGTTTGGCTAAGCTTATAAGATGTTAAAAGGAGCTTATAAGATGTTTTAGAGCTTATAAGCTCTTCCAAAGTGTTTGGTAATTTTTTTTAAAAATAAGCTGTTGGATAGCAAATAAGATCTTTTTAAAAAAGTACCTCTACCCCACCTTTTTATTTAAGATCTTATTATGAGTAAAAATAGGAAATAAGCTAATTATCCAAACACTCTAGAAATTAATCCAAAAAATAAGACGTAACAGCTTATCAACTCTTAAAACATCTTATCAGACGTAGGAGCTTATCAGCTGTTTAAAATAAGTTTAGCCAAACACCCTCTAAGTCCTGCCTTTCCCACACTTAGTCGCACACCCAATTAACTACATAAACTGCCCTTGATATGATTTCTCGATTATATAAGGGTGACGCTATTTACAAACTAAAAATACCCTTGAATACAAATTATGAATGAACAAAATTGGGTGTATGTTCAGACATATTTAAAAATGGTGATGATGATTATTGTCTTAAATTCTCGATAATTCACTTGATTTCAGATGGAGATTTGTTGAAATTTTTGGGCCCAAATGAGTTAGTGAAATTCAGCCCATAAAACCCTTTCTTCTTTGAGGCGGCCCAATACTCAAAGCCCATTCATACAAAAAGTCCAAGTGACTGGTCAAATTCCGGGAACTCTCTAGATCCTAAATTTTGAACGTTAGGTTCTCTTTGTTTTGATCTTCACCACTCATTTGAGGTATTTTGACTTCTCCTATCTTCCAAATTTTACTCTCTCATCTTTTTCTCTTATCTCTCTTCTTGTTGTACGTGTTGAATGTGTCTTGTCGTTTCCCGGCTACAGCTTGTTTGACTATGACATGGTTATGCCGTTTATGTTCTCCACTTTAGAGACTATCCTTCTTTTCCATCTATGTTACAAACCATTCTATGAGAGAGAGGGTAGAACTATCTTCCTGTTTCTTCATATCTTTGTTCTTCAGTGAGCGAGTGAGATCCACTTTTAAGTGAGGAAATACGAAAGAGTTTACACCAGTAAAATTGGAGGTTTAAATGAGAGAGTTGAACAAAATTTAAGTAGTTCTGGTTAGATTTAGAGTTCCAGTGATTGTACTAGGCCGTTGGTGGCACTACTGTTTTATTCTAGACGAGAAAAAGATGGCAATGAAAACTCATCTATAAACAAAATGCTTAAGCATCGTTTCATAGAAGTTTTGCTATTGAGTAGCTTTTCTCTTTTGAGTTCTTTCCATTTATAATATTGTTTCTTTTCTTTGTTACTTAGATAATCTGTAATCTCTAAATCTTACACCCGTAGAATCATGATAGAATATAATTATGTATTTTATACCGATTATCTTCGAATTCAAATGGATGCCCAACAAATAGAACACCTAAATTGAATCAAATATATGCAAAAAAACCAATTTCAAAGAAAGAAGTATTCGTACTCCTCGAATTTATGTGTAAAACCAGGCTCAAATCATACAAAACAATAATAGAAAAAAAAAATCACATTTTAATACGTTAATGGAAATTATAATGACACCCAAAAAAAAAAAAATTAAAAAAAAAAAACATTATTTTATTTGTCCTGGAAAAAAGAAATTAAATCAACATATATATAATAAATTAATCCTCAAGCATTGAGACGATTGCAGTTCAATCTGACTTCACCCTGGTTTCTCCCCGTCAACACATTCACATTCCCCAGCTTCACCATCGACACAAGAAACTGGTCCTTAAAGAACCCCGCCTGCGAACCCATCAAACCAACCACCCCCGCCGTTCTCACGTCGGAGTAAAGCAGCTGATCCGTCGACAACAACCCCATCTTCTTCCCAAGGTTCGCGTAATACGCCGCGTCGAAGCTCCTCGGACTCGTCGCATCAAAGTTCACGTAATTCGAATCCAAACCGCACTGCTTCTTCAGCGAGCTCACGTAAGCGGCGTTCATCGACGGGTCCGCCTTCCCGGTGCCTCTGAAGTTGTACAGCCTCTCCTTCACGGCGGCGCACGTGCTCCTGCCGACGGTGTGGCACCCGGAGAGCACGACCAGGTCGACGAACGTGAGTCCCATTTTGTCGAAGAAGTTGAGCAGGGATGTGACGTTCTCGTACCCCTGCGGCACGCTGTTGGCCTCTTTGGCGACGGAGATTTTGCCGTCTTTCCGTCCGAATGGGACCTCCCAGAATGGGCCTCCGGCGAGGACGGTGGCGTCCCGAGCGGCCGCCGTGAGGATGTCGGCGCATGAGACTGTTTTGGGACATTTCTTCTCGACCTCCGCTTTGATGTCGTCGATCAAACTGAAGCCCCTTAGGGTTTTGCTTGCTTCGGCTGTTCGCTCGCTGTTGGGACGATTCAGCAAGATCGACGCGTCGCAACCCTGGAAAAAATTAAGACAATTTAGGGAATTAATCATTGATGAAAGCGAACAGTGCGATGCTATACGTGGTTATTTACATTATAGTAGAACCTCGATAAATTAATTATCTCGATTAAATAATAGTTTCTCTTAGTCCCGACTCGGTGAAAATGTGTTAAATTATTAACTCGATAATTTAATAATTTGCTAAGGTAATAGAATTTCTCCTGACCTCACTGTATTAATTTATAGATGTTTAAGTGTACATTTTTATAGTTAATCGTTCAAACGTGCATGAATTTTAGGAAAAATGCAATTTATGTATTAAAATACTTTTTTCTTTTCCTATTATTTCATTTAATATTCTCTCAACATTAATTAGTTCGGTGGGAGGGTAAAATTGAGAAAAATGTAATAATTGCAATATTGAAACTCTAAAGTGATACAAATAATACGAAACAACCTTTTTTTTTCGCAAAGCGACCGCAATTTAAAATGGGAGGACACCGGACTAAAAAAAATGAATTTTCTTGGAAACGAGAAAGAGTTGTAATTGAGTTATTCATAAATAATATAAAATGACAATTAATTTGAAAAAATGGAGTAATAAAATTTGAATTTTCTTCGGAAAAATCAACAAAAAGTTAGAAGGTATATACCCTAACGGCGCAGTCATGGAAATGAAGACGGATGATGGCAGGGGCTAAAGTGTAATCTCTCTTAACCCAAGCATTCACTTTTTGATGGATTATGGTTTCAAAACTCGGGCATGATTTCAGATAATAAGTTGTCGACAGGTAAGCGGATGCTGGCAGCCGCTGAGCCGCGGTGGCACTACTATGAATATCGATGAAAATGGCGGCACCGATGATCAGAAGAAACCACCTCATTTTTTTTTTTTTCCGATTTATTAACGATTTGGTTATGATGAATTGGTCCAATAATTTATATGCAATATATATTGGTCGATCGGGAAGAAAAGAAAACGTGAGCAGCACTAGGTAGATAACATGCCCACCATGTTATATATAATTTCAAATTCAAAGTCAGTTTTTCACAAGTCAAAAAACAATAATTATGTATTATTTCTTCCTTAATTAGTTTAAAATTTGGTCATTTTAATTAATCTGAGGTAACATATATCTGAGAATGGTGGCATATTCGTATCCATCCGGGATTTCTGATAATAACTAATTAAGTGATAATTAACTAAATAATAAATAATGAAAATGCTGGCCAAATTGGTTGACAAATAAGGTTGACATTATCTTGTCTTGTCTTCATAGTTTAAGTCTAAGAGATGATGATAATAATAATAATAATAATAATAATAATAAGTAATTTTCTTAGTCTGGATAATCTGATCCAACTGTTATTACATAGTTTATCGTATTATTGTTGGAACAATTCATTTTTTTTTTATATTGATTCTTTCTGAATCGATAATTAAGTCGTTGTATCTTAGAGGACGATTAGATTATTGTAAACATTTTTATTTAAATTCATCTGCATATCATTCTTATAAAATCAAAATTTTAAATGGTGAAAAATGAAAATAAAAAATTCATCACTAATATAATCTGTTGTTTCACACACACACACACACATATATATATATACATATATATTTGACAAACAATTAATCCATGCTGGGACATAACTATGAACAATTCAAAACACAAAGCAAAACGTGGTTGTGTGTGTTCTACACAAAACTAAATATGTATTTATATAAATAAATTAAGCTTTGCAGCAAACAAATCGGCCAAATCCTTTAGTAGCAGCAGAAGAGCCCGAATCATCTCCATCGCCGGAGATTTGAACAGCATGTTTTCCGGCATGCTTTTTCATCTTCTTGTTAAGGTCTTTCGCCACCGTGACAACCAGCACTCCGTCGCTCATGGAGGCTTTTATCTCATCAACCAAACAATTCTCCGGCAATCTAAATTCCCGGCAAAAACTTCCCGCACGAACGCGCTCTTTACAATGCCATTTATAGTTACTCTTATTTTCGCCGCCGTAATCTTCTTCTTCTTCTTCTTTACTGACGGCGCTTACGTGTAACACTCTGTCATCCCGAACATGGATCTTAACGTCATCTTTAACCCGACCCGGAAGATCGAATTTGAAGATGTGGGCTTCTCGGGTCTCCTTCCAGTCCATCGTTGGGCCGGGTTTCGATGACCCGAACCCGAAAGTTTCTGTAAATGAAGGATCCGAAAGTAGTGATCGCAGTAGAAAGGCTGCCATAACGGTACTTTTTTTTTTTTTTTTTTTTTTAATTTTCGTTGATGAATGTAATGATTTGGTTAAGTATTTATATGGGGATTAGTGAAGTAATTAAGCGGGTTCTTGAGAATTCTAGAGTATTTATTTCTACCAAGTTAGACTATTTCAAATTTATGCGGGAGAAATTGAGAATGTTTTAGACCTTTCTCGAGATCTGCCATCGGGCTTTTGCTCGAGTGTTGCGGGCTTGGGCTTTATTCAATGAGGAAACGGGCCGTGGGAAGTCGAAAACTTACCGAGTATGTACGGGCTTGGGCTTTATTGTGGGCTTTCAGACTTATATTAGTCATAATTGAAATTAGTAAACACTAATTACATTTGTTAAGAAACTAATAGGATACACCAAAACAAATGGAACTTAAGAATGGATGCTACGTTTGGTCGTATACACGGAGTGACTTTAACTCTTGATATGCACATAATCATATATATATGTCTATGAGTAGATTTATGAGATATTACTTCCTGTAAAATACATCGGGTGATTTTATACTATAGATCTATACAAATATGAAATAATTACTCACTAAGATTATATACACATAGGTGTGTGTTATTATGTGTAGATAAATAGTGTAGAAATATCCGTTGAATTTCGCAATCCACATATGTATGTGTGCTCGGCGGACGGTTCTTTAACCACATCAATGGTTAAAACTTACTCGGTGCATATGACCAGGTGTAACATCTAAACTCCGAGCATGCATGAAAGTAATAAAATAGGTATTTTTCTCTCTTCTTCAAGTGTAAGCAAATTACATGGAATTTGACGGATTCAACGTTTGATGGATCCGACTTGCTCACTCCTAGATTTAGACAGTTGTTGGCCTGGCCACACGAGTTTGATGATTTAATTCCTCTTTCATCTTAAGTCATCATCGCATTTAATTTTTTTCAATAATATATCTTGTTAGCTCAACTGTTTCAGATTTTATTTTAAATGTCACCACCACAGATCCAAAATTTCTGCACCAATTTCAGTGAAGGAGAAGCTCACTGGTTATTTTAAATTTGCAACGGATGTGGATTTTATTTAGATCAAAACGATTTCAAGTCAATGATTTTAAATGTTTAATAATTAATTATTAATAATAAAATCAATTTGTTTTTACAATGAGTTTTCGTGACCAATATGCAATGCATCAAGAAAGGGTATCAATACCATCAAACGATGATTTGTCTTTGTTGTCTTCAATAATAGATGCAAGAATGTATGTTGTCCTAACTATATTACTCTAATTCTATTGGTTGTCTCTATTACCAATGATATCTGTCGGCATTAAACTCTATCGAACATATTATAAATCTTTTATTAAGTGTCGATTGAGGCTGTTTGGCAAAGTTTATAAGCCATATTAACAAGTATTTGGTACTTTTTTCTAAAGATTTTATTTTTTTGCAAGAACAAGCTAGTAAGGAGCTTTTAAGTTGTTTCTATGAAAGTACCATCTCTCCACTTTTTTTTTTTTTTTTTTCATTTGCTCAAACAATTACAATATAATATTGCTATACTCATATGCTTATTTTAACAGCCGATAAATTCTTATTTTTGATAAGTTGTTTGAAGAGTTGATAAGTTGTTACGTCTTAGTTTTACTCATGCTTATTCACTCTCCAGCTTAATTTTTTGATTTTTTACATTTTTTCAAAAAAATTAGAAAACATTTTAAAAGAACTTATAAGCCTTTCAAACTACGCTCTTTATAACAACTTATAATGTTAGCCAAACATTCTCTAACTTATAAACTCCATCTGAAAACACATCAAAATTTGATCCTTAAAAATTAAAATAATATTAAGAATTTATGGGTTCCTAAAACATCTTATCAGATTATGAACTTACCATTAATTAATAATGTATGTGGAAAGAAAAAAAATTCAAATAGATATTACTCTTAACAATAATACAATTTTATTAGAATTATTATTCAATGTGCATCTATGAGTAACAATAATATACACTCTTGAGTCTTGAACAGAAACCAAGGTATGGGGTTATACAAACGACAAGAAAAGCCTCAAAACAATAATAGTTTTTCTCCTTTGTTTTTTCTATGTATAATACAAATTAAATAAAGAGAGACATTTGAATTTGAATTTAAATTTAAATTTAAAAATACACTCCCCATGTAACAAATCAAAACCCCAAAATCAATCTACTTGCAAGACGACGAACCAAAACCCAATCTCTTATTCACAAGATCAAACTCCCAGAAATAATTCTGCTGCATAATATTCCCAACCACGGAAACACCCGGCCACGCGCCGCCGACGAACCCCAAACACTTCACCCCCGGAGCAGCATCTATCACGTAACTCTTCACCGGCGGCTCGAATCTCGCACCGTCGCCAAAATGGAACACCAATCTCGGCACGACACTCTCCACAAACCCCGTCGAATTGAAACAGTACTCCAACGGGCCCACGTCCAATCCCAATTTCTCGAAACCCGACAACGACGCCGTCAACGCAGCCATAACGGGCCGGTAAGCGGGCCCCACCAGCGAAGTGAGGCTCGTGCCGGAATCGAGAATCACTCCCCCGGAACCCTTCACATCCCAAACCTCCGCCGGAATATCCAGCATTGATCCTCCGATGGAGATGCCGTTCATACTAACGGCGTAGAATGGATTGATTACGTCTAATATTAACGCCGTGTAGTGCATTGTATCTGTTTGTTGTTTTGCCGAACCGAATGTGAGATAACTGGAGATGTTCTTGGGGCTCAAGTGGTCAACGAGGCAGTAAGAGAATATTCCCCGGAATAAATTAGATGCTTTGACCGCAAGTGAGTAGTTGCTGTACCCTAATCCGATTACACCGTCGGCCGACTGAAAAGTGGGCCCACTTGAGGAAATGCTGCAGCCAATCAGAACGTTGTGGAGTCTGGTTTTTCTCCCGTTGGTTAGGCTGAGTGTTACGGTTTCGTTCCCGAATAAGCCTTGTGCGGCTGAACCATCTGAGTACCTATAATTAAATTAGTAGTTAATTAATCATGTTTAATTTAACTACCAGGCTAGGGCTTTTTAGCTTTGTGTGTGTGTACTGTGTAGTGAAGTCATGTGAGCAAATCTACTTCGCAATAACTGCCGTAACTGATGCGCTGGATTTAGGTGAGAGATGTAATGACTTCACCAGTAACAATTTGCAGGCTTTTTGCTCATACAAAATTGTACTACTCATCATTCAGCATTTATGTTTTTCTATTTATATATTTTATTTATTTCTTTTATTTATTGTGAATAAAGACAAGTTCATTAAAGTCCTCAAAGGTAGATTATCTGATTATGGTTTGATTTACAATTAACGATAAATTACGAAAGCCCCCCTCAATTTAGGCTAAATAATGAAAAATACTCTTTCTTATCCGTAATAACCAAAATCCCCCTCTGATTTACCGTTGATCAAAATTTTTAACATCAAATGTGTACAATCTATATACCGGGTGAAAGAAAATATCTGAAATTGAAATTGTGTAAAGTCTATTCCTTGGAATAAAAAAAAATCCGCGGTGTTACACCGCAACAAAACTCAGGGGTTTTTGGTAATTACAAATAGGTGGGGTGTTTTTCGTTATTTAGCCTAAGTTCTGGGGTTTCCGTAATTTACTCTACAATTAATGGTTTCTACTTTCTACTAATTCCATAATACGAAGAGCATGTGCAGATGATTAATCTTTCAGTGCAAATTGGAAATAACAAAATGCAATAAGGCAATATATATATATAATTATATATATATGTGTGTGTGTGTGTGTGTGACTGTGTGTACCTGTAATCATAGGCACATGGGGAGATGGGAGAAGGGCATCGAGTGAGGGAGAAGAGATTGGCGAGATCATTAGTGCACGTGGTTGAAGAACAGGGCACGGTTCTGAAGGAAGACGAACGATCGGCCCAAAAAAGGCGGCGTTTGTTCGAGTTTCTCCGGCATCCACCGCCGCCGCCGCCGCGGCACCTGTATTTGCAGTTCATCCAAGTTAAATCGCTGCCAGTATCGGCAATCAGCACCACTTTCTGGGCCGGGGATCCGACCCGGAACTGCACAAAGTACTGCCCCGTCCCGAAATCCGCACCCGAACTGATCGGTAGTTGACCCGACACGTTGGAAAATTGCTCCTTGTTATTGCTTCCTCCGCCGCCGCCGCCATTGGTGGACGCCGGAATAAAGGCGTCGTCGGTTTCACTGACTCGTCGCCGGACCGGACCGGCACCGCCCTGTATCAGCATTACTTTGAGCGATATCCCGCGGAGGCGAACGGCGTCGCTGTGGACGAGTTGGCGGAGGCGCTCCAGCGGCTGCGCCGCCACATTGCGGCGCTCCCCTTGCAGGTGGTGCCGGTGAATCAACTCGAGTTTGACAGCGCCGTCTGAAACTCGGATGCCCTCTGTGAATTTCAGAGAGTAATTAACAATGGTGAACAAACAAATGATGAATAGGGAAAACCCTCTTTGTCTGGTGTGCGTCACCATTTTTTTACATGTCAGTACTGAAATATAAGCGTAACTAATTTGAAGATTTATATAACAAGAAAAATAAAATGGCTAATGTATTTTTTTTTTTTTTTTTGAAGAAATGAAGGCCACGAGTTTGTGTGCGGAAAAAGGGGTCCATTTCCCAGTGCAAACGACACATATATATAAATATACGTATAATATTTACACGGGATTTTCTTTTTTCTTTTTTTCTTTTTTTCTTTTTTTTGGGGGTGGTTGGGTCATAGTAGTTTTAAATTGGTGCAAAAGTCCAAATTACGGTGGAATTGTTAAATGTTGAGACTGTACAGAATTATATTTATATATATCAATTATCAAAAAATATAATTTATTATTAATCTGCCCAAGGAAGATATGTGAAACCTTTCACGGATCCTATTGAAAAAATTGATCTAATTTTGTGGGTCATTACTAACAAACCCTAACAAATTTAGTAACTAAAAATTGCTAAAAAATTGCTGCAAAATTGGGATAGTCTGTTTTACTAAATAAAATCATAAATCAAGAACTAATACTCATCTAATTAAATGAACAGTACATTTGTCCTGCAATAAAAAAATTTAACAATAAATTTGTCCAGCAATAGATGATTTAGTGGTTGGAGTAAGTCATGAATTTGTGTCAATTGACCCAAGTTCCAATCGTTTTGTCACTGGTCCCTATGTCGAACTTGTCACTCGTTACGGAAAAAAAAAATTAAGGATAAATCTAATTCTTAATTGTATTTATAATTATATAAATCCAAATTCATACTATCATTGTTTGTTTGTTTGTTTGTTTTTCCTTACTCTTGTATGTGATTCATGCATATTTATCAGTTTTATTTATTGCATTATTTATTGTGGGCTGTCCTCGAGCATGGTTGATTCTTCACACAGTACATTCTTGTCTCTGCTCTCTCTCTCTCTCTCTCTGCTTTCTCTCTCTCCACATGATTGTCGGGATATGGAGTTCGATCGTTTTGGTTTTAATAATCATTTATTCCAACGTAACGTAGATGTTGACGCCGTATATTTGTGCAACTGCAACTAATTAATTATTTGCAGACGTTATAAATATATATTAACAAAATATATCCAGAATTTCATGAACATATAAACGTTGACATTTCTCTGATTACAAACAGAGATTAATTACACTAAACCTACATTAGGATATATATATATATATATATATATATTGGATTTGCAGTTGATTAATTAATATACTATTCCACGGTGGGATTTTTCAATTCTAATAAACTTGAGCTTGACTTTGTGAAAAGGGTTTATTAGGGAAAACCCCCTTGTTCATATTTTCTAATGAGGTAGATCCAATTTTTTTTCCCCTTTTTGAGATACACCCAATTTTGCCAACTTGGCAAAATATATTATATAATTTTCCTTTAATACCCCTGTTTTATTATTAAACGACATTTATTTCCTTTAATACGTGATTTGAGATTTGCTGATACGTTGCCTAAAATCACGGAATAAATTTACGTGAGATCATTGGCCGTTATATCAAATCGTGTATAATATTTTTTGAAGATTCTCTTCATCGTTCCAGCGGGTTTTATCGTCATTGAAGATTTCTGCACCGTCGTGGAAATAGGATCGATTTTTGAGCGTTTGTTGTTGGACGTTGTTAAGCGGGTATGAGTGCGTTATTCGTTTTTATTTTTTGCTCAATGTCCATGATTGTCTTGTACGGTGGTTAGAAATTTTTAAGAGTTGTGTTGATACTTGATTCTATTAAGTAGAACGTTTTTTAACAAAATTATTCCGTCATATATATATCGTTTTTTTTTTTTTGCCGATGATGTTTGTTTGGAAGAGGATTGACAGAGTTAGAAGAGGATGGTTCACGCAGATCGGACCAGAGTTGTTTTATATGAGCTTCGTAGTTGGTTTATGCAATAATCGGAATAATTGTCCGTTTTGGTCGAGTTCATGTTTTTATCCCGGTCGATAGTTGGTTTATTTGTTTATAACAGCCGATTTAAGTGTGCTGGGTAGTACATTAAAATATAGTTCGTAGTCTTTTTTAATTTAGCGTATGAATTTTGCATTTTAAGTTTATTTTTGATGATATTAATGTATTATCATTCAAATGTATTTGCAGTCTATTTAATTATTTTTTAGTATTCTGCATTTTTAATTTTGTTTCATGATTTTAGGTTTTTTCGATGGCGAATTTCGTACGGATTTTGTTGAGGTTTGGTGGGTTGGTTGCTATAAAGAGGTGTTTACGATGTAATGGCTCGGTAACTTCGGTTAAGTGTTAAACCGTTGTAATACAGTAGTATACTATTATGAATACCGTATGATACTACCATTATCATTTTATTATACTATTATGAGATTATTAATGTACTAGAGTTTCTTAACTCGACATATTGGTTTGATTGTGTTATGATGTGTTTTATGTATTTTATCAAAACCCTAGATTGAAATTATGAGATTATTAATGTACTATTTTATTGGTTATGTGGAATACTTTACGTTGGTGTTGTTCTCAATGTTCTTGTCATTTCAGTGATATATTGTTTGTAACACAATTTCATATCAATACTATAACCGTAATATACTATCACAGCAGATTAATGTACTATGTTGAAATTATTAATATACTATGTGGTTGAATAATACGGGATCCATACTCTATTAACGAGATCCATAGTCGAATTAGATCAATAAGATAGTCTATTACATGATATAAGGAAAATTACCTTAATTGATTAGTATAACAAACATATTATTCAGTTTCCATATATATTATTATTTTTTCATATATATTATTATTTACCCTAATCGTTTTCATATAATAAGGAAAATTACCCTAATTGATTAGTATTTCAAACAAACATATTATTCAGTTTCCATATATATTATTATTTTTCCAATAGTCAATTAATTAAACCCATAGTCGAATTAGATACATGGAATAGTCTATTAAAAGATATGAGATAGTCTATTAATTTTAAAAAGGTAAAGTAACGGAATTTGTGGGATTTGATTGAGGGTAATTATGTAATTACGAAAAGCTTGGGCTTTTATCAAAATGGCAAATTTAAATTTGGGTCTACCCCTATTATTTGAATGTTTAAGGGGGTTATATCTAATAGACCCTTGTGAAAAACTGACAAGCTGGCTGCATGAATCCATCATTAATTAGCCTAAATAATTTTAGGTTTTCTTAATTATTCTGCACGAAATCTCCATTGCCCGTACGACACGACAAACGCGTCGAAATTCCAGTTGCATAGTGTTTTTTTTTTAACATATTTCTCGTTCATATTTTTGTTTAATCATATATTTGAATAGCTTTTATTGATGAAAGTGTGAAACTGTATCAGTTGAGTTACAATGATTGCACATATATAAAATATGTATCTACAATCGGACATCGTAGGCGTTTGTGGTGTTCAATGCACTACAAACTAGGGTTTTCGTCTTTTCTAACATTATTTGATTTTAGGACAATCAGTAGCACATGAGGTCCTACAGTATTTCATAAGTGTGAATCTATTGACAAAATCATGAGATAATTTTATGTTAGACTACAGCATGTATGTAATAAATTTATGACCATCTTACGCCCTAATTAATATTTAAAAAATAAATTTAATAATTAAAAGATATCTAATTGAATAAAATCTTATATTAGGGGACACTAAAAATTTGTTGATGTGACACAAAACTTGATCACTAAGACATAATTGCATAATTGAATAAACATATACATAATTTAGCAGACACTAAATCCAAAATATTTCAAAGAAAACGACGCCGTACGTAATAATATATATTATATAATATCACACGTAATGAAAGGGGGTGGATATTTAATTTTCTTGAAAAAATATTAGATATTTGTAATTCTGAATTTCCAAATATGATGATAGGGGTACAAGTGGGAATAAAAATAAAGAAAGGAAGTAAAAGGTCAAAGGGCAATTGGTTAAAAATAAGCTGGCAAAGAATAACAGGGTGCGATATCACATGGCAAATCTCACTCCTAGCAGCTGTCTTCAATTTTCATATTTATAACATTTTTTTTTTTAATTTACACACCAAATTCATTTATCTAATTTTTATTTGGATTGAACATGATTAGATAGTCAAATTCATACTTTGCTTAAGTGTGCATCGAATATTAATAAATAAATATCTATTTTTTCTTAATGTAAATAAAACCATAACGATATTTGCTACCACATGTTAATCCATACACGATTATTTGGGCTTTGACTTTGTTAAAACCATAATGAATTATGTAAAAATAAATTATTTCTATAAGGTTCTAAGCTATTAAAAATAGTTTATAGAGTGTTTCAAAAATTATTTAAAAAAATAAAAAATCTTTAAGAGTTCAAAAAATTTAAGAGTTCAAAAAATGAACTGCTGTAAAGCTTTTAAAATCATCTTTTATTTTTTATTTTACCTTTAACTAACTTTTTTATTTAAGATTTTATTATAAGTAAAAATAATTATTTATAAATATATTATCCAAACACTTTAAAAGCGAGACGTAACAACTTATGAAGTCTTAAAACAAGTTAGCAGATGTAAGATCTCTTTAAAATATATTACAAATTTACAACTTTTATATATATATATATATATATATATATATATATATATATATATATATATATATATATATATATATATATATATTGTGAAGTAGGTGGGATAATTGCTAGGTAGATTGAGCCCTAATTTCGCGCCATGTTACAAGTGAGATTCCATATCAAGAGTGCCTCTCAATTACAGGATGCTGACTCTTCAATCTTTATCAAACAGTGCTACTTAAACTAATAATTGCAAATTTAATATAATATAATAAACATAAAATAGATTTATTTGAACTAGCTAGCTGTTTGAATGCAAATTAGCAAATCATTTTCTATTTAAAAGTGGACGGATATCAGTCCAGCTAAAACTGGAATCCAAACCCATGACAACACTTCATAAAATTGGGCCAACATTTGGACTGCCCAACTTAAATTGGGTCAACGTTTTGCATTAAAAATATGATACTACATTTAATTTCCCTATAAAAAAATTCCCAATTCAAATGGTCATTGAGATGCTACACGCTCGACGAAATAAAAAAGACTCATTTTTAGCCGTACCCGAATATACTATTCATATTTTAATTTGTAGTATTTTTATAGATAAAATCATCATTTTTATTTTAATCACTACCTACATATCTAATGTAGGTACATTCAGAATTCCGTCGAACATATTACTAACTTCTACTATTTAATCAATTGAAACCAATATTTATTTATATAATAAGTATAAAAAAAAATAAGAAACAAAACAACTTCCAGAAGAGAAAAATAGGACTTCGAAAGTGTGAAACTCCATAATTTGTGGGGAGGAAAACAAATTAGAGTAAAAGAAGTGGGGCAGAAAAGAGAATAAGGAAAGATAATAATGGCCACAACTTGAGAGATTCAAACGGCGATTCTTGCGTCTTCCCCAACCATTCCTCTTTCACTCCAACCCTCCTCCCCTCAAAATGTTTCATTCTTCATTCAAAACCCGTCCTCGTATGGATTTTCAATTTCTATTTTTATTTATTCTCTTTCATCCTCCCCAAATTTCTACCCAAATATCGTATGGCAACCACCACTGTAGCTACAGGAACAACAATGGCGGAAGCCAGAATCGATTACATGTAGGCCCCATGAATTTTATCAAACACCTTTAATCTTTGCCTGATTCTTATTCCTGAAGGTGCTGTATGGTTTTGCATGCTGGAGGATAATGTAGTGGCTGCGAACGTTTTTTGATTTCAGATTTAAATTTTGTTTTTGCAGGTGGATTAATCAACACGATTGATGACCTAATTTTGCATTTTTGTTTTCAGAAATTTCCGTTGAGAATTTCGACTCTGGTGCTACCGGACGATGTCGTTTAATCGCAAGGGTGGAAACTCGGACGAGGTCAGTATTTTCAGCTCTTGATTGATTCCATTACAAATGCAACAACAACAGTAATAATTGCAATTTTAATTTGAAGAAGCGGAAAATATGTAAATCGCTCATAAGAATGGCGTGATTGCTGTTCAATTTAGGGCTCCAGAGCAGTTGAAAAATTGGGGAAATTTAAATTTGAACATTATTATATTATATTGCCTTTGTTTTTCTGGTTTTATTTTCTGGTTTGAGGTTGTGAATTGTAGTTTTCAAGCATGGTGGCACTGATGAAGCTAAAATTTCGTTTTCGTATTCATATCGATTTCGTGTTAAGCAATGAATTACATTTTTATTTTTATTTATTCTTATTCAAATGCAGATGAATCACACGTCACCATTAGAAGAAAACACAACCATGGACCACGAAGCCAAAAACGAGCACCCTTCTTCTTCATCTCACAAAAGAATGGAAGCAATGTCACACATCGACCCGAATCCGTGTGGGCCCTACAGCCCAAGAAGATACAACGACAGCACATCACCCTCAATGTCACCCACCACAAAAACAGGCACCGCCGCCAAGAGCAACCTATCAATCATCAACCAAGGGTGGGCCAGCGGCGGCAGCAGCCGGAGCGACAGCCTGGACAGCACAACCGCCCCCCTCCGGCCACACACTGGCGGCGATGTCAGGTGGGACGCCATTAGTGCCGCCGCTTCGAAAGATTCTCCACTAGGGCTGACTAATTTCCGGCTCTTGAAGAGGCTCGGTTACGGAGATATCGGAAGTGTATACCTTGTTGAGCTACGTGCGACTAATACCTTCTTTGCTATGAAAGTTATGGATAAGGGTTCGCTTGCGAGTAGGAATAAATTGCTTCGAGCACAAACAGAGAGAGAAATTTTGGGTCTGCTTGACCATCCTTTTTTGCCTACATTGTATACTTACTTTGAGACTGAGAAATTTTATTGCTTGGTTATGGAGTTTTGTAGTGGCGGTAACCTTCATACGCTTCGGCAGAAGCAGCCCAACAAGCATTTTACGGAGGAAGCTGCCAGGTTAATATAAACATCTTGTTTGTATGCCCGTTTTTGGTTTTCTTCAATTGCACGTTTACTTGTTCGTAGATTCTTTTTAGGTTAGTGTTCGGAATTAGGATTTAGCTTAATCGAGTGCTTGGAATTTTTCCAAAAGAGCTAATTCCAACCCGATCAGTCCGATTTCCACCCCTAGACTGTATGCATGATTGTTTGTGAAATAGATATTGTATGAGAAGTTGAAAGAGCTGCAGTATAACTCCTATAGTTTCGATATTCACTGAGTTGGCAAGGAAAACACGGACTCTGAAATCATATGCATCTATATTAAATATCAATTATCATCATATACATTTTTATTCCATTATTAATTCAAATTTATTTTTTGGGCAGATTTTATGCATCAGAGGTGTTATTGGCTCTCGAGTACCTGCACATGCTAGGAATCGTTTACCGAGATCTAAAGCCGGAAAACGTTCTAGTTCGAGAAGAAGGCCACATCATGCTTTCCGATTTCGACCTCTCGCTCCGCTGCTCCGTCTATCCAACCCTAGTAAAATCCTCCTCCGTCCACGGCCCAAATTCCGATAATACCCCTGGCGGAATCCTAAACGACGAAAACGCCGTGCGTGGCTGCATGCAGCCCTCCTCCTTCCTCCCGCGCCTCCTCCCCAAAAAGAACCGCAAATCCAAATCCGATTTCGGCCTCGGAAATAACATAAACGCCCTCCCGGAGCTCATGGCGGAGCCCACGAACGTCCGGTCGATGTCGTTCGTCGGGACCCATGAGTACCTGGCGCCAGAGATCATCCGCGGCGAGGGACACGGCAGCGCGGTGGACTGGTGGACGTTCGGAATATTCCTCTACGAGCTTCTCCACGGGACCACCCCTTTTAAGGGGTCCGGAAATAGGGCGACACTTTTCAATGTGGTGGGCCAGCCCCTGAAGTTTCCGGATAATCCGCAGGTGAGTTTTACGGCGAAGGATTTGATAAAGGGATTGTTGGTTAAGGAGCCGCATAAGAGGATTGCGTATAAGAGAGGCGCGACTGAAATCAAGCAGCATCCGTTTTTCGAAGGTGTGAATTGGGCTTTGGTGAGATGTGCCGCTGCGCCGTATATACCTGAACCGGTGGATTTTACGCAATTCGCGTGTAAAGACAACGGTGGTCATGCAGATAAGAAGATGGCGGATATTGGATGCGATAGGAACAAGAGCAGCTCTAGTGACTCTTCTTATGTTGAATTCGAGTATTTCTAGGGTTTTTCGAATTCTTGATGTTTTTATTTTATTTCTTTAAAAAAAAATCATGTGTACATTTTATTTTTTGAGTTTAGTTTGTCAGTTTAATGAGTTTTATTAAGCAATGTAAATACTGTAAAATGATGCAAAATATACTGCAGATTTGAGGGACAATAAAAACTTGAGTTATGTAATCTTATGATATAGTATGTAAGAATGACTTAAAGGTTATTTGGCTGTAATGTTTCTACAATAGAATATACACTATGTTTTTAGTAAACAAATGTTGACGAAACTAGGAAACAATTAACATATTGAATAATAATAAAAAAAGAAAATAGGAACATAATTAAAGTAGCATAAAAATGATTAGTTTTGTTGATTTTCATAATCCATTGTTGGACTTGATTAAAATAATAATAGTAAAGATGGTGATAGATTAAGGAAAAATAATTCAAAAAAAAAAACACAAGAGGGGAATTAAAAAAAAAAGTTTCGCTAGAAAGAGGGGTCGAACCTCTGACCTTGTGGTTAACAGCCACACGCTCTAACCAACTGAACTATTCCAGCTTGTTGTTATCATTGTAATTTAAATCTATCTACAATGTATAACTCTTGGTATTTTATTGGAATTTGTTTGAATCATATTTATTGATTTTTGCACAACCCAAAAATGCTATAAAATGATCCAAGTCACAACACCTTAACCAAACAAAAGTGTAACATTTTTCCATCTACTCTCAATAAGGACAAGTCACAACTTATATAAGTTGGCTAAAAATAATTGAGAGAATTTTATTTTCGATAGTCTTATTATATAAATCAATTTCAATTAATTGGGTATACCCCCAACTTCTAGGAGATTTTATTTTAGAAGCTAAAACTATTTTAAAAAGAAAATCAAAAGGATTGTGATAGTTGATCTAAGTATTTCATAGATGATTGTTGAATTTTTTGGGACCAATGGATTAAGTTATATCCAGGACATTTAATCATCTTCAATCTAAGTCGGTTCAACAACAAAGCCTAGCGACACTTTTAGACCACTTATTCGATCAAGGATTTTCGACTTTTGGTGTTTTGTGTCTCGATAATTTTGGTGCCACTGGTAATGGGTTTTGGATGAGAATTGTGACACAGAAAATTGAGCCGTAAACAAATAGCTCAACACGAATTATTGTTCATAACTTTTCTTTTGAATTTCTTTCTTTCATATTTTTTATTTTTAATTATAGTTGATTTGTAAGTGTCAAACCAACAATAACAAATACAAATAATGTATATTGAGAATAATGACGTCACGAGAAAAGAAAAAGAGTACTTCGCAATAAACACAACACGTATATGGGTTTGAGCGCCACGTGCATCACTGTCGATAAGCTTGGCCGATTCAAACCCCTCTCTCTCCTCTCTCTCTCTCTCTCTCTATATATAGCTACTTGTACATATAATCTACAGTAGAAAACCTTGATTCACGCATCGTGAGGGATAAACTGAAAGGAGCATCTAATCTGAAAATCGAATTTGTATCAACAGTAGTTTGAAGAACCGATGTCGGGGGCGCAAGGAGCACAGCCGCCGGAGTCGTTCACGGCGACGACGTACGAGTCCGTCGAAGGCGGCGAGAACAAAACCCGATTCGACATCCACTCCAAGGAGGACGAAGGAGGTATTGAAATCGACAAACTCCAGGATAAAGTCGAGGACGCCGCCGGCACCGGCGGCCCCGTTTTCGGCGCCGGCAAGGACGACGACAAAGACGATCTGGGCGTTACCGGCACCGCTTAATTAATTAGCTAGTTTTACTCGTATATATATATATATACATATTTCAGTTTCTTTTTATGTAGCTTTTGATTTCCTTTCTTGTAATGTGTGTTCGTTCATGTCTGTATATATTGTTTATCAGTATATAATATAAATGATTTAATTAAATAAAACGAATTATCAGGACAGATTTAATTAAATTAAATTAAATTAAAAGGAATAAAGCTTCAGAAGCTACTTTGAAAAATCATGTTCAAAACCGTAGCAAGAAAATGGAAACCTCTGCGCCGGAGGAATTAAATCAGCAACCGGCGAAAACTGGTGACCTCTGCTTGTATTATGATCCATCGTTTGGTGGGTTGCCAGCAGCTTGTCCAGAAACGACCAGTCGCCGGAAAATTTCTCCTGTTGGATGTACCCGCCGGCGGCGGTGGTGGATGGCCCGGCGCTGTCTGACGTCAACAACGGAAATGGTGAGAAGAATGAAGGGGGGGCGACGACAGTTGATTCGGGACTGAGTAATTGTGGAAGATGCATCGAACTGTACAGGTTGTCGGGCTGGGCTTGATTCGGGCCGAATGTACAACCGTCCACTGCAGGGAAAGGTACAAGCAGGTCCTGCTCAGCTTCTTGATCAACGTTGGATGAATTGAATCCTCTGCTCTGGTTTTTCTTCTTGAACACTCTGCAAATCACCCACCCATCTTCCTATTTCCAAATAAAACATAATTAATAAATAAAAAATGTTGTTAATGTAAGAAATCCATATATTGCATAGGATGGAAGCAGTTCTGGAAAAATAAGGGGTTTTTTGTATAATAATAATAATAATAGTAAATTACGAAAACCTCCCTGAATTTAGAAAAAAATAACAAAAAAATACCCCACATATTTGTAATAATAAAAAACCCCATCTGTTGATCTGAGTCTTCTAAGAGAAAATGTTTACAACCTATTATACCGTGTACACATGTTATACTTTATGTTAAATAGGGAAAAAAAATCTTTAAAAAAAATAGGGAGAAATAAAAAGAAAATATCTGAAATTGTGTAACGTCTATTCCCTGAAATAAAAGAAAAATTTGTGAAAGTCACACTGTAAGAAATTGGTGTAAGAAGCAAACAAACCTTAGAGAATTTTCCATAATAATGAATAGGTGGAGGTGGTTTTTGTAACTTAATCTAAGTTTAGCGGAGATTTTGTAATTTACCCTAATAATTATAAATTAAGATTTTCCTTTGGGTATACGTACATGGATATCAAGAGGAGAAGTAGTAGTGGAGTAGTGATCGTGGTCCAAACGGTACTCATGCATGATCCAATCGGTCTTGTGGCCGTGTGGGGCCCGGCCCGTATAAAAAACTAGGGTTTTCCTCATACCGATTCTTTCCGAGTTATTGCTGAGGTGGATCGCCTTATCCCTCCCCGTGGCTTTCCAGAATCCAGCTGTCGTTGCCCGATTGGTTCGGGTTCCGGTCGGGTATTTTTTGTCCTTGTGGCTGAAAAAATACCAGTCTATCTGCGGACCCGAACCGATTCTGCATTTCTCTGCAATTAACATGTTTTTTTTCAATACTATTATTAATCCAGATAACATAATATAATTAACTTCTCTCACTAGGATTAATATTTTTGAGTTGATTGGATCGAGTGACATTGTAGTTTGCAACTCATTATATTGCCATGAGAGTCAGAAATATAATTAATCATGCAAGTGGATTATTTACCTTTCATATAGTCTAATTATTTATTTTTTCCAATAAAATAATTAATTAATTTAAGCTGGGGAATATTCCATATCCTCATTCAAGCAGGCCTAATTTTTTTAGTACAATGCATATTTGAATACAAATTTTGCCTTCAAAGGGATATTATTATTAATATTATTTTCACATAGATTTTTTTTTTAAATCATACATAAATTAAAGCTCGTATTCCAGATGAAGAAAGAAGATTTATTATAATATATATAAATAAAAATAACAATATTATTGATTGATGGAGGAGTGTTCTAACCTTTGAGATCCCAAGGCTCGAGTTTGTTGAGATCGACTTCTTCGATAACATCGAAGTCGATGGGCTCGTAAGAAACTTTCTTTCTGAGGTAATAATAAAGTAATTCCTCTTCTGTTGGATGGAATCTGAACCCTGGTGGAACTGTTAGCCCCCCATTTCCAGCTGCCATCGATCGTATGTTTATTATATCCCGATTTATTTATTTACTTCCTGCATGCAAAATATATATATAGTTGACACATGATAATGAGATAATTTGATCATTGCTCTTAATTTAACTCTCGAAGATTCAAACCAAAATGATCATCAGTACTTAATTGTTCAATACCTACCATTTTTTGCTTCTTTTAATTTCTTTCCTCTCTTTTTTTTTTTTGCATCTTGTTGTGTGCATGTTAATAGTAACAGGCTCCCCATTAAATTCATGAAGGGGAAAATATATGCATTAAACCTAAGTACTGATGAAACTAATTAATACATGTACGTTCACACAGACAATTAGAAAACCCTAGAAATTAAACTAATTAAGATCAAAAGTTATGGTCAAATAAACGACACTAACGCGTGTAACTTCACACAAACATGGCTAATGACTAAGAATACGAAACCTCTCGTTCTAAAATAACCTAGCTCAGAAAATCTACGAGAACGAGACATAACTCAAAAGAGAGAAAAAGATCAATTTAAAGGGAGAAAATCTTTAATATTATTACGTAAAAGCATGTGTAAATTTCATTTCATTTCTTTCTAAACTTTATGAATTCAAGAAGAAGAAGAGTTTAATTACCTTTGTAATTTTTAGGGTGTGGCTGAGGTGTGTGGGAGAAGAAGACAAGCACAAGAAAGCAATTAGGTGGGAGAATTGCAGGTCAGTTTTTCTGCTCTTGAGCACACAAATCGAGTGTCGTTAAAAAGAGTGGCACCAATTAATTAATTCATTAATTAATTAATTAATTAATCTCTCTTCTAATTAATTAATTTTTTTTAAGTGCAGAAAATAAAAATACACACTGTATATATTGAGAGGACAAGGAAACAGAAGACCTTAAATATGGTAATTACATAACAAATAATTGGATATATATTTTGTAGAAGAAAGAAAATTACAGTAAAACAGAATTGACTCAACATTATTTGGATGGAGAAGGTAGAAATATAGGAAAAATGTCGTTGAATTTGAGACCCCATCCCCAAATTCGCCGCATTTAATTCATTAATATCTGCACAATATATATATATATATATATATATATATTCAGCCAATTATTATTATTATTTCATTCTCAGTCAAAACTACCACTTATTCTTTATTAGCAGCAATTCATTTGTACTTATGTGTAAATTGTCCACATTATTATTTGGGTTTCGGTCAAACCAAAGGAATTCCTTATATATATATATATATGAATTACACAGTGTATATGTGACACACATGCATGCCGCACGTAGGTAGTTACACTTTTTTTTAATTATATTTGAATCGAAAAAAAATATATATACATATATATATATATATATATATATATATATATATATATATATATATATATATATATATATATATATATATATATGTATACTTTCATTATTCATCTCACAAACTAAATTAAACCCATTTCGTCATGTTTCTTTGTTTGATATTTTTATATTTTATTTATTGAAACGTCTTGGTCATCCATTTGGCTTCCATGTCAGCATATTTATTTTCAAAGGATTAGTTTCCTACAGTTAATCACAGCTCCATATTCGTATTAAATTAAAAAAGAGTAAATCGCATGCAGCTCCATATAGTACGGGGGATGCACGTGAAAGGTGCATGGAGAAAAGAAAGCAAAATTCCTTAAAGTCCGTGAAATTCACGCGTTCCAATAAATAATAATCCAATCCAACCCCCCTATTAATTCACCCCCTACTCCCCCTACTACACTAAAGTACTATTACTCTAATTCAGCTTTTCTTTCAGAGCCAAACGAATTCCTATGTTTAATTTATACATTACAATTTACACACCACTTCAAATGCTCTAATTTAATTCATACTAAAGTTATATATTATTGCACACTTTATAAACAAGTATATATTTATGATATTATATATCAGATTAAAACACAGAAGATCATCTAACCTGACTCATCAGAAGCTAGTACATATATATTGGAGGGACAGGCTAATTAGTATGGCTGGTCAAACACGGATCGGAGACTTTATTATTATTGGGCACACTGGATCTGCTGCAGAATTAGAGTAACAATATCATATTTTTATTAGCCAAAAAAATAAATAAAGGGTACCCGTACCCTATAGTAATTAATTAGTAGTATATTATTATATTTTATTGTTATAAGTATCTTAAAACAGCAGTGAAGAGGTGCCGTCGCCTTCACGAACGCTTACTACAATGAATGCTGCATTTATGTAGAAGCTGGGTTCAGATCCCATAGGCATACCTCATTATTAAGTTTCACGGGGATAAGTGCTTAATCCAGGTAATCAGAAACTTCTATTCTTCAACAAATATATATATATATGCTATTCTATTAAACAATACCATAAAATGCTTCCCGAGTGTGCAATGCCACGTCGGCAGAATAAGAGGCCATGTCTCGACTTCTTCGACCCTACACCCGGTGATAAACACCCGGTGGATCTTTTGCTGCCACATGCCTTTTTTTGTATTTTATAATATATATATATTTCACTTTCTCTACATGTGATAGACTGGCATACCCCAAGGTATATCCATGAGAACAAGAACCATCATGTAATCCTCCATTTTCTCGATGCATTTCAGGAGGCTGGTAGGACTGGCCTTGCAAGAGGCGCTCTTAACACATAGTCGAACCTAGCTGAAATTTATTTCAAAGGGGCAAAAGCTTTCAACACCTCCAAACGAGCCAATAGTCAATAAAATAAATCAACTGTCGACAAACAAAAAAAAATTATTTAAAAAAAAATGCTAGATATCATCAACATAGTTCGAACCCAAACTGGATCCAACAAACAAGTCAAATACAGATAAAATTATTCACGAGACGAAGGGGTACAGATTAGTTGGACTCCGGTTTAACTCTACTGCTGTTGTCCCATTGATAATTTTAAGCATCTCCATTCTGTTGCTCTTCTGCGGATGGTACTGCCATCACCTCTCCAGGAGGTGGGTGGTCAAACCTGCATGTTGCTCCGAATTTGCATGTTCCAGTCTTCATGTAGTAGGGACAGTGTATAGCACCCTATAATAAGCATTCACACCACAACATTTATTTCTTTTGCCAGATTTAAAAAATAAACATAAAATAATACAATAAGATTCGGGAAGTAAAAAAAAATCCGAACAGACAGAGTTAGTTAAACAGTCGAGCAAAAGGAGTATGCAAAAGCCACAAAAGGTATCAATTACACCCCTTATTCCACCCAACAAGCAAAAGAAAGTGTTGAAACGTTAAGGATTAGCTCTTAAGCCATGTTAGACAAATGTATGAAAACAGCATTTGATCTATTCAAGCTGATATTACACAATTCCTTCCAATGTTAGCATATGACCTCCGTCAACGAGATGTATAATGAGCATTTTTAGGACCCATATACGACATAGTTTTTACTTTTTATACTAAGCTGTATTGTATCTAGAACTTTCATAACAAAATTGAAGAAAAATAAATCATATAATTTTCATCAATAAAGTTTGCATAATAAATGTCCAATCAGATGTTCATTTACCTCTCTCCTTGGCAGGCCTGCGAGAGTTAGTTTCACGTTTTCCTGCAGAGATTCCGTAGTGTAGGTAGCTGCTACACTGGTTGTTGAACGGTCAAGAGGATGATGGAACTTGCAGGTAATCCCAAACTTACATATCCCAGTTTTCATGTAATACTTGAACCAGAAACGAAGAGAATGTAATTAGATAAAGAAGCAAAAATACAAAAGCTAAACGAAGACACATGACCAAGTTAGTCTTCCTATAGTCTACATAGCTTCGTACACAAGTATTTTAGGTCAAGAGACAAGGCAAAGCAGTCTACGAGCAAGACCAAGTATATACATTTAGAAAAATTGGGTCATAAAATTGTTTGAATCAATAGGATGAACTGACAATGTGAATCATAGTAGAGAAACTGCCTATGAAATAGATGTGTAACATGCAAAAGACTGATTGTAAACTGTGATTGAGTTAGTTAATACTGCTACTGTGACCACTTAATTAGATGATTGAAACACATAACGCAAGCTTTGAACTACATAATACTTAGGAGATTAAAATTCCTGATATTTTCTCATGCAAAATGAAAAACGGGAACAAGGAAATACGCACATCACATTCCAGCTGTCCAGGTCGTTGAGGGTAAAAGGCCGGGCTCAACCCAAGCTGCAAGGAGAAAATTAAGGATATCAATAAGAACACAGACATACAAAACTAGAAGTTTCTGTCATCCACAATTAATTAAAAATTCAATGCTATCAGAAGCACCCGGAACACCAGTAACATAGTTCCAGACATCAAAATCTGCTCATTGATTTTTTCTTGTCTCAGAGACTCAGGAAAGCTCAGAAGAATAGAGACAATTGTAACACTACAATCAAGAATCTAAGACAACATTTAAAGCTATAAAAATTGTGCATTGAATTGATCATATACTCCCCTGTGTTCAGGCGCCAACAAATATACGTTGAAACTAGCAAAAGACAGACGATTGCAAGTTTACCTCTGTCTGAGTCAGCATTGGATCATAAGAAATCTAAGCCAACATTTAAAGCTATAAAAATTGTAGATTGAATTGATCCTATACTCCCGTGCATTCATGCGTCAAAAAATATACAAAGAAACTAGCAAAAGAAAGACGATTTCAAGTTTACCGCTGTCTGAGCCAGCATTGGATCATATGCTGAGAGGAGAGATGCTGTCGGAGCAACAACCCCATAATTATAATGTGCCGAGGGAGAGGTCATAAGAGTAGGAGCAATAGCGGCTGCAGATGGATTAGTTGCTATGTTATACTCTATAAACTTATTAGTATAAACGAGTGAGCAAAAAAATGACAAAAAGGTAAATCTACCACTTACTATATCGGTCCGGATGATTGTAGCGGCAAGTGGCCCCATACTTACAGCTGCTTAAACGAGATGGAACTTATTAGATTTTAGAATGGTATATAACAATGAACATAGAAAAACAACTATAATATCATACTAACATACATATGAACTCAAATTCAAAATCGATTTTCCGCTCAAAGTGGTATTTTGTGGGATAGAAAAACTTTTCAACATGATTCACTTCAACAAATCTGGTGTAAACTGAGGCACAATAAACAATATCTTGTTTCTTATGAACAAGTATCTCATTTTATAAGAAAAAAGGATACTTGTCAATCATCAACTTTTCTGGAGCATATGCAATGCTATTATTCCTTGACATTGGTACTTAGAATATATGTGGTGTTGGCAACGAGAAAGGGTTTCAGTAGCTAAAAGTGCAGATATGCTGACCTGTTAGTTTTTAGATAGAACGGGCAATTCTCTTCACCCTGTCAATGGTAACAGTAACATTGTTTAGGGAGAGCAGACAAGAAACCAAGACATACAAAATTGACTAATGCAGTAAACAATTTATGGAGAGATTTATTCATTTATTAAAATTCTTACTCTCTAAATATTTCCTAAACAGATCATACATGTACAAGCCTTGTAAAGATGATTAGAAACCCTAAGACTACCCAATGACTGGCCTCACAAAGGGCACACAACTTTGAACTACAAACTTCCCACACTACATTGTCCTTTCGTTCGCCCCGTACTCAGAGGCAAAGATATGGCTTCCTCAATGAAGTCAAGCAGCCCAGCATGTCTCCCAAAACAAAGAAAGGAATTCGAAATGGGAAGGAAAGGTGTCGAGGACGTGGTTTCCTTATATTCTTGACACCGTTGCTTCCCATGTCCAAGTCCTTTTTTTTTTGTCTTGGGAGATATGATGGGCTGCTTGGTTTATTGACGAAGTCATATCTATGCTATCTTTGCATCCGAATACGAGGGATAAAAGAAAGGGAAGGAACAATGTGGTGTGGGAAGTTTGCAACTCAAAGTTATGTGCTTTCCTCTGCACAGGAAGGCTCAAGATTTGTGAGGTTGTACACAAAATTGAGACGAACACCAGGATGAAGTTTGTGTTATACGATATAGACAAGAGCAGACAGAACAGTTAGAAAAGGTAACAACTGTATCACCAGTCAGCAATCCCTTCATGGGCCATATATTAAACAGAAGCAATTGGAAAACCATATTCTTTTCTCCACCTAATATCGTCTGATTATTTACCCAAACAAATCAAGATGAGACACAAAACAGAAAATGTTGCATAAGTTAAACGATCATCATTATTAAATATAATCTCTTTAAATAAGCATACTGGTCTGATGGGGAGGCCTTTGGTATTGTGCACCAACGCTGGGGCAAAAGGTTGCTGCACTGTCTTCCCATCTCCAACTAGACTGGTCTGCACCTCGGCACCAATTTCTTCTCCAGCTGGTTGTATTGGCACACCTTTGGGGTGGTGAAATTTGCAGGTTGGACCAAATTTACAACTTCCAGTCTTCATGTAGAACTGCTTAAACACAGCATGTTAAATTACTAAATTCAAGTATAAAAACAACCTATGCTCTCACGAGAAATCATCTTACAGCACATGGAGGTTCTGATGGTCTCTCAGGTAAGTAAGTGCCATCATCTTCGGTAGCACCCTGCAATTAAGTTAGTAAGCAATCATTTGGAAATTTTGACATCATAAATTATCATGTAAAATAAAATGATAGATAATACCAAAACAACTTACTAGAGACACGATTCTATCTTTAGGATGGTTGAATCTGCATCGAATACCAAACTTGCATCTTTGAGTCTTCAGGAAGTACTGAAACATTGTTCACATAGATATAGAAATTTAAATCCAGTCCATCAAGTGCTATAGTTGAGAATAATAGTCTGTATCCAGCTTACAGGACAATCTGGATCGCCTGGCCTCTCAGGAAGGCACTCACTTGGTACAGGCGGAACCTGAATCACAATTAAAGATCATGAACAATGAACAACATTTCATGATGATGAAATGAATAAACTGTACAACT